ACAAGTAGTAAGTACTGTAATAATGTTCAATTACATGCTTGAAAGAGTTTATGAGGATTAACACAGGGCTTTTTGATTTAGAAGTGATTTTTGATGAGGCCTTGGTATTCAGCTGTTTTTCATTAGAAAAAATGCAGCACGAATTTTTATACCAATAGTTCAACGACTGATGCTAGAATAATTCTCATTTTTTCTCTTTCATCTTCAACCCTAATATTTTGTGCATAATATGGACAAACTTTTGTTATATATATATTAAAACTTTTTCAAAGATAAGAAATCATCTCCTTATACACCTGGTGAACCAAACAATAGAACAATTAGTTACTGGGTTAAAATCAGACGAGAAGCCATGATGTAAAACTTTTACCATGGCTAATTTAAAAGAGCAAACTCAATTCCTGTTATTGAGGTGACGCATAAAGAATGTTGGCTGCTCAATTATACAAATTAATGAAGGAATTATTTCGAAATACCACTGTTAAGTATTTATGCCATTTTTACTATCTAGACTTATAAATTAATGAGCAAATTGGATAACCCGTATCTCAGCTACTGGTTCGCTAATGGAGAGATATTTTTATTAGTTAATAAATATTAAAATTTTAATTATCAAGTTTGTGTTAATTTAATTTATAACAGTTCAAGATTTGCTAATCTACAATATAACTATTTTAATTCAATTATACAGATTGAAATGTTGAAAATTAAATCATTGATTATTTTGGTCATTCAATCGATTATTTCTCTATTTACTCTAAAATTTATTATTCTTTTTAAACTAAATATTGATTTCAAAATTGATTGTTGATTATTACTATAAATAAATTTTTTTTTTTTCCATCACAAAATTCTATCTTCATTTAAAACAATTAATGGTAATCTCTCATAAAAAAACTAAGTAATTCTACTTAATCATTTTTGTTGTTGGAGGTTAACTATCTGAATAAAAATTATGATCTTTTGACAACTGTAAATCTAATGATGATTACTTTTTACTAAAAAATTTCTTAATTAAAATTTAAGTTTCGTTTCCATTTATTTAGATTAATTGATCAATTTTGTTAATGTCTTTATAAATATTGATGTAAAAAGTATACACTAATATATTAATAATTATGCTAAAAGTTAAAAGTATTAATCCATGCTTACTTTCTTTCTTCACGCCCCATCAACTATACTATCATACATTCCCAGAAGGTTATTCTGTCAGGAAATTTATCCTAATATTTTACCTACAATGAGATCTGAAGACATTTCTTTAGGGAGTCATATGTTACTCAAAGTTGAGGGATGTAAAAGTAGCTCATCAAGAATACTTCTGCCTAACTAAGAGTGCTTGTGATTATAGAAATTTATTTAGATTTTTTCACACTAGAAGCTTTATTAAAAGAGAAATATTAGGATGGAATATGATTATTAAATAAATCTTAGATTCATCCGTATTAATTTTAGAAGAAAAACTCAATCATCTTTAACATATTTTAATAAATCAAAACAGATANAAACTTTTGTTATATATATATTAAAACTTTTTCAAAGATAAGAAATCATCTCCTTATACACCTGGTGAACCAAACAATAGAACAATTAGTTACTGGGTTAAAATCAGACGAGAAGCCATGATGTAAAACTTTTACCATGGCTAATTTAAAAGAGCAAACTCAATTCCTGTTATTGAGGTGACGCATAAAGAATGTTGGCTGCTCAATTATACAAATTAATGAAGGAATTATTTCGAAATACCACTGTTAAGTATTTATGCCATTTTTACTATCTAGACTTATAAATTAATGAGCAAATTGGATAACCCGTATCTCAGCTACTGGTTCGCTAATGGAGAGATATTTTTATTAGTTAATAAATATTAAAATTTTAATTATCAAGTTTGTGTTAATTTAATTTATAACAGTTCAAGATTTGCTAATCTACAATATAACTATTTTAATTCAATTATACAGATTGAAATGTTGAAAATTAAATCATTGATTATTTTGGTCATTCAATCGATTATTTCTCTATTTACTCTAAAATTTATTATTCTTTTTAAACTAAATATTGATTTCAAAATTGATTGTTGATTATTACTATAAATAAATTTTTTTTTTTTCCATCACAAAATTCTATCTTCATTTAAAACAATTAATGGTAATCTCTCATAAAAAAACTAAGTAATTCTACTTAATCATTTTTGTTGTTGGAGGTTAACTATCTGAATAAAAATTATGATCTTTTGACAACTGTAAATCTAATGATGATTACTTTTTACTAAAAAATTTCTTAATTAAAATTTAAGTTTCGTTTCCATTTATTTAGATTAATTGATCAATTTTGTTAATGTCTTTATAAATATTGATGTAAAAAGTATACACTAATATATTAATAATTATGCTAAAAGTTAAAAGTATTAATCCATGCTTACTTTCTTTCTTCACGCCCCATCAACTATACTATCATACATTCCCAGAAGGTTATTCTGTCAGGAAATTTATCCTAATATTTTACCTACAATGAGATCTGAAGACATTTCTTTAGGGAGTCATATGTTACTCAAAGTTGAGGGATGTAAAAGTAGCTCATCAAGAATACTTCTGCCTAACTAAGAGTGCTTGTGATTATAGAAATTTATTTAGATTTTTTCACACTAGAAGCTTTATTAAAAGAGAAATATTAGGATGGAATATGATTATTAAATAAATCTTAGATTCATCCGTATTAATTTTAGAAGAAAAACTCAATCATCTTTAACATATTTTAATAAATCAAAACAGATACAATTCAATATAATATGTTTCTATTATGTGAAATCATCTCTTTTATAAAATTGTTTGTAAGGAAGGGTATTTAATACTAAAAATGCAATTTTTTTTATCTTTTTCAGGATAATTCACTTTTTTAGGTCCAATATTATTTTTATTTTTGGATACTTCTATATGTAATAAAAATTTTTCCATGTCTTTATTAACAACTCTTCTATTTTTGCTTGAAATCTAAAGTATATAATTCATGATTTGGACATTAGTAATTTTAATAGAAAATGTTGTTGTTATCTTTGTTGCCATTCTCAACATACTCACAAGTTAATCAATTTAGAAAGTTTAAATTGAATGGATTAAGCAAAAATTCATTTCTACTAAAAATGCTCAACCTTGATAGGATTCTTAACTTTTGAATGACTTACTGTAATTTTAATATTTAATAATTCTAATAAATTGGACTTTCTAAGATTGAGCACATGATAAAAGGTTAAAAGTTGTGATGAAATATTTAAACTGTTTGGATAATCTATAGAATGAATCTAAATTATTATAGATTATATATTATAAAAAAAATGAAAAAATTCGAAAGAAAAGTGTAATAAGTAAATCCAAAAATCTGTGAAAAAACTAGAAACATTAGTATAGTTATAGCATCCAAATATCTTTGAAATAAATTCGAATAAATTAACATTTGATCATAGGAATTAAAACAATATTGAAATAGGATAAATGTTACGCGTTATCTATAAATAAAGATTAATAAATCTTATTGCTTGCATGGGGATAGAATATCAGGGCATGAAAATTATAATAAATTGGTTTATTAAAAGAAAATGAAAACAAAGTGTTACTTTAAATTTTATGAATATGGCAAATATATTTTGTGAAACAACAGTATTTTGGTTTGGAAATATAAACCACATAATAAATAAATGGAATTTATTATAAAAATTAAATGGACACATTAATGGTATATATTGTTTATAGATAAATTATACTGGTTGCGCTAATAAATCATAAATAATCTTAGTTTAAATGAACAATCAAATAAATTGATATTTTGTTTGGAGGATTGATAAATATTCGTCATTAAATAGTCTCAGTTGAACAAATAGTGATAAATCAATTTGATTCCCCTGAAAAATACTAAAGGTTGGCAAATGAAATTTAAGTCAAATGTGATTTCTATTTTCCATATAAATACTAAAAGACTTAATGCCTCCTATTGAAAAAGAATGGCAAAAATGTGAAAATTAAAAAAAAAATAATTAGCTTGCTATAGAACTATTAGTTGTGAAACCAATTAAATAAATTGATCTGCTTATCCTATGATTGATTCACATAAAACCAGCTTTTAGAAGTTTGATTCTATTTAATTAAGAAATTACACAATTTAAGAATTTTTCTAGACTTGGGATTATAATTATAATATATTAAACATTATTAAAATTTAATAGAAAATGAATTAATAGGAAGAATACATTTTTAGTTCTGTTATGATCCATTCTAAACAAGAAGTTTTGGAATTTATTTGCAAAAACTAAATTTATTTTCCTCCACATTTATAATCAAAACTTTTATTATGGAATTGCTTTCCGATTGTAAATTTTAATATTTCATAAATCGAAATGAGTTTTGGAAGTTTCTTTTATTAAATTATATAGCTTTCTTAGATTCAAGAAGTAAAAAATTAATTTTGTAATGTTTTGAGACATAAGTTGATTGATTTATAATCAGAAAGCCTAATCTGCCTTTGTAGGTTTATTTTTTAAAAAGAATCTTTAAGTGTTTTTCCTCAAAGCAATGAATTTAAAGCAATTAGCATTGTTTTATAGGAAAGCTTTGTTTATGAAAAACACAGTTCTAATAAGAATTTTTCTTGTTATAAAAGTCTAAATGGCAATATGGTATAAGATTTGAATGAATAAGACATAAAATATAGAATTCTGTTGTACTTAGGTGATGAAAAAGATGGCAGTAGGCCTTACTTAATATTTTCTTCAAATAATAACATACCTTATTTGTAATAATGCAATTTAATCCCTAATAAATTAAATTAATAATATTTAAGTTCACCATAAGTTTAATTTAATTGTGAAATTTAAAATTTTGAAAAAGTTTAACTGAAATAATCAACAAGTTAATCTTAGAATAATGAAAATTAACAATAGACAATATAAAATATTGTTCCAAATTCACAAAATTGTTTTTAACAATATTAAAAATTAGGTTCTTTTGGACAAAACTTTGTTAATCACAATAATATTAATTAGAATAATAATTTTACAAATCCTTAGAAGAATAATTGGTAGATTGTAAAAGATTTTGCCAATCATTAAAAAATGTTGAATAATGGTAGTTAAAATAGTAATAATGCCTTCAATATAGGAAATAGTACAGCCTAATAATAATAATAATAAATTCAATACTAAACACAGTAAAAATAGCCACCTCAATAAGAATGGCACTCATAATAAAAAACTTCAAGTTAAATGTCATTTTAAAAATAATTAAAAACTGACTATTCATCTGAATGCACTGATATAAATTAGTTCTAGAAATAGAATTCTTTCTCTTTAGCTTATACATCTATAACACAACCAGTTTCGGATGAAGATGTATTCTCAACACAGCATATTATAAATGAAACTCAAGAAGAAACAAAAAATAGGAGAATAATTACTTTTGTTAATAAATCAACATAGTAAGATAATCAAGAATGTGAAGTATGCGCAGACTGTTACAATCCAAATTCAAGCCAAGCTATTTTAACTCCTTGTTGCTAAAAGAAACTTCATGCATAATGTGTTTAAGTAAATTTATTTTAAAAAGCAAAAGATAATGCGAATTTTTAAAATATTAAATGTTATAGTTGTGAAAAATCATTGGAAAGTTATTAGGATTTTATAAAAAGTAATATTGCTAAATAACATTTTATTGAAATTGTAAAAAAGTAAGTTTTAGCAAACATTCCTTTGAAATGTTTTAATTGTTCATTGGCAATAGAAGCAGACTAATAGATTTTATCTAAATAGGATATGATTGAATGCTAAAGATGCAAGAAAAAACTTTGTAGTTTGTGTCGACAAGAGTATCATGGCAAAAATTAATAAGTAAAATTTTTATTTATATTAGAATTAATAATGCCCAAGTCTTTCCAAAGAGATTCAAAAAGCAATTTAAGGAATGCCAATTCTTGTATGTCCTTTTTGTAATTTAATGTAAACAAAAGATGAAAAATGCAATCATGTGAGCTGTTTTGGATGCTAAAAAGATTTGTGTTCAGCCTGTTCTGCTGATAGAATTCCTATTAAAAGTCACGGTAATCATTACCATAGAAAAGGTTGTGAAAACTACAAACCATGGGAATAAAAAGGAAAAATAATTACAAAAGAAGAATATGAACCTAATAAATGTGAAAATTGTAAATTATCAAAAAAACCATGTAAATATCCAATAAGTTTGTAGGAATACAAAAATTTAAAACAGTTTTGATAATTACAAACTTTAAACGATTCATTTTTTTTTAATGTATTCCTATTAATAATTATTCAAATTTGGTCATTTTCAATATTTTTTTCATTCTAATCTTAGAGTTAAGTATAAAATTGAAGATAAATGCTAATTTACTCGCCAAATCCAAACCAATATCCCATTTTCCAACAAACAGCTAAAAATTACTCCTTTTAATTAATTATTGATTATTTAGCCTTTTCTAATTTTAAAAGGTTCTCAGGTTTGAAATCTTTTAGAACATTAAATTTTTTTAAATTTTAGATTAAAATTGGGGCATTTAATATTGAATCTTAGCATTTCTCTAAAGCATTTATATAATGATTTAGTGCAAGTACAATTTCTTGGATAATACAATGGGTGGATAACGCCTAAAAATTTCGTTAAGTTTGAAAAATAAAATCATCAAAATAAACAATCATTTGATCAGCTCCCTCTAAACATTCAACTATTTATTCACTTTCAATTTGTGACTAATCTTTTATACCATTTTATAAACCACTAAAAACTTCCAAGACGACTTCCAAATCTTCAAAAATAGCTTTTAAATTAACAATAGGTAATTAAATCTTCAGCAACATCTTACCAATTTTCTATCCATATTAAAAATACCTACCCTCTTTCCAATCATCAAATTATTCACCTAAATTATTAATTCAATTACTAAAATAATTAGATTCTAAAAGATATTCAGAAAGTTTCTCCGTCATGCTATTTATATCACAGGTAACTTTATTTTTTAATTTTAATTTCAAATTATTTATAAATCTCCCTACCTGTGATTAAATTTATCTAATTATTTGATAAACTTTATTACTATTGTTTTATAATTGATTTATGTATCTCTTCAAAGGCATTTCCCAATTCATCCCATCCAATTTACAAAGAATCATAAGACTTAATTTTTGAAAATTAAACAGATATAGAAATGGCATTCAAAAAATCATTACAATTCAAATTCTCCATAATATTTTATTGATTGACTTAGTAACTTAATGTTAAACCTTAAAAAATGCCTTTTATTATTAAATTGCATTTATTTTTTTCCTCATCATCGCCCTAAAATTTACAAATTGCTATTATTGATAATAATATTAAAATTTTTTTCATTAAATTATAAAGTAAATAATCTAATTAATGCTATAAAATGATAATTGTAAATTTTAAGTAGAGTTTCTTTAAAATAGTGTTACTTTCAATTGAAATACTATCATAATGTATTATTTATTTTATAAATTATTTTTATTAACTATTTTAATCTAGCGATGATTTATAAATCAATTGTTATATAAAAAGATTGGTTTTATCTTTTGTATAAGAAGAAAAGCAAATATTTAATTAAAACTATGAAAATAACATTTTTCAGAGAACAAATTTAAAAACTTGAGATAGGTTATTATTGGAATTGATAAAAATTTTATAATTTGAACAAAATATAAGTGAGTAAAAAATCTTTCATCTGCCTATTGATATTAGCATTCAAATTGAAAAATAAGATTTATTTTTATAATTACTTTTTTAAATTGATAAAAAGAATTATTTATATCCAATAAATTATCTTGTTTAATACATTTTTGTTATAACGATGAACTACTTGAATAACATTTTCAGTTTTCAACATATCAGTTAGTTCTTTGAAAATTCTTTTCTAACAATTCTAATCTTCTTATTTCGATTTAGTTCATTANAATTAAATCTTCAGCAACATCTTACCAATTTTCTATCCATATTAAAAATACCTACCCTCTTTCCAATCATCAAATTATTCACCTAAATTATTAATTCAATTACTAAAATAATTAGATTCTAAAAGATATTCAGAAAGTTTCTCCGTCATGCTATTTATATCACAGGTAACTTTATTTTTTAATTTTAATTTCAAATTATTTATAAATCTCCCTACCTGTGATTAAATTTATCTAATTATTTGATAAACTTTATTACTATTGTTTTATAATTGATTTATGTATCTCTTCAAAGGCATTTCCCAATTCATCCCATCCAATTTACAAAGAATCATAAGACTTAATTTTTGAAAATTAAACAGATATAGAAATGGCATTCAAAAAATCATTACAATTCAAATTCTCCATAATATTTTATTGATTGACTTAGTAACTTAATGTTAAACCTTAAAAAATGCCTTTTATTATTAAATTGCATTTATTTTTTTCCTCATCATCGCCCTAAAATTTACAAATTGCTATTATTGATAATAATATTAAAATTTTTTTCATTAAATTATAAAGTAAATAATCTAATTAATGCTATAAAATGATAATTGTAAATTTTAAGTAGAGTTTCTTTAAAATAGTGTTACTTTCAATTGAAATACTATCATAATGTATTATTTATTTTATAAATTATTTTTATTAACTATTTTAATCTAGCGATGATTTATAAATCAATTGTTATATAAAAAGATTGGTTTTATCTTTTGTATAAGAAGAAAAGCAAATATTTAATTAAAACTATGAAAATAACATTTTTCAGAGAACAAATTTAAAAACTTGAGATAGGTTATTATTGGAATTGATAAAAATTTTATAATTTGAACAAAATATAAGTGAGTAAAAAATCTTTCATCTGCCTATTGATATTAGCATTCAAATTGAAAAATAAGATTTATTTTTATAATTACTTTTTTAAATTGATAAAAAGAATTATTTATATCCAATAAATTATCTTGTTTAATACATTTTTGTTATAACGATGAACTACTTGAATAACATTTTCAGTTTTCAACATATCAGTTAGTTCTTTGAAAATTCTTTTCTAACAATTCTAATCTTCTTATTTCGATTTAGTTCATTAGTAATGCCTTATTAGGTTGAATGAATAGATTTGTTTCTTAGCTATTTTTACTATTATAAATTATCAATAGTGACTTGAATTTTGAAGATAAGTAAATGTCTTTCTTGAGTAAGTTCTTCAATAATTTACATCATATTTTATTTAGATTTGCTCAATTCATCATGAAGAAAATTGATTTATTATCTTAATTATTCTGTGTCATCTTCTTATGATTAATTCAATTAATAGACATTTGAAGATATAGATAAATACTTACGGTCATCTTCGTTATTTTTTTGAATTATATTCAAATTCCTTTATATTTTAGGAGGATTCTTAAAAATAAATAGAAAAGATTGAATTGGAATATTGGAAGAATAGAAAAGTTTGAATAAGTGTGTAATGTATCATTATAACATTTAATTTCCTTAAGATTAATTAATAATGTTATTATTCCTCTTCTTCTGTATTTAAAGTGGTAATGTAATTATACATCAATGAAATTTAATTATGTTGGTTTTTGTAAATAATATATATTTGGATGAATATTATAAATTTTCAATCTGCATTATAATCGTCTAACTTCTTGAGCAATTGTTGTTCGTAACCAGCACTGTAATATTGAATAATTTCTGGTGGATAATATGAATTGATTTCATCTATATATTATCTTAATTTGGATCCAGGATTAGCTTTAATTTCTTGTATCTTCTTGAGACCTTCAGATAATACAAATTATCTAAAGATAATAAAGAATAATATACTTTTTAGCAGCATTATCATTAGGTAAAGTCTTTTGGAATTGATGTAAAACATATTATAGAATATCAGGAGGTGCTTCTGAGATTAATGGTTCTAATGCAGGTAAATATGTGCACATTTATAAAATAGATTTCAAAGCTTAACTTGATTTCTTTTTAAGATCTTCACTAGATTCAGGGAATTTATAAACCTTAAAATAAATAAATAAAATATAATACAGCAAGTAAATGTGATGGAACATCAGCTTCAGCCATTGCTCTAGAATGATCAGCAGAATGCCCTCCAATCATACCAAGAGACCAGGCAGAAGCACTCTTTACAGATTAATCAGGTTCTTTAATTAGAGCATCTTTTAAAGGTGCAATTCCTTTAGCTGCTATTATTCCCATTGCTAAAGCTTCATCAAATGCTCCTATAAATCCTAATGTCATTATTCCTGGTAAACGAGCATCCCCTTTTGCTTCATTAATGTAATCAACTATTGACACTACTGCACCTGCACTACAAATCATTTTAGCTAAGTCTTATGATTATCGTGCTATTTCTCTTATACATGTAGCTGCTGCCTTTCTATTTTATTATTTATTAATTACTATACCTAACTCCAGGATCTGTGTCTTTTAATCTATATAAAATCTTTGGAAAAATATCCACATCTACTATTGCTTCAGCCAAATCTATTGTATGTTTTGCTATATTTGCTAAACAAAAACAAACTGATCTCTTCAATTCTGCATCATGATGAGGTATCAATGCACTCAAAAATGGTGCTGCACCTGCATCTACTACATTCTAAGCCAACTCTGCTGAATGCTTGCAAATTTCTGATAATGCACCTGCTGATACTCTTTTTAATGTTGTTTCTGGCTCCTATATACAAAGTACCAATAATGGAACTGCTCCTGCATCTACTACTGCCTAAGCCAAATCTGCTGTGTGTCTATACAGAATACTTTTTATACTTACTTAGCTATGTAACGAAGAGCACTTGCTGCTGCTTCTTTTACACTTGGATCAAATTCTTCTAAACATTGAACCAATGCTTCTAAAGCTCCTGAATTAACAACTGCCATTGCCAAAGTTGAAGAATGTTTAGCTACACATCTAAGTACAAATGCTGCAGCTTTTTTATAGAAACGATTTTGTTCTCCCAACGAACTCACTAATTATGGCAATATTTCGTTCGAAACAACTGCTTCTGCCAAATCTTCAGAATGTTTGGCCAATCTTCCCAGTGCCAATGCTGCTGATTATTGAATTGATGGTACACAATCTAATAACAAAGGTCTCAATAAGGACATCACGCCTAAAACATTTATTACGGTTTCATTACCTGCTGATTATAAAGCCTCTATATTTTATGGTCTTTTTGCTAACTCAGCCACTGTCTACACAAATTAAACTCTAGCTTTTTGATAAACTTCAAATGGTTGTAACACTGCACGACTCATCTTAAATTTATTATTGAATTAAATTATACATTCTTATCATGTTAAATAATACAAAAATAATATATTATTTATATATTTCATTATTCTTATTTCTCTTTTTATTGTCTTTACTATGCAACATTGAAATAAAGGTTATTGATAACTAATTTCTAATTACTATATATTATTATGAATGAAACATTAACAACTAACTACTCTTATAGCGTTCTCTTCATTTATCTAAACAATTTGTTATTACATAGAAATACCATAAGTACACACTTATAAATGAAAATAAATAAGTCGATAAATTATCATAAAAAGATTATCTCATTTTTTTAATCGATTAACTCTAAGTTTTTGATTCAGACAATCAAAAATATATCACAACATTTGTTATTGAGAATCCCACTGTTGTGATAACTTACAAACCGAACATACTTGATTCTGTTTAACTTAAAACATATGATGATAACATTTTGATAAAGTAATACATTTTGAAATCTTATCTGATAAATTCAATCCAAATTTTAATATGTAATGAGAATCAAGTAAACTAGATAAGATATTCCCTTTATTACAAATGGATTTCCTAAAACTATTGTTATTATAAATACATAGGATGCTAGTTTTAATGAATTTGGATCAAACAATGAATGTATATTATGTAAATACATGTACAAATAGACCTATACTCACTTCCAGAATAAATCCTTTGATAAATGTATTTATAAAAGTAATAATAAGAATTCAAAATCTTTATTTGTATTGTAGATTCCAATCATTGTTAAAATGGCTGAAAGGATATAAAGATGCATCTTATATTCTGAAACATCAAAAATCACTGAAAAAAAAATGTGAACCAAAGCTAAGAGTATTTTTATTACAGATATTCTGTGAATTAATATGAGTTTTCTCTACTATACTATGACTTTTTTAAAGAAAATTTAGTTAAAAATTGATCAAAATTATTTATGAATATCATTGAAATTCTTTTCTACAGTAACATTTAAGATTAAATTATATACATTTGAAAAACATAAAAATATTATTAAATATAATAGAAATTAATAATGAATAATTAATATCCAATTCATCATCCTAATCTTAACCCAAGATATATAATAGAATAAAAAGATCGAAATCCTCGAAGAGAACAAAGAATGGAGGAAGAATTTACTAATGATAATAATAATCCATTTAAGCCAATTGAAAGAGAACCGATAGATGAAACCTTAAAGCAAAACCTTCTTTAACTAAAATAAGATGTGTTATCATTTTTTAGAAAACTCGAAAACTTAAAAATAGAAGAAAGAATGAAAAAATTCAAAATAAAAATTGATCAAATTGAGATTGCAATAAATAAAAATTAAGATTTGGATTTAGACCCTTTTTAGTCATATTTTACAGAGCTTAAAGAGTTATTCGTTGGTCAAGCGAGAGAATAACAACTCTTAGAAACTGTACAAATTTTTAATAATAAGGAATATTAAAAATTGTAATAGGGTGATTTAGAATATTTTCTTAAAAATTTAAAAGTATCCAATTTTTTATATATTTAGAAATATGAAATTGCTTATTAAGAATGTCAACCTTTAATGAGTTTGGAATAAGAATCAGATACTTTAGATATGTATTTAACTGTGTTTAATCCAACAATTTAGAATTATAAAGAAATTATATATTATGAAAAGGCTGATACTCCTGTTAAAAAATATAATCAGGAACGTTCAAGCTCGAAAATGGATTTATATTAACTTGAACTATTAATGGATTTGTTGAATAAATATTACAAATTTGTAGCATGTAATAATTTTTTTTATCTTCTTAGTACCTAATTCTCAAGTAAGCCATGTGTAATATCTAGAACATGATAGTAGAACAAATGAATAAAATTATTTTAAATATTCAGGTTGTTAAGAATTGATACTTTTTGTAAAGATGAATTTTGATGAAGGGCTTTAAAGTTATGCTATCATTATTGTTTATACAAATAATAATCAAAAGAAATGTAGATAAATATCTCAAAGTAAGTGTAGACTATATCTGAAAACGATTAGCGATGCATTGGGTTGTGCAACACAACCTCCATTTTATAATCCTTAATTTGGTTTTAATGAAGCTGTTGATGAGTTTTTAAAGTATGTATCATTGAACCTAGATTAATAAAAAGTTTGTGATTTCTTGTTAGAAAATAAAGATTATTATTAGAAAGATAATCAAAATAATCTAATTATTGATGCATTTGAAATGTATAGATTAGGATTCAATAACAAGTTTACAATATGAAAAAGCATGATATAATAATGAGCTTTAAATAAAATTAAATTTAATAATGTTTTTGATATTTTATATATTCTTAGTTGTAGTTAAATCATAAGATGAATTAGCAGAAGGTGAGGAAATGGAATCTGATTGCGATATGGAATTTGATATGCCATTTTGTAGTGGAAATGGTACACACTGAACTAATACTTAGGTACTCCAATGTAGGAAAACTCATTTTTAAATACATTAAAAATATTACTATCTTTTAATGATATTAAAATAGTAAATAAGGTAGATCAATCAGAATATGAAGTAGAAGATCTAGAGAGAGGACCTACTTTATATGATGATGGTTATTCTGGAATGTTTAAGGGGAATCAAATTTTAGAAATGCCTTAAAACGAATAAACTCCATATTTTACATATAGTATGTGGTTGTTTTTTCCAAGAACTAGTGGAGTAGAAAGACCAAGATCTGTATGTCCAATATTTTAAAAAGGCAATGAAGAAACTCATTATCCCAGTTTATATTATGATCAAAAGCATAAATAATTTATAGTTTATATTGATTAAACTATAACTTCTGAAAATTCAGGATTAGTTTCTGTTAGTAGACCTTTAGCAAATTAATGGATTTATGTTTCTTTAGTAAGTACAAGTAGTAAATTAAAATTGTATATTAATGGTGTTTTGGATAATATAAAAATATTTTAAGCAGCTCCTAAAGCAAATGATTATTCTTTATTTATAGGAAATACTCCTTGGTTTAAAGATTATTGTAGTATGATATTTTTATTGGATAAGTTTCAATATTACACAGAAGAAATCAAAGCTTATTTTATTTAGGCTTAAGCTTAATTTTAATTAGAAAGTGCTAGTATACATTTTGGATGTATAAAATGTAATCTTGATGAAGCAAGTGGAGCATGTATAAGTGGATATCATTTATGCACAAAAATAGAATTCTATAGTGGTGTATATAATGTAGCTAGAGAATTAGGATGGATGGATTATGGAGATTTTGTTTGGACTTATTAAGACGCAATAAGGAAAAATGATAAAAAGAAAGGTTTAGCTGTATGTTGTATTGATTCATTCTGATTATATTCAAGATGTTTAACTTCATTTATATATTTAACTTCATTTATTTAGTGTAAATAAGAAATAGGAAAGTATAAATTTATATGATATCATAAAATAATGATTTAAAAATAAGTTATTTAATTTAGTAAATATAAAGAGAATCAAATGTTAAAAGATCTGAATCCAAGGTATCCATTCAACATCCATTTAAAGTTGTGAATACAAGCACTGCAAATCATTTTTTCAAATTAACTTTGTTACTATGAAATGGACAAAATCTATGTCACTTCCTGTTCCAATTAGTAGTTACTCTATTTCAGATGATGTGAGATTCGTAAATATAAAAGGAGACACTAAGACCAAGACTTTAATCAATGTTGACAATTATTTGTTCTATAAAACAAAGAAGGTAATGTGTTATTTTATAAAATAAGGATAAATTAAAATGGATTGATTTTGAGAATGCAATCATAGAACAATTTCATCATTCAAAATTTGGTCATGCCATACGATTAATTAAATGTTTTGATATCGTAGAAATATTTTGTGATGCCTAATCATGGTTTAAATATTTAAAACGATATACAATTTAATCTGATTTCAATTCTAATTACATTTTAAGAAAAAGAATAGGCAAAGGTCAATTTTCTGATGTATCTCATTATATTATATCTAATACTAGGTTTATAAGGCAAAAAATAAAATGGATGGTAATGAATATGCAATTAAGATATACTAGAAATAAAATTTATTTGATGAAGTTGATAGAGCTGCAATATAAAAATAAATATCCGTCCTTAGAAGATTGTAATCAGATTTTACTATCAAATTTTATGAAGTCTTTGAAAACACTGATTAAATCTTTGTAGTATAAGAATTATTAATGGGAGGAAATTTAATGGATTACATTATTCGAGAAAATTTCTTCTCAGAAGATTAAGCTGCAAAACTTATCTTTCGATTAGTAAAAGCTGTTAATTATATCCATTCTAAAAATATTATACATCGTGATATCAAACCAGAAAATTTAGTTTTCAGATTTCAAGATAATGTTGAAACTATTTGTATTAAAAAGTTTCAATTAGCTGATTTCTATAATCCTGATGTTAATTATCATTATATATGTTGTGGTACACCAGGATTTATTGCTCCTGAAATTCTATTAAATTAAAATTATGATTAAAAAGTTGATGTATTTAGCATTGGTGTTACATTATATATTTTAATGACTGGTTAAATGCCATTTGAAGGTAATTTTGAAAAGAGATTAGAATAAAATGTTGAAGGCTTAGTTGATTTTAGTATGATCAATTTGAGTATTCTTGGTATGAATTTTATTAAAACAACACTACAACCTAATCCCGAAGAAAGATTAACTTCTCATTAATGTTTAAATCATTAATGGTTTGTTTAAGAATAACTAGCTAAAATTAATCAAATTTCATTAAAAAAACCAATCTAATTACAAAATTAATTTATTGTTAGAAGAATGAAATAAGCTAAAACTTTAACTTTTAGTCCATCTTCTCCTAGAAGTCAAATTTCATTACAAAGTCCTCGATATCCTATTGTACAATAAGAATAGAAAAAATAACGTCCTATTTTAGTTGCAAGTCAAACTGAAAAAATAATTGGACCTCATTCCAGCTCAAAAAGTATTCATTTTGAATAAATATAAACTTAACCAACTGATGATGATGATTAAAATTAAGATTATAGTAATATGAAATCATCATTTTAAGAAGGTTAACTTACCTCAGCTAGGAAAAAAACTTAATCATTTGTTATTAAGTCTAACTAAACATTGAGGAATTTTAATGTTTTTAAACCAAAATAGAAATGATATTTATCAATATATAAATAAATCACTCTTCAAAATTTAATTTTATTTATCCTTAATGAATTATAAATATTACTATGATTGAATTCATAATCTTATTTTATAATTCACAAATTCAGTTTCTTTAGATTTATTAGATTTTTAACAACAATCTAAATTGAAATTGATTTTTTTCAAATTTTTAATTATTTTTAGATTTTGATCAATATATATCTTTTATTGCAATAATAATCTTATTAAATGTATGTGTTACTACATGATATATATATTTTTCAATTAAGATTTGTAAATTCTTTTAAGACAATAAATGAAAGAAAATAAGTTGATAATATTAAATTAATAAGTAGATAAATACAGATTCTTTAATTAGCAATCTTTGTAATATACCTATATCTTGAATCTTAGAGAGAATTTGAAAATAGAAATGATTAAATGACAAGAGCAATTTCTTTAATGTATAACATCTTAAAAACAATAACTAATTCAGTTGAAGTTTAATAAGATCTACTCCTCCATATTTGGACAATGACTGGTACTTTGATTCTTGATAAAGAGATCTTCATACGAATCTTTAAGAAGATTATAAATTCTGATTGATTTTCTTGCTTAATCTAAATCATCAGGAAACTAAAATAAGAATAATACAATTATTTAAAAGATTTATGGTAATTAACTCATATAAAAAGGATTACCTATATCAGTTAAGAGAATTACACGAATAAAAATAGAGCACAATTATTTTGGTCTACTAATTTCTAGATAATAAATTTAATCTTTTAATGTTTCTATGTGTATTTGTATTTAATAATAAATAAGAATTATTATATAAAAAATAAAATAAAATTATAGTTAATTTTTATTTGTATATATTTTGGATGATAAAATGAATTGTTAAAAAAGTATAGATCAGAATAAATAAATTTAATGAATCATATTTCAGATGTTGGTGCAGTAATAAATGCTGCAAGTGATGCTCCAGTTCCAGTAAATATAGATACAACTTGGGTTTTAATAACATCTTTCAGTGGTTTATTAACAATTTTGGAATTTGCATTTATAAGTTCAGGTGCAGTTCGTTATAAATCAGTGCAATCATCTGTAATAACAGTTTTATTAGGATCAGTTCTAACAATTTTGTTTTTCTGGCTTGTAATAAAATATAATAATAATTAGGTTGGATATGGTTTTGCTTTTGGAGATGACAAGAATAACAAATTCATCGGTTTTAGTAAATTTGCAGGAGTAGGTTACATAATTGGATCTACAAGAGACGATTATTCAAATTTAAGTATTAAAAATGGTTATAATAATTATAGTATATTCGATAGTTGGAGCAGTTATAGTTTCATCTCTATTTGGATTAGGAACTTTAGAAAGATCTCGATTCTTTTCTGTTAGTATATGTATAGCATTCATCACAGCAATATTATATCCAATAGTATTACATTGGGTTTAACCAACAGGATGGTTATATAAATTTGGATTTAAGGATTATGCAGGATCAAGTTATATACATATGTTTGGAGGTATTACTGCATTAGTTGTTTCATTCTTTTTAAAAGAAAGAAGAGATGAAGGTGGAAATGTTCATTCGGGCATTTTCCCTCATCATTCTCCAATTAACATTGGATATGGATCTATCATCTTATCGCTTGCTATTTTATTATTCGTTAATGGTACTAATACTAAAGGAAAAAATGCTAAATATGAATAAGGATTGATAGCAGTTAATACTATTGTTGCAGCTACTTTCTCAGCACTTACTAGTTTTATAACATAATATTTGAAAACTTATAAAACTAGTTTAATTGCACTCTCTAGAGGTAGTGTTGCGGGAATTGTTGCAATCTCTGCTATAGCTAATAATGTTTGAATCTGGGAATCAGCATTTACTCGTATCTTGGTTGGACTTGTTTATATTGTCCTTATTCTTGTTATCAAAAGATCTCATGTTGATGATCCGGCTTATACTATTGCTTCACATTTGGTATTTAATCTATATATTTTAGGGTCCAGGAATACTAGGAACCATTCTAGTAGGCTTTCTCGGATTATCTAATGGTTTGGTGAATGGTCATGGTCCTAAATAATTAGGATTATAAGTTGTAGGAATTCTAGCTATTATTGGATGGGGACTTTTAGTGGCTATTCTTATTATACCTTTGAAAGGAACTGGAGCTTTTAAGATTAATCCATTTTAAGAGTCTTAGGGAATTGATATTAGTTATGGTAATGATTATCTTTTATAAAATAATAGCTGAAGGAGAAGCCATTCAATTTTAAGATGAACAACGAGAACCTACTTTATTAAACAATTCTACTAAGAAGGGAATATTTCAATGATATATATTAAGTTTTGATATAAATATATGCATAAGTAAAATATTAAAAAAAACAATTTAAATTATGCACAATATCACTGTTGCAATTCGTGTGAAGCCTGTACAATAAAGCTTTAAAACCATTCTTGTTAATGGTACTACGGTTACATTACTTGATCCAGAATTAGAATTCAACAATCCTGTCGATGTAAAATGACATTTCTATATTATATTTTACATCCTAAAGATCCTGAAAAAGAATAGAATAAAAGATGCATCATATGAGTTTGACCTCGTTTTTGATTAACAAGCCGACCAAAAAGAAGTGTATGAAAAATCAGCAGAACCTCTTCTAGATGATCTAATATCAGGATAAAATGTAACTATTTTTGCATATGGAGCAACAGGAAGTGGGAAAACACATACGTATAGATTGATACAATATTATGTATAGCATGATGGGAAGTCAAAATCAACAAGGAATCATACCAAGAGCATTAAATGATTTGTTTGGTCGATTAACAAAAGATTAAGCTGCTTAAGTATGAAAATTCTTAGAATTAGGCTTCACTTACATTTTTAGAAATTTATAATGAAACTATTCGAGATCTTTTAACTGGCAAATTATTAGATTTACGAGAAGATGGGAACAAAGGATTAGTAGTGGTGAATTTATTCAAAGCTCCAGTACCAACTCTTAATGATATAACACAATATATAAAATATGGTAACAGCAGAAGAGCAAAAGAACCTACTGGTGCTAATGAAAATTCTACAAGATCTCATACAGTTTTGTAGTTGATGCTAAAGTAGTGCACATTTACATTTGTTGATCTAGCTGGTTCTGAAAGAGCTTCTTAGACTACAAATAAAGGTTAAAGAATGGTAGAAGGAGCAATGATAAATAGATCACTCTTAGTTCTTGGTAATTGCATTAAGGCATTATTTTCTAAGGAATAATTTGTTCCATTTAGAGGAAGCAAATTAACAAGATTATTAAAAGATGCCCTTTAAGGAAATTCTAAAACTGTTATGATTGCTAATGTTGCTCCGAATAATTATGAAGATTCATTTAATACTCTTCTTTATGCTCATAGAACTAGAAATATTGATCCAACACCTAATAATTTTCAAGAAATGATTGTTTAATTAAGAGAAGAAAATGAAGATATCAAAAAATCACTCAAAAAATAAAATAGTTCATCTAAATTATAACTTTAAATTGAACAATAATTCAAAGAATAATAGAGATAAGAAAAAATTGAAAAATAATAATAATAATAATAAATATAATAATAATAGTAATAATAGTAATAATTACAATAAGCAGAAAAATAGGCATATGATGAAGAATAAATTAAATCTATTATATTCAAATAATTTACTTAAGAATCAGAGTTGATTAAGTAATTGTTTAAATTAGAAGATACTTTGATGTAAACTCATCTTGATATAGTTGAGTATCAAAAATAGTAAAGTGTGTAATTTTAATAAAAAACAGAAGATCTTATTGCTAAATCTACTGAAACAATTAATAATACAGAAAATGAATAGTTTGAAATTGCTATGAAATATAAAAACATTTTATAATAAAGAAGAAAAATTTATGATGTAATTTATCATTAATTTAAATCTAGTAATGTATGCAAAGCCAATTTTAAACAGTTAAAGAAGAATTTAGAAAATAAGTGTAAAATATAGAAAAAATGAAAGGATTATAAAGTGAGAAGAGAGAAGAAATTATGAAGAAATTTAAAGAATTAGAAATTGAACATCTCAAAAAGATTTCTAATTAAAAAAATGGAAATTAAGTATAAATGAATGAAGAAACATTAAAAGAAATAAAGAAAAATAGATTATAAAGTTTAAATAAATAAATAAAGGATGGAAAATTGTGAATACATTAAAAAATATTAAAAATAAAAATATAAATGAATTTTTGATTTATACAAAAAAATAAATTCTCTTAGGTCATAAAATAACTTAATTTTTTTTATCCTCTAATTTTTCTAATTTCTAATCTGCTATTTCTTTTGAAATTTTCGAATCTAAATATGGTATGACAACAACTATAAAAATATAATAATATTATTTTACATAATCCATTAGTTAAATTGATTTTTAATAATTATGTCACTATTTTTGGATTTTTATCATAATATCCTGAATCTATTTCATATTAATGAATAATAAAAAAGTTTCCATATGCAACAGAACCTTCAGAATCTTGAACAGGTGAGAAGATATCTTAAGTTTAAGTTCTTCTTTTATATGGAGTAAGAATTTATTCAGGAGGATCTAAGGAGAATATATCATTTAATTTAACAGTAGCATTTCCCCAATCAAAAGTATATATTTATCTTTATTCTGTATTTCTAAATTTCATACTCTCTCCAGATAATAACAATTAATTAGTTCCATAATATGGACAACTAAATATAGGTGAGGCCAAAACATTTCTATGATATGGATCTTCATCAAGAAATTATATTTTAAATTCTTACTATGTATTTCCAAGAAATTTTTCATCTTTACAAATAAATATCTAACCTTAATGTTATTATGGTCCTCTATGATTTGGAAAACCATCAGGTTCTCTAGATACTCCACCAAAGAAAACTATTAATTTATCAAAGGCAGAATGATTAATAGTGAAAAAACTACCATCAAATCTTTCAACTAATTTCAATCTCATTTATTCCCAACGATTATTTCTAAATACATATTATGCATTCAATATTTCAAATCTTTAAGAATTATCAAATGTTGTAATCTGTTTTTAGCCATAGAATACATATAATTATCTAAATATTATAATATTATTATTATACTATCTATAGCAAGTTCCCATAAAATTATAACCTTCTTTTGGTAATTTTGGTAATTCTGTTATTTTAGCTTCCTATTCAATTTAAAATATAGATTTTGGAAATGAAACTTAAAGTACTTGATCAGACTATTAAAATTTTTCACTTTTTCTACCTCCAATTATATATAAATGATTATGAGTAAGACTTCCTTCTCCTTTAATATAAAGTGCCTATTCTAATTAGACATAAGGTTAACCTTTGAATTTCAAAGGAAACTCATACCAGATTCCATATTACACCAAGTAAACGATAAGCTAAATAATACTTTTATAATACTATTGATTAGACTTAATTATTTGTTGTTATCCTCTTAAGTGCAAAAACATAGTCTTTTTACAAAGATTGTCTACCTAAAGATATCAATTTCATAGATTTAAATAATGCTTATTTTAAATCAGTATTTTTCAATGCTACTTTAGTTTGTAGATCTTAAAATGTTTTCTTAACATCAGTTTTATTGGATGATTAAACTTTTTTATAAATTCTACTATATATTAAGGATTGTAATTTAACTAAAGTTTAACTAATTTCTTCAGCAATTAAAGCTACCTATGGTTATATTTATTCCTAATTGAGTCCCTATAATTTCTTTGTTATCCCTAATACTGCATTTGAACCTAATATTTAATGTCTCTTCATTGTTATTCTTTCTTCTACATAATATGTATTATTGTTTGGCTTATATATTAATTGAGATGTATTTAATCGAATATTAGGGTGATTTTTTTTAAAGAGCTCTAATTCTTATAGAACATGATAGAGTGTGTAGTCTAAACCAAATTCTTTAAAATTGGCATATTTTCTACATCCAGGACATGAAAAACCACTTAAATTTATTATTAATAATAATATACGTAGGATCAACTTTATTATGCATTTATGAATAATATTCAAGCCAAAATTCTAAATCAAATACACAATGAATATAATTTATTGGAGTATGTCTTACAGGAATTGTTACAGGAAGTTTAGAAAATTGACAGATTGTTGTTAGGGTCACTTCTTAACTTCCAATTTTATCTTAAAGCAGTCTTTAAAAGGATCCACTTGTATTTTGAGATTTAAGTAATAATTAATAATCATCCAACATTTATATTAATAAAATAATTTTATTTATAAACTTCTAATAAATTGATAATATTATTTGTAATTCTATTAATTTTCTTATATAAATGAATACAGATTTATATATTATTATCCTCTAGATCTATCTATTGTAAAAAAAAGCATATTCTGGATATTAATTTTTTTTATTAAAAAATACTAAATCTTTGTAAATGTATTAAATTTAATTATCTTAAATTTTTGCTAACCAAATTATTTATGTTTAATAGCTTCTTTTTAAAGGATTGTATTACTATAGATATACAAGATTTTGTTAATCATTATAATTATTCATGGTTTGAAATAGAAATTATGAATTAATCTTAATTTTTGGAATAGTGTCTTGAAAATACTTGTTTAATCATAATAATTAAATAATTGGGTTGGCAATGTTATTTAATCAATTTCATAAATTTGTGTAATCGTGCAACTTTTTTCATTAATGATGAAAAGATTGATTTCAACTTTAAGTATTTTTTAATTATTATCTTATTCAATTGCTGCAATCTTTATACAATAAGGCTTTGATCGATATTGAATATCCTTCATAAATTATTAGATTATCAAATCCTTTGATATTTTAATTTTCATCCTATCAAATAGCTAAAACTACTTAATTAATTTTATTAAGAATATCCTTTTTTTTTGAATAAATTTAACTTGAAATAAGAAATTTGATTAAAGTTTTTTTCAAATCTTTTGCTTTACTTATTAAAGTGCAAGTAATAAACTAAATCTATTAAGAAATTTATATAAAAGATTTAAAGATAGATTTTCGAGGTTTTTTTCTAAATTTGTCACAAATTCATTTTAATTATTGCTGAATTCAAGTGCTTCCAAATATTAAATAAAAATGATTAAAGGGATTTAATTTTGATTGCAGAAATAATATTGTTATTATATAAATAATGGGATATAAAATTTCTTAATTTGAATTGTTATTTATTATTTATTTGATTTTTTAACAATATGGAAGAAATTTTGTAAATTGTATTTGATTTAGGTGAATAAAAATAAGTAAAAGTAGAAAAATATAAAAGGAAACACTAAAAGTTTATAGAGATTCAGATCCTGTATAATTAGCATAAGATTTTGTTAATTAGCATAATTTAAAAAATGAAGCGATTCCAATGATAGAGGAAACAATTTGGCATCATTTGAAACAAATAACAATAAATAAAGCTTAATAATAAGAAAATATATTTGATAGATTGCATAAAGAAGCATAAATAAAATAATAAAGAAAATAAATTGAATTTGCTAATCAATAATTAAGTCAAAGAGTAAATATACCATCACCAGTTATTAAATATAATCCTGGAGATATTTTATATTAGAAAGGAATTTAACATAAAGAATAATTAGAGTAAGTATAATATTGATTATTAGACGTTTGTAAGATTAAAGAAAAATGGAATAATCTTAAATAGAATATCCATTTAAACCATTTATTAGTGAAAGAAGTTAACTTATAGCAAAGCGACCACATAAACAATCAATGCCAGATTATTTAATGTAGATGAGAAAAGATATTAGTAAACATAAAGAATAAATGAGAACAAGTAGATACTAAATAGAAACATAAGAATGTTCATTTAGACCTAATATTAATTAAATGTATAATTAATTGATATAAACAATGAAGAAGTTAAAAAATATTAATGGAAAAATCAAAAAATTCATAATCTAATATTTATGATAGATTATATAATGATGGAATGTAATCCAAAGTAAAACGTATGAGTAATATGGAAAATATTGAAAGTTAATCATAAAGTTAGCTATTAAATCAATAGAGTTCAAGAAAACATAGCAAAACTGAAATGCCATTCTTAGAAAGAATGCAAATATCAGTTTTTCAATAAAGGAAGAAAAAAGAAGCCATTAATCCATAATAAGAATATGATTAAAGCACAGGATAAAAACTATATCATCCTTAAATATGCAGACCTCCTATATCTGTATAATATATATATTTAATATTAGCGTAATGCTGATCATCTACCTATTGGAGAATATTTGTATTAAATGAGAACAATCAAAGAAGATAAATTTCATTTTTTAATAGAATAAGATAGATAGGATTAATAAAATTAAAGAGCAAGATCTCTTGATAAGTCAAATCAAATTTATGAAATCAAAAAAAAAAAGTTTATTTATGAAATCTTTAATTTATTAGATTCAGATAGTGATGGACTCATTTCTGCATAAAAAATAGAAATATCATCAATTAATTCTGAAATCTTATAAATATTAACTCCTTTGTTATGTGAAATGGAATAAATTAATGCTTAGTTGAATCAGCAATAATTTTATGAAGCAGCAAACAGACTTATATAAACATTGCCAATAGTTGATAGAGATAAGTTATTGAAAGGATTATCAAGTAAATAAAAAACTTAACAAGAAGAATATTCGTTTTAAGTATATCAATTTTATGATAATATAGCCTAAATTAAATTAAAATTCAATGAGAATTGTCAGTACAAGATAAAATCATTCAGTAAGTAATCATAAACATCAAATATACTAAAAAGATGAGATGTAAGAATGTACATTTAAACCTAAATTATATACTCCACTTAAAATATATGAATTTATGCTTAATTAATGAAAATGACTTAATTATTATATTTAAGCAACTAATTAATTAAATTTATCTATATCTTACATATCAAAATAAATTAGTCTTTAGAAAAGTGATTGGTTTTTCAATATGAATTCAAATAATAAAGATTGGATGAATAAAAATGTTAAATTAACATTGACTGTAAATTTATAAAAATTAATTGGTTATTGCATGTTAGCAAGAAAGTGTAAATTATACGATAATTAAATATAATTGTAGATAATAAATTAATAATAACTTTAAAATCTTGAGTTTATACTAAACTATAATTCGTCATTCAAAAATTTATAATTGTAGATAATATTGGGGAGAACATATGAACATCATATGTCTATTTATTAAATTTAGTAAATAGAAATTTATATATTGTTTTCGGTGTGATTAAAATATAACTAAAAGATGAGAGAAAGGATAAATAAGAGAAATTTGGCTTAGTAAAATTTTTAGAAACTTGAAATAATGAAAGGATGTGAAATGAATTAAAATAAATTATTAAGAAATTAAAAGGATATTTAATTTAATAATGAAAAAATTTCTAAATTCTTTCAAGTAAATTGTGGGATCATAAAATATGATAACAGATCCATTTGATTTGAAACCTTTGAATTAAGATTGGTAGAGATTCTATTAAGGAAAGTCTGAATTGGCTGTCACTCCTACTTCAACAAAGATGGTGAGTGAAGTTTTGTAATTTTGCAATTAAAATAATATAAAAGTGGTACCATAAGGAGGAAATACAAGTTTTGTAGGTGGAGCAACTCCAGTTTAAGATGAATTAATCTTAAGTTTAAAAAAGATGAATAACATTTTAGAATTCGATACAACAACATCTATAGTAACAGCTGAGTCTGGTGTAATTTTGCAATCTCTTAATGATTATTTGTAAGCATATAGATGTATAGAATGAATTAAATTAATATAGATTAAATGCCTTGGGATTTAGGAGCTAGAGGATCATGTTAATTAGGTGGAAATATAGCAACAAATGCAGGTGGTTTAAATGTAGTAAGGAATGGTCCATTAAGAAATTATGTAATGGGTTTAGAAGTTGTATTACCTAATGGAAAAGTTTTGAATTTAATGAATAAGAATAGAAAAGATAATACAGGAACAGATTTGAAATAATTATTTATTGGATCTGAAGGAACTTTAGGAATTATAACATAAGCAAATGTATTATGTAGTCCAATACCAGAATAAAGATAAGTATTTTTTTTAGAGTTAAATGATTTTGATGAAGTCATATATTTATTGAGATCAGCTAAATAATTTGAATAATTAGGAGCATTTGAATTGATGGAAGGTAGAATTTTAAAAAGATGTTTACCATTTAATGGTTAATTAAAGGCTCCATTTGAATTTAAAGAGGATAAGTATTATGTTTTAATAGAGATTTGTGGATAATAGATAGAATTAGAATATTATTTTGAACGTTTATTGAAACATACAGAATAGATAGTGTTTAATTAGAATGAATCTGAATTGTAGACAATGTGGAGATGGAGAGAAAGTGTACCAGAAAATTTACATAAAATGGGACATGTTTTAACATATGATTTAAGGTATATTATATAAACATAAATAAATAATAGTATACCACCTGATAAATTTGAATGGTTTGCAGAATAAGTTTATTATGGAAGAAAAGGTCCTTATAATGCATTTTATGGACATTTAGGAGATGGAAATATTCATTATAATATAATTTTTGATAGTGTAGAGGAAATGCATAAGGAATAATAGAGAGTTGAAGAAAAAATAATAACTTTAACAAAGAATTTGTATGGATCAATAAGTGCAGAACATGGAGTTGGATAATTAAAAAGACATTATATGTAAGTTTAAAAAGGCAAAGATACATTTAAATACATGTAGACTTTAAAGGAGTTATTTGATCCTAATAACATTTTAAATCCTGAAAAGTTATTATGAAATATATATAACATTATAACATTATTTATTATTGTCCTGACATTGAAATGTTTAATTATAATGAAAGGAGGTTTTATGAAAATATTTAGTTGAATATGGTTTATTAGGATCTCTTATGTAATAATCATCGATGTCATCTTTATATTGATCATTTGCTATTCTAAAAATTAGCTGTTGTATGTTAGATTTCCAGACATCGTTAATTTTATTAATGAAACACAAAATACCAACTTTAGATCTACTAAAAACAACTAGACCAACTAGTAGATGTGATTCTAGATAATAATCACGTGTTTCTTTCAGAATTATCATAAATACTCCATAATCTACTACACGTTATACAAATCCATAAACTTCAAGAATGTTTGAATAATCAATACTTAAAAATGATTTATCATAACTCAAATCAAAACATCGTAAAGTCAAAACTGAGACAGATCCTGTTGTATTTTGGGATTAAGTTTAAAACTATGGACACATTCGAACCATACAACCACCTAAATTTAATCAAGAAAAACAAAGCTTATTGTATCAAAAACTTAAAAAAATGAAAATGGAAAAAGAAGAAAAAATAAAAAAGGAATAAGAAGAAAAAGAAAGAATAAAACTATTAGAATAATAAAAAAAACAAAGAGAACAATAAGCTATAGAATAAGAAAAAAAAAAAATAATTGAATCTTAAAAATATCAAGAATACCTAGCTGAAAAATATAAAATTGATCGAAGATTTTCTATATTTACTCTGGTAAATGCATTAATGTTAAGAAAATTACATTCTAAACCTACATCTTTTAAATTAGCCAGATTAATTGCCAATCAATACCTTAATCTGTTAAACTATAAAGCAATATTACATAAAATTACAATGTAACAATCTAAACCCTTATAAATATCTTAAATTCTATAAGGAAATGTTGAATAATTAGCTTAATTGAAAAATGTATAACATAGATTAAATGAAGGATTAATTTTAAGGAGAAAATAAACAAGAATCTTTTTAAATAAATAAAAAACTATTTATGAATAAACTTAAGCACCACCTTAATTTTCAGAACCAGTACTTAAACGTATTCGTTTTCTTTAAGCTTGTCTTAGATTAAAAGTTTTTAAATTAAATAAGAAAAATATTGAACCAAAATAAAAAGTGAAAACTTAAAAAGTTCATCCTAATAGAGTGAGAGCACTTAAAAAAAGATTAGATGATATTGATTTTATAAAAGCCAATTCTCCTTCTTATAATAGTCCACTTTCATCACCTGGATTACCTGTAGCAAATCCTTTAGGATTATTTTGTACTTTGTATAAAGTTACAGATACACTTAAAAATTACGATAGAATTAAAACTCAAAAAATGATATAAAAAACTAATGATTATTTAGTTAAGAGAGTATAATCATTATATTATCCTGTTATTAGATATGTATCCATATTTTATAAAAATGTTGTTGTTTGGTCAATTTAATATTCTGATATTACTTTAGATAGAACATGTATTGTACTATTTTTTAAAGGTGAAGGTAGATCACAATATTTTTATCGGTTAGATATACCTATTGGAGCTATACAAAAAGAAGATATTGAAGAATAAAATTGTATTACTGTATGGCCAACTGTTCGTGATTATCTTATGAGTTATCTTGAATTAAAAGGATAATTAGCTTTATTAAATTAAACTAAATATGGATTTGCTAAAAATTATAAATTGAATTTTATCTAAGGTTTATCTATACGTTCTAGAAAAAACATTACTGATGAAGATATTAATGCTATTGTAGAAACTAAAGAAATACTCAATTATCTCTAAACATCATAAATTGTTAGAATTAGAAAAATCTTTGGGTCTGTTTATGAATTATTACCTTAATTTTAAGATTGTTCTCTATTGTCTGATTCTACTTAATATATTTTAAATTTACCTCTTGTACATGATATTATTTTACAATTAAAAATGTTAGAACAATAGATATTAGAATATAGACGTAACATTTATTAAAAACCATAAGATTTATCTACTAGATATAAGAGTTTTGTTTTAAATAATAAAAACATACTTAATTAAATTTTAGCTTTTCGTTTTGTTCATAATAATAGTATGTTTTTTTAAGATTAAATGTTAGATGATATATATGATCTATCTCATAAATCTATTTATATCTAATGTGCAACTATCAATATTCAAGATATTCTAAATCATTATGACTATTAAATTTGTAATTAAATCAGTAAATACTGTCTTATAAGTCTACATTTAACTCTCAAGAGTAAATTTCATTTTGATGATTTATTATTCAATGCATAAAAACATTAAGTTAGAACTGGATTTTAAACTATTAATAATTTTTTTGTAGTTGATTATTCACATTTTGATTTGAAATTTAAATAAGAATATTTCAAAGTTAGAATTGAAGTAACTGTATTTGAGAGAGATAAATCATTTAAATTGAGTGAAAAATAACTTTCTTAGGATATTATACAATCAAGAAATGAACGTGCTTTTAAACCATTAAAAATGAAATTAGATGATTTCTGTAAATTAGGTTAAGCTTTGTAAGAAACTACATTTAATAATGGTGATATTCAATAATGTAATTTTGATTAAATTCTCAAAAATATACTGTTTGAATAATGTTCATATTCACAAGTAGCTGATCTAGTGTTAAAAAATGCATTCACTTTAGATATTAAAAATAAGAAAATTATAATCTAACCTAAGTATCTTCACATTTTATCAAAAACTCACAATTTTATATAAAAAATGGATCATCAAAGTCTTTATAATAAAATTGATTGTGTTTTTAAATATAGTGTATATCCCAATGAATAACATGATATTAGAAGAGGATTTGAAAATAGAGAAAAAGAAAATTAAATTGCTTAATAGTTACCATTTAATAAGTTATTTTAGGATATTAATTAAATTGATATGAGAATTACAGTTGAAGCTAGAAAGATTGAATAAGTTACTGATTATGCTTTTGATTTTTAGGATTAATGGAGTGATTTACACAAATAATCTATGACCTATAATAAATATTAAACTTTTGAAATGTTTTCAAGAAAGTTTTTATTTATACATTAAACTAATTTTATGAAGATTATCTACATCAAAAAAAATCAATCTCCAATCATATTATATTTATATGATTAACATTTAATTCATTAAATTTCTAATTGTTAAAAAATGAATAAATATTAAAAAAGTTAAATCTTAACAGGAATTATTCGTGTTTTATATTCTCCTACTTCATTTTTATATTTAAAAGATCATTAATTTTATAACTATTTAAAAGCATAATTGCCCAATTATCATCAAATAAAAGTATTATTAGTAAGTAATTCAAAAAAACTTTTGTAATTTCTTGATAGATTAGATTATATTTACATATTAAAATTATGGAATAATTAATAGTGTTATGTTCATGTTAAAGTTTATTATTTGTAAGATCAAAAATAACAAGAAGGTTCATAAAAAATTTACTTTTATGATAGTGAACATTTATTTGTTAGTGTAGAATTGTATGAGTTTAATTCAAAATTAAAGAAATACATTTTATTATTTAATAAATATGATTTAGAATTATAATTTGATGTTCAAAAGTATTTTGATTCTAATATCATATTTAATTGGTGTAAAGCTATAATTTCAAATACAAAGTTTGATAAGAGATTTTTATATAGAGTGCCTTAAATTATGAAATATAATTAAAATCATTCTCCTGTGAATTTAAATAAATATATGTTAAATTCAATTTTTAATAGGTCATAATCTATCAATGTGATTTATAATGAAAAAGTTACAAGATGTACATTTAATGAATTTCCAAAAAATAATTTTGATCAAAATACAACTGATAAAAATTATTTAAACACTGTTCATAGAATTTTTAGAGTAATTGGACATTATATATAAAAATTTTATTTGATAAAATAAAAAAATAAATAAAAAATAGTTAATGAAATGAGATTTAAAGAATTAAAGAATGTTAAATTATTAAAATAGGAATTTGTAATTATTACAATACTTGCTCATACTTATTTAGATATGTTTTAAATACTTTATTACTTTCCAAGAAGTAAAAGGAAATTGATGACTTATATAAATATTTTACATTTTTAGGAGATGGATTTTAAAGATCATTTTATTTTTAATTTGATTGATAGTTCTTAATTTACTGATTACAATGATTTATCAAATAAAGAGAAAATAAATTATATAAATTCAAAAAAACATCCATAATTAGATATGAATTTAATATAGAAGATTAAATTAATAAAAAAAACTGAATAATCACCTTTTGATTTATAATCAGCAAGATAAAAAAAAAAGTTTTCATAAAAAGTAGGATTTGCTTAGATAAGCAATGAGATATTATTGAAAAATAAAGTAATAAAGTAAGCAATAAATTAAAATAATTAAATATCAGAAAATGTGATGAAATTTTTAAGTTTTACAAGAAAATTACATAATTATGAAGATAATCATGAAAAATTAATAGAAATATAGATTTGGAATAGATTGTTGAATGAAGTATTTTTATTAAATTTGGAACATGATAAAAATTTCAATAATTTTAATACATTGATGGAGAGATTAATGGAAACATTTGAAGATTTTTAGGATTAGAAAATAAAAATAATAGGAAAAGAACATTTGATGAAGAGATAATCTATGGAAAATTCAAGATATAATTATAAGGTATAAAGAGAATTGACAGAGAAATTTGAAAAGTTGATTATAAGCAATCATGTTAGAGTTACTTAATAATTTAAATTTTCAAAAAGTAGATATATTTTGAATACAAATTTTTATGATGGTTAAATAATGGAATTTATTTGTAGTGCATAATTTAGAATTGAAAGATTAGGATCAGCTTATGTGGAATGTTTTTTAGAACCGTTAAATAATAAAAGAACTGATATTTTAAAACCATTAAATCCAATGCCTTATTCTTCATCTTCTAATTATAATATATATTTTAGATATTACTGTTTAACTAATTATTTCTTTAAAGATATAAGAGTAAATCTTAGAGAATTATTAAATTTATTTATAGCTGATGGTTTTTTTAAATCTTAAACTAATTATATGAATAGTAAATTATCTATATCTGATATCATCAATATGTGTCATTATTTAACATACAAAATTAAAACATAAAACTATTTAAATTTATCATAATTAGCCTTATTACATTAAGAGACAGCAAATACTTTAAGAAAATATATTATAACTGAGAGTGTAGATCAATTTTAAACTGATAAAAAGAATGATGGAGAAGGATACATTTATAGTGAAGTAATTAAAAAAAAGAATAAACATCTTGTTTTATTATAATTATAATTATTTCATACTTAACATAAAGTTATAGTAAACATGTTTGAAAATAAGACAGATTACTTTTAATAAAAAGAATTAACTTTTACTTATATTTAATCTGTAGCTCCCAATTTTTAATTTCTAATTAAGACACGCAATTTTTTTAAAGCTCTTTAAAGATTAGTAGAAGTACTTAAATAAAAATAATGATGATACTAATTTATATAAATAATTTTAATTAATAATAATAATAATTAATGAGTTCAATCTAATCAGGATAATTATTCGTTAGTCAAGCATTTAAAAATTGTTTTAACCAACTTGTTCCAGATATGAAAAAATTCAATGGTCAATATACAGAATAAGATCAAGATGCTATGACAAATTGTTTAGTCCGATATATTGATAGTTTCCGTACAACTTAGAAGGTCTTCTATTAGACTCATGAGCAAGAATGAAACAAATAAGTATATATTTATCAATAAAACAACATTTCATTATATTCTGCATAATATATATATATATATATATATATATTAAATATTTTTCTATTCAAGTTACTAGAATGAATCAATTTACTATTCCTTCACTTTTCATATGACTATAGAGATTATTTAAATTGAATTTGATCAGGAATTGGATATCAAGAAATTTAATTCTATATTTAATCTATTTTATTAAGTATGAATGAGACTGATTTATTAAGAAGTAAAAGGGAACTATTTCACAGTGAAATTAGAAAAAATCAATTAGAAAAAATCTTTAATGTGAAAAGAAAAGTTTCAAATTCTGATACACTTATTTCTGATTATTATGCTTAGTAAATACAATATATGGGCAAGATTAAATTATTGGATCTATTAGTATTAATAAATGAGAAAGTAAATAAACCTATTATTGAAATGGTTTAAAATGATCTTGGTGTTTAGTTATGTAAATTTCTTAATTTAAATGAACTCTATTCTAATTGGGATTTGTTTAAAAATATATTAACTTATTTAAATAATTTAGTATTATTGCCAGATGAACATTTGTGTAATTATCCAAAATTTAATGACATGCTTATAGCATTTTCATAATTATTTATACTTTTAGAATCTGAAATATTTCGAAAAGGATTTTGTATCAAAGGAAACGACTAAAATTATCCATTAGAAATGGGATAAGATGATATATGTAGATTATCATATACATTCATTAAAATTGGTTAAATTTTGATGTATTCATCAACAACATTTTAATCAAGAGGAGAATTATTAAGAAGTAAAGTTTTTGTACATAGTATATGTCATGCATTTCATGTATTTATTTATAATACATAATTTAGAATTAAATGGATAACAATGTTCTAGAATTCCATCTACAATTAATTGCCTCTTTATTGTAGGATTTGTACAAGTAGGATAATGATTGTAAAAAACATGTTGAAGTCTTTATTAAACCTATTTGTAGTGCATTGTCAACTAAAAATTTGGATAAATTAAATTATTTATTATAAATTTTGCTTAATTTGACATTTGTAGGAATGCATAATGGATATGTATAAAATATATATAGATATTCAAAATTAGATTAATCAAATTTTTTAATTTAATGGAGCTTTATAATTGATGTCAATTTTGAATGAAGGTTATAATGATTAATTGACTTTAAGAATTATAGCAGAAATAGCATCATAAAGTCCAGCTCATATTGAAATTCTAAATAAAAATGGATTAGTCTAATAATTAAAAACTAAACTATGTTCAAATAAGTAATTAATCTATATTTAATATAATATAGTAAATTAGTTTAAAATTAAGCCTTATGGGTCTTAGAATTTTGTCTTTGTGGAGGCAAATAATTTTATGATATCATATTTACATAAAATGATATTACAAATTATGTTATCCAATTATTGAATTCATAAGATGAATAGATACATATTTAAGCGTGTTTTACTTTATGTGCATATCTTCAAAAAGGTAATTTTCAATAAACACAATAACTATGTTAATCTAAAATACATTTAAAAGTATTTTAATTTTTGCATTTGCAAAATGTAGAATTATAATAGGCAATTCTTGAAGTTATTGTAGAAATATTGAACAAAGAAACATGGCAAAGTAATGAATACTCATTGATATGTCCGTCTGAAAAAGAAAATTTACGTTTTATTTTAGAAAAGTTTGATGGAGATCAATCTATATATTCAATGATAAATAATGTATTATCATATTTATGAAATTATATATAATATAATTATAATAAAATGCCAAAAATTTATAAAAATTGAAGCAGTAAATTATAAGGACATTAAATTTGATACTGAGAAAGAATAATTTTTCAATTTCTATTTTGAAGTACCTTAAAGATGGTTTTAAGATGATGGAGAAATAATTTTTGGTTTAAAGTTCCTCATTTTATTCATAAAAAAGTAATCTAAAATTATACAAAAATAAGGGCATGTCTTTCTGTAGTAAAACAGAACATAATAAAATTGAAAAGATAGAATTAATATAAATATTTCTTAAAAATATGTTGTAAAAAGAAAAAATGTTCATATTTGATTAATAGTACTATAAAAAAATGAATGATAATGAAACTCTAATAATGAAGTGAATATTGAAGTAAAGTAACACTTTAATAATTTTAATATAAAACATAATATTGATATAATCATGATTAGTATATTCATGATGTATAGATGGCAATAAAATTAGGCAAAGATTTTGGAATATTTCTCAAGACTTATGAATTTTTATTCAAAATATTTTCTGATCTATATGTTTTTTAAATATTTTGAAATGCCTTGTAATGAATAGATTCAATTGGATTAAAATAGATAAATTTAGTTTGTTCAGGTTTTTCTTCTAAAATTTTGGATGAATGATTAGATTATAAATTAAGATAATGATCTAAATTCCAGATTTAATTGGAATTCTAATTAGTAAACATGGGTTTGCTAAATGAATTTTAATTATCTTCAACGCCACAAATAAATGAACTAAATTTAGAATCATTAATTTCACTAATAATACTTAATTAAGTTTTTTAATTATTAAGTCCAGAATCATAAATTCTAATTTCTTTTTTAAAATTTTCTAAATTATTATTGATTTAATGGATTTAAGTATTAATAATTTAAAGTATATATTCTTTAGAACAGAAATAAATCATACTTTTTTCTATGTTAACTAAACAAGGGGTTAATTCTTCAGAAATAATTGAATCTTCATCTAGATGTCCAACAGCATATTTGACAAGTGTAGATCTTTTCATTTATATTCTTTCATTTTTTTCAACATCTTAAGAGATTGAACTTTTTCTAAATTCTGTTATGATTTAATCATTTTTAGATTATCCTTATCTCCAAATAATTTTATTTTTGATAACTTCAATAGCTTAAATTTATTCATTATTAAGTTGTTATCCAATGAGATTGCCTAATATATCTTATAATGTCACAATTTATCCATTTTGTAAACTAAATATACTGAATTAAATACTTTAGGGTTAAATCTTTTTCTCTTTTAACAAGACTATTGAATCTATTTTTAACATTATTTTCGCTTCTAGTCCCATTAAATAATTTAGATATATCTGCCCATTTCCTACCATAATTTTAAATATAAGTTAATAATTTAAAATCTTCATCATCATTCCAAGGATCCCTAAATAAATAAGTTGAATATACTTTTTAATTTTAGGATTAAGATGATTCAACCATCTTTCTCTACATTATTTACTTGATCGATAATTTTTACTCTATAAATTTAATTCATTTGCAATTAAACTCCATTTCTATCCTTATTCACCTTCTTAATATTTGTTGATAATATTAAGTAATAATTAATCTTCATCTTAAGTGAAAGGTTTCGATTGTAAATCTGTCTTTTGTAATTATGACCATTTCTATTTACATTATACTGGATCTCTCCTATAAATCATTTCAGATACATCATTCCAAAATTCATCTGGTAAATCTCTAATATCCAAATCTTAAGCTTGACTTAATTTACCCACTATCCATATTAATACTTTCTTTTCTTCTAAAGTCCAATTCTTCTTCTTATGATTTAACAAACCACTACTAACATGAAGATTATGTTAAATCTAACATATTTCTTCATCAGTTGGAAATTATGTCAAATTTGTATTAAAGAATTCTTACATATACAAAAATTAATTGTAACACTCTCCTGCCTACGATTTTTAAAATTCCAAAAAATTTCCATAACTGCCTTAATCTTAAACAGATTTATTTCTTTTGTTTGTAAGTTTATCATTTTTTCTAGAAGATAAAGAACGACTTGATTTTAACATATAATATATTTTATATACAAAGTCAAATTATATGATCAGGTTTAAACACACCTGAATTATACAATAATACAGTTTCCTTACTTATTTAAGGTTACCATGATTTACTCCATTAATACAGTAAATACTATAATTTTTATTTTTATTCAATCCTCAAACATTCCTATTTTGATGATAAATTACCCAACATTTATAATGCAAGCACCTTCCAAAATTCCGATTTCATTAATAACTTAATCTTTTAATGTAATTAAAATGCCACTTTCTAATTCAATTTATTCACACAAGGTCCTGTTATTGTCATTAATCTTAACAAATATAAATCATCTTCTGAAATTAATATTTCTTCATATGCTTTATTGAGATCTCCTGCATCTAAATATTACAATGCCTTATTCCATTCTGCTACTTATACAACACCCGGTTATTAAGGTTTTGATTCCTTTTATGCATTTATGGGAGGATCCTTTATTAGATTTTAGAAGTTTCTTCTCATTTTATTTATTTTATTATTGTTATGAGTTTATTAAACTTCAATCCTGCTGTTAGGACTGAAATAACTACGTATGCAATCTATAGTGTAAGATAGTCCACGATCAAAAAAAGTATTGGCTACTCTTGGTTTGCTTGTTTAAGATCTCTATTATCCTACTAGAGATGAAATCCTGTTATAAGGAGTCTAATTTGAAGATGTTGACTATTATGTTGAAGCCAAATTAAAGCATATGACTGACAGAGTTGATAGATTCTTAGAACTTGTTAAATAAGAATATCATAATATTTCTGAAGATCATGAAAAAAATGTAACTTATAAACTATCATCTAGTCTCAATCTAGTCAATTGTAAATGAGTCAATCTTTTATGTAAAAGCAAGAACAAATTCTAAGAGCATTGTAAAACAAATAAAAGATTGAAATTGAAAGAGAAATATAAACTGAAATGAAGATAGAAGAAATGAAAAGGAAGAATTAATTAAAGGAAAAGCGAATAGAAGAGTTAAGGAAAATGTAGGAGGAAGATTTTCAACAAAGAATGCAAGAAAAAGAAGAAAAACTCAAATTACGAGAATAAAAACTTAAATAAGCAAAATTGTAAGCAGACTTACACAATGAAACTATCATGCGTAAATTTTAGGAAGAAGAATTAAAAATATAATAAAAATAAGAAAAATATGCTTTAATGAAACAATTAGAGAAAGAAGAAAGGGAAAGAGAAATATAAGATAAAATGTAAAGAAGGGCTTAAAGAATAGCTGAACAAGAATAACAAATTCTAAATGAAAATTAAATTAGATAATAAGACTACAATAAAAAATTATAAAATATGGAATAAATGTTACATGAGAAATAGTAATACATTAAATAGTAAAATTAATTAAAAGAAGAAAGAGCTAGGGAAAAATATTAAAATGCTACAGCTTTAAAACAATTAGAAACATATTAGATGGAACAAAGAATTCATTCTAAAGAAAAAGATATATAAATGAGAAATACTATGTAAGAATTGAATAGATAATAATTGTTAAAATAAAAAAGAAATTAGGAATAATAGAAACATTAAATGATGGAATAAAAGAAATTTATAATAAGTTAAGAATTAAATAAAAGAAACTAAGATTATTTTAGTTAAGAAAAAGAAAGAGAATTAAAGAAATCAAGATTGGAGGAGTAAAAGAAATTAAAAAGAGATGAAAGCAGTCTTATATTATAATCTCATATGGAAGAAGTTTAAATGGTATATTAATTAAAATATTATTTAGAAATAAAGATATTTAGATAAATAGATTGAATTGGAGAATTAAAGATTTATGGCTTAAAAATAATAATAATTTTTATATGCTGAAGAATTGAGATAGAAAAATATTTTAAATATGAAAAGAAAATATGTTTAAGAATTATTAAAATTAGAAGATGCTGCTTAGAATTATTAAATTCAGAAACGAAAAGAATAATATAGAAATGCTATCTTACTAGATGTATAAAATAAAATAGTATTTTAGAAATTTGAAGAAACTGATAGAAGAATGAAGTAACAATAAACAGAATAATAAAAATTATAAGAGACAAAAAAATAGATGGAAATAACAATATAAAATGAAAAAATGAGAATTTTAGCAGTATTAAACAAAAAATTTATTTAGAGGAATTTGATAAAAAAAAACAGTAATTAGCGGAAGAAAGAAGTAGTCAATAGATCAGTTAAATTGTGAAAGTCAATCCGACAGATAGGATTATAACTAATAAACCTGTAAAAACTAAAAGTGCAACAAGTTTTCATTTACCACCTGCAAAAGAATAAAAAGAATAAAAATTAGTATCAGAAAATAGATCTACTAATAATAAAAGTAAAAGAACATTGGATGAAAAATCTATGTCCACTACATCATAAAAGAAAAGACATTATTTTATTTCTGAAGATACAATGAAAGCTGTTCAATTATATGCAAACGGAGAAACATTGAAGTAATTTTAAATTGAAATACGTCCGAGTAAAAAAAAGAAATGAAAGAATTTGAACAGAATTATATCTATATACAAATAATAAAATCACTATTTTTGTGTAGTTTTTATTAAAGTAATATTTATAGATAGATTATATTTAAATTTTTTGTAATTGTTAAATAAAATAATATTATTTATTAATATATTTATTTTAAATAAATGATAAATTTTTTTATACATAAATGGAATAGTATAGGGATATTAAATATAAATAATATTTAATTCAAAAATTTAAATCGATTGTTTATTTATGGAGAGAAAACTATCTTTTTTACTTGGATTAAAATGCATTTTTGATTTGACCTAAAATTATTTTTTTTGGTTATTTAACACTGTTTGGTCTAAAATTAATTTATGGTTTTTAAGTATTAGTAGTTTATTAACTATTTGATCTAACAGTTTTTTGACTTGCTAGAAATAAATATTTAAATTAATTTACTTGTATATTATCTAATTTTGATTTAAGGAGGTTATCTTTTGACTTTTTCAAAATCTTCTTTAATAAGAACATTCTTCTCAAAAATACCAAATTTAGTTTATTCTCCATTTTTACACTATAATAATTATTAATATATACATATTCTCCCTCTCCACATTGATTTCCTTTATCCCACATTCCGTAATAATATGATCCATCTTCCCAAAACATCTTTCCAAATCCATGTCTTAAATCTTCAAAGAAATTTCCTTCATATCTACTTCCTGTAGGCCATCTATAAATACCAAAACCACATTTTTTATCATTAACATATTCTCCTTCATAACAATCAGATTATTATGCATTTTTATCTTTAATCCAATTTCCTCTTCCATGTCTCTATCCATTTTTAAATGTACCATTATAATAACTACCTAAATTCCAAAAGTACTCTCCTTAACCTTCAGGTTTCCCATTAACATAATATCCTTTATATATATCACCATTTGATAAATATTCAATTCCTTATCCATGTTTAAGATTATTATGAAATTCCCCTTCATATTTATCTCCATTTATTGCTATATACACACCATATCCATTTGTATTACCCATTTTCCATTCTCCAATGTAAGAATCATTATTTACGCCTATCCAAATTCCTTATCCATGTTTTAAACCATTTAACCAACTACCTTCATAATATTCTCCCTTATCCCAAATAAATTTACCCATTCCTTCAGGTTTACCATTTATATACATCCCTTCATATATACAATTATCTGGTAATTATTCATATCCTTAACCATGTTTTCTATTATTCTCAAAATTTCCTTCATAAATTCTTCCATTATTACAAATTAAAACTCCTTTTCCATTTCTTTTACCATTTGCTATCTAACCAAAATAACATGAATCTTTATAAATTTTCAATTTGCTATTTTCCATATTAACAAGATTCCCATATTCAAATTGTTTATTATGTGCCTTATAGTTTTTAAATTTTTCTATAAATTCTTCATTTTCCTCAACACTATCCTCTTTAGGTACTCTAGTTTTCAAATTTGATTCATTACGAATTTTCACTCTATAGCTATTCATGATTCTCACTATTCTTCGTATATAATATTTACACTTCAGAGATGTCTTTACTATTAACGATTGAGTAATACATTTATTAATTAAATTTTATATATTATTTTTATGGATTCCAATCATAATTTTTAATCATTAAAACTCTTGTTCATAATTATATCTTTCATTTATTTAAACTTTTATTATTAAAAAAATTGAAATCTTATTAATGAATTCATTATTTAATTTTCTTATATTCAATCTATATATACTGAACTATAAGAAATTAAATCTTAACACTTTATAGTTATTCACTAAAATTATCTTTTTTATTCGAAATTCTCTCTTTTATTGAAAAAGTTAATTAATATTAATAGTTACATGCCAATACATTTTTAGGTTATATTTCTATTAAATTTTAACTTGCTAATTAAACTATAGAAAATTTTATAGAGCAAAAAAATTAACATAATCAAAAATTAATAGATTAATATGACATAAGTTTATGAATAGAAAAAAGGAATTTTTTTAATAATGAATAATTGAGAATTAATAGATAAAACTTTAAGAATTCTTGAGAATTATAATTATTAATAAGTAATAAATAATGATTCTTAGAATTAAGCTATAATATATATTTTTGAATAAATAAAAAGAGTAATAAGATAATAGAGAATGTTTCTTTATAAATTGTTTATAGCTACAATGTTTGTTTTTGAAAAAAAATATAATCATTACCTTCTACTGATAATAGATGGTCTTATGTCTCTGTTATATACATGTTACTTTTAAACAGAGTTTTCTTCTAAACTTTATTAAGAATCGAGATTATGTTTTTCAAGTGTTGGATTTAATATTTATTTAGATCTTAGACTGATAGAATGTCCAACATAGTCACTATATATTGTAGAGAAAGCATCACCAAAGAATGGATGTTAAAGTGCTTAATAAGCTGTAATTCTTTCATCAGGATCTTTAGCTAACATTGCCTTTAGTAATTACTAAGAATAATATAAATAAATTACAATGCAATTTTTAGAATAATTATGTTATTATACTATAGACCAATCTATTTAACATTTCTTATTATTTGCCAAAACTTGATCAGATGTTTATCCTTAAAAACAACTGATTCCTTTTGATAATCTAGAAATATGAGATAAATAAATACAATTTAAAAAATACAACTCCAAGACTAAAAATATCGCAAAGAGATGTCCAAGCTCTCTATTAATCTTTTCTCATATTAACAATTTCAGGAGCCATATAACCAGGAGTTCCACATCTATTATATTATAATTAATTTTTAATGCTGAGTCCAAAATCAATAATTTTAACACTATTATAATGTTATTAAGATATCATTATGTTTTATGGTTTAATATCTCTATGAATTACTTATTCTTAATGGATAATTGCTAATGCCATAAGTAAAGCTTAAAGTATTGTTTTAATGTCTGATTCTTTAAGAACATGTTAATTTTTCTTAAGTTAATCAATTAAAGTTGATAAGGCTATTCCATCTAAATATTCTACTATTATTCCATAATGATATTCTTCCACACGATATACTTCATAAATTTTCAAGATTGAATCATGATTAAAAGATCGTAAAATTCCAATTTCATTTTCTACTAATTACTATTATTATACAATTATTTTTACCATGTTTTCTTTATCATTCTTTTATTTACTTGATACATATTTCATTGCAAATACTTTTTTATCTTACTATCTAAATATTTTATAAACAGAAGAAAATGATCCTTTCCCTATCAATTCATCTATTTTATAATGATCATCTAAGGAATGGAACCCAATTAAACAACTAATCTCTTGTCGAAATTTTTGTAATTATTCTGATGCTGCTTCGAAGTACTTTACATTCTTTCTATATTATTCTTATTTTCAAAACTTACTTATATTTTATACCAAAGGCACGATTTTAACCATGTTCTTATTTCCAATAAACTATATTTTTTAAATTCAGTTCTAATTTATACTTAGGATTTGGATCATTAATATGCTAAGATTATTGCTAATTATATACTTCTCCTATTGTTATCATATTGGGTAAAGCATGAACATAATAAACTTTATCTTTAAATAAGTGACGACGAACACATTTAAATGAGTATTTTACAGTCCCATAATTTATTGATGGTTATGTTTAAATTGTTTCACCTATTGATTATAGCATATATTTATTAATAGATTCAATTTGTTATACTAAATAAATTATTTCAAGTACTTAACATCAAATATTTTCTATCTTATAATTCAAAATAGATTTTGTTTGATTTCCCTATATATTCATATTTATGAAAATAACTGAATCAAAAATATTATCGAATTTTGATGCAAAAAGAAAGTTTTTTTTTTTAACAATCCAAAAAAATGATAAAATAAATAAAAATAATTTATTGTTAAATAAAAGCAAATATTTAAAGATTGTTAATGAATTAAATATATTATTTAGTATTGAATATAAGTATAATATAATTAACTAATCAAAATATCATGCATTCTCCACAACATGTTCTATTTTTTGGTTATTCTTGTATTTCTTTTCTTTCATAGTTTGATTTATTTGAACTCTCTCTTTAAATAACAGATGTGACAATAGATTTCTCATCTTCTTCCATAACAGTAGTTTCCATTTAACTCAGTAATTACTAAACTTTTTATTCTTAACCATTAACTAATTCATCTAATTCATATTGCAATCTTTTTTTTTCATCGATTAATGTTAACAATAAAAGTTCTTCATTTTTTGCAGTTTTTTCTTTTAATAATAATTTTTATTCCTATTTTTTTTATTTTAAAAGCGTCTTTTCATCTAGTTCTTATTGTTTTTATCTTTCTAATTTCATTCTTCTTTTAATAAATTATTAATTTTGTTTATTAATTTACTCTTATTCTTTGATTTCTAAATTGATATCTTATAGTAATAATTATTTATCTTTAATAAAATTAGTTAATTGATTTAAGACTACTTAATCTTTATTTGTTTATGTAATATATTTAGTAATAATATCTTCTAAATCATCTATTTTCTTGAATATAATAATAAAGAGTTACTTAATTCATATTAAATATTTGTTCATCTTATTTAGATGTTTCTTAATCTATTTCTTCTAATTATGATAAACATTTTTCATTCATTTCTTAGATTACATCATCAATGTTTTTTTCATCAAAATCTAAAACATGTTAATAGATTTCATTTTTATTGTCATCTTATATTTTAACGACAATATTATCTGTAATTTAATTTTCAGCTTCGATTCTATTTTATAGTTCTATTACTAAAGAGAGTGCTCCATACAATTATTCTTGATAATAAGGTATGGCATCTAAAGACAATTAATCAACAACAGTTTAATCCATTTTTAATAATAAATTTTATAAATATAACGAATATTTAGCGGGTAATTATTAAATCATAATTTCTATTTAGGTATAAATTCAAAAGGAGGCGGTTTAGGTGATTTAACTTATTATGATTTAATTAATGGAGTTTTAACATTAGCCAATTATTGTAATACTTCTTAACTAACTTAGAAACTGAATGGTAAATTTAAAGGTTATTTTTTTTTATCTTCTTCTTCTTTGATTTTAAAATTGAGTAAATCTAATTTGGAATTATATTTTTTTTTAATTAATTCTAATTCTTCATTCATTTAAGCTTCGATTTAAATTTTAAGTTTTTTTTTTTCTTCTAAATTCATATTAATAATTAAAGCTTCTAGACTAAGATCTTTAGAATGTTCAATTTTTTTTTTGGAATGATCATTTATTTATTAATCTAATTTATTCCATTTTAAGAAATCAGGTTCATCTTTAGGTTAAATCATTTAATCTTTAATAACAAGAGTACCAAAATCAGCTTGAGAAATATCATCATCAATTTCTTCACAATTAGAAATGATTGTTAATGGTGTTTAATCTTTAATAGATTATAATAAAATGTTGTTATTTTTTTTTAATTTATTCAATCTGACTTCTTCAATTTTTTAAGAATATAATTCAACTAGATTAAATAATTTTTTAAGATGTTATTTTCCTTATTTAATAAAAGTATATTATAATAATTATGATGCAGCAGGTCTTTCATTAACTTCAACTCTTAAACAAGCTTTGACAAATTAATTAAATTCTTTAGACCATAATTCAGGTTTAGTAAGTCCAACAGGTGGATTACTTTTAATAGCAAACATAGCTCTAACAGGATGTATATGAGAATATGGAGGAGTTCCTTCAGCTAATTCAATAGCAGTAACACCTAAAGACCATATGTCAGTTAATTAATTATAACGAGACTTACTTATTACTTCAGGACTCATCCAAAACGGAGTTCCTATAAATGTACCCTAAATATATACCTAACATATTACTTTATCTGCGCATGAATATGTTAATTGTGCTGCAACTCCAAAATCTGCTAACTTTACTTAACCTTTATGATCAAGTAAAATGTTTCCTGCCTTTATATCTCTATGTATTTTCTTATTTTAATGAAGATATTCAATTCCTAATAATGTTGAATACATTATTGCACTAATCTCTTCTTAACTTAATCCTCTCTCCATTACTTCCATCAATCCTAATACAGATCCTACAGCACAATATTCCATTATTAACCATAGATTATTATCTTTATAATAAGATTTCAAAAACTACACTATGTTAACATGTTAACAATCCTTATTAGACAAATCATACTTTCAAAATCTTTATTTCCTATACTAAATTCTCCACTTCGTCAACCATCGGTATTATTTTTATTGCCACTATCTAATTATCCTCCTTATGTCTTCCCTTGTATACTTTTGCATATGCGCCCTCTCCTATTATTTCTAATAACTCATATTCCTCTTCTGGATCATGATTCCAATTCATATTTTATATATATATATAATATAATATAATATTTTTTTCAATTTTTACAAAAATAAATTAATTATCTCCTCATCGCACTTAAAAGGTTTCATCGATTATTGTCAAATCTTGATAAGCATAATTTATATATCTAGCTATTTGTACAAATTAACCCTTTATTTTGTATGCACTCTTCCCTTCTAATATCTCAAAATATTATCCATCATTAAATGATAATACAATCTTATAATGTAAAGTTGAATTTTGAATCGCTATATTTATATACCATAACATTATTACAATCCATCCCTCTTTATACCATTTTCATATTTGTTAAATGTGATATTTTCTATTCCATAACATTCTATTAACAACATATATTCCTATAACATAATATTATCTCATCTTTCTATTTATATACTCTCTTTTACTTCTTTATTGAATATTAGCTTCTCTCTCTTTATAGCTATTAAAAAACTTATCCCTATTCCCATTATAATAAACGAAACAAAATATTGCCACCAACTCGTTTCCTATTTAAAAACCTTCCCTTCTAATCCCCATATTAAGTTGTATAGTAAATATAATGATAACAATATTATCAATATCCCGATTCCCCAAATACTAACTCATTTGCATTATTATTATACAATACAGGAACTCTATATAATATTAATGACTTTTAGTCTTTTTAAATCCTTTTCATTATTTTCTCTGCATCTATCTATTAATCAATATTTCATACGATTCAACTATTTCTCTGTCAATTCAATATCTTCATTTTTACCAGCCAAATATTAATCTGATCTTTTAGCTCTTGTTATTGCAGATATTGCACCAACTCTTCCAAATCTCATTTTTTAATTTTTATATAAATTTCAGATTTTTTATTTATACTTTATTTATAAAATCTTTTCATTCAATACTTGCTTCTAATCTTTATGGTTATTAAAACTCATTCAAAAAATAATTTATTTACTTTATTATTAATCCATTTATTATAACTATAAAAATTATTTTATTTCCTAAATCTCTTTTTACAAAATATCAAGGAATTAAACTACAAAAATTATTTTTACTAATCTTAGTATGTCTTTTAATTTATTATCTATAATTTATCAATATTTATCTTTTCACATATTAAATTAAATTCATTTTCAAGTACGCTAAAGATGAAAATGTATGATTAACTCATTATAATTTTTAGAAATAATAAAGTATTCGATATTGCTCTTTAGAATAATTTATTTGGAAAATATTTAAATAATTATTAATTAATTTAAATTGATATAAATATATAATTGAGGAGTATTTAACAATTTGATCATTTTATATTAACAATTTAGAGAGTAAAAAAACGTTTAAAGCAATTTGAATAAACATTTATTTTTTTTAAGCTTAAAAACTTGAAGTTCTTCTTTTATTATTTTGATAAATCAAATAAATTCTAAATAATTTATAACTTTAAATCCTTTTTTAATGGTGATATTCTTGATTATTTTGCTTCAATAATAATAAATTAAACTAACTGGCTTAAAATGTTTATATTGTAAAATAAATAAATGATACTTAATATTACTTTTTGTCGATAAATCATCATGTTTTTATTGATAAAATTATTGGTTGAAAATTGTTATTAATAACTTAGAATTTAATAGTAAAAATTTATTACTGAATTAATTTGATTATTTTCTCAAATTTAATTATCTGATTATTATAATAAATTTATGTAATTTTTAAGGTTTGTACCAGATTATAAAACTTTAAAAACTGAAATGAAATTGAACAAAAATAATGTAAAAAAAATAAATTTGCATATAATATATTAATAAATGCCAGCAAAAAAAAAATAGCTTCTTCTAGTAAAAAAATGGGTAATATTGAAAAGTATAATAATAAAGATGTTTGATTAATTTAATGAAATGTTAATAAACAAATTAATTAAAGAAAAGAACTTCTTCTATTATTCAAAATAATATAATATGACGAAGAAATTCATTTCGAGAGATATTTATAAGTTTTTAAGATATTATGTAAAGATTTAGAATCAATCCACTAGGAAGAGGGGACTGTTTGATCTAATTATCTTTTGAGTTACATTCTTTCTTAATAATCTATTTAGAGAAGGATTTAAAACTATTTCTTCGGCTGTGCCAAGATTAGTATCTAAAATAATTCTTTAACTTCGTTATTTTCTTTCTTTCCAATATTGCTATTCTTTTATCTAAGGATCAGTTTTAGTCTAAACTCCTAAATTGTGTAAATATTTGACGATCTCTACTTCAGTTTGATATTCTTTTTAGTCTATATAGTATTCTATCGAATCATTCAAATCAGTTGTAGACATTGGGCTAATTTATGTTGAATTTGAGTTTAGAAGAGCTAAAACAGGATTTAAATAAATAGAGGTTTGCTTCATGGAATCTTTAGCAAGTATTTTAATTTAATATATTATTCATATATTTCTAATTATGCAAATATGAATGCTCGTTATTTAGAAATATTATATAGGATAAGTCAAGACTTTTATACAAAAGTTACAAAAATTTTAAATTCTAAATATGCAGCTAAGTACTTCATTTTATTAATCTAATAGATGATAGAAAAAAACAGAAATATTCAAATTTTAAATGATAAGGTTGACTGTTATGAAATTTTAACAATTTTTAGTTATCATATTGATAGAAATCCATAAAATGAAAGAACTTCTAATATGAAATTAACAGTTGATTTATTTAGAATATAAAATTGTATTATATAAACAAATTCACATAATTAATTATTATTATTATTCTTACAGATATGATAACTCAAGTCCAATTTAATATAAATAACATAATTTCTTTATTGTTTTACATTAAATTCATATCTAATGTGTTATGCCTGTGAAATAATTTAATGAAAACATATTAGATTTATTAAGATTCAGTAATTAAATTTCATTAATCTAAAGAGAATAATAATTTATAAATTTTGATTCGCTTAAGTTTAATTTATTTTCAATTTAAGTACATTGACTAATATATTTAAAAAGTTCATTGCAAATATGTATAAATTAAGCTATACTTAAAACATTGTCAGAATGAATAATTTCAAAATTGATTACAATTAAAATATTTAGATATTTTTATATACAATTTTTTGAATAATATTACTCTTAAAATAAAAATTAATCAAGATATCAATTTTTCAATTATTTCTTATTATAAATTAGAAGCTGAAGGTTTAAAAAACTCTATTATTTTCATATTCTTATATTATGATTATAAGTACTCATCGATAGTTCCTATTTCATCAACTATTCTCATAATATTTATAATGATTACTTTAGTTTTTTAGCCTATTAACCATTTAGTATGGAAGACTCAAAAACTTACTTTAAACAGTCTATTTACTCATAATGATTTATAAATTTTCTAGAATAATTCAATGTTAATTATCTTTTTAATTCCATTTCATAATTAATATTAATATTATTCAACCATTCTCGATCTTCCTCTTTAATTGGTTAAAAAGGATTTAATCGGTCTTTATATTTTCCATGTGATAAATTGATAAGATCTATATTTTATTTTTTTATTAATTCTGAAATATTCCAAATCTATCCTGAAAAATTATAATCTCCAATTTCTGAATGTTATGCTGAAATAATCTTATTACCACAACTTAATAGGATATTTGCACTATTATAAACTTGAGCTCCAGCAAAGCATAAAATAGGTATTCTAAAATTAAATAAATATAAAACTTGTGTTTTTAGGCAAATTTTTAAAGTAAATACTATATTTGCTTAGCCTATACAACAGATCCTCCTTTACAATCAATTTAAACAGATAGCAATTTTGGTTGATATAGACCAATATTTTCCAATTGATTTCTGATTAATTGGGTTAATTTTGATGTAATGGGTCTTTAAATATTGATTCTTATAATCCTGTTAAATAAATTCATGAATAATTTTAATAAATTTCTTTCAATACATATTTAAAGTACAATATCAAAAAATATTGTATATTCTAATGAAATACTACAAGACAAAGAATGAATTATAATGAACCAATAAAAAATAAAAAATGAAAATTAAATGCTTGATAAAAATATTTATTAAAGAAATTAATTGTAAAATAGTAATTTTAATTATTTTTCTTATAGATTTTGTTTAAGTAATATTTGAAAATTAGTCAATCGATTTAGTTGAAGTAGTGGTTAAATTGATTGAAGAACAATGAATAAGACAAGTAAAATTCATAAATTAAAAAAATGTTAATTTAATTATATTTGTAGAGAGGGCATATTAAAATTTCAGTTTAAATAAATGATATTAAAATTATTGAAACTTGTAAAATCAAGGAACATGCTAAAGGAAATAAGTTTAAATTTGTATTCTATAGTTGAATTCTTAGATAAAATATATATGATGAATATCTAAATTTGTCAATTGAAAAATGAATAATAAATTTTAAATATCATCTAATTGTTTAAATAAATAATTGATATGTTGGAATGAGAGGTTTTTTATGTATTAAATTGAAAATAATAATTGTAACAAGAGAAGAAATTCAGATTTCTTAAATGATTTAATATAATATATTTTAAACAAGTTAATTATTTCAAGATTTGTATATGATTTAAGGAATTTATAATTTAAAAAAAAAATAAACAAAGAATTTAATATTTTGTTTAATACAATATTTCTTTCATTAATTTTATATAATTAAAAAAAAAATTGTTTAATGGATACAAATACCGAAGAACCTGAAGAACCTGAATAAAGTAAATGAATATTGACTATTTGAAGGGAAAAAGGTTTGTGTTTAGCCAGTTACAAATCCAATATAGCCAACAACAAATCCTATACGAATACCATAAAAAATAGATATTAGTGTAGTAAGGTATTTATGAAAATTTAAGATTGATCATGAAACCCCAAAAAAATACTTTAAATTAAAAACTCTTTAAAATTTATTGATGTGGCTTTTTTGTAAGAATCAAGTAAATCCACTTTGGTTAACTGTGACTGTAAATATTATAATAAAATAAAATAGAATAAACACTTAATAAGATGTGGGGTAATAATAAATTTGAATTTTGGAATAGATTTATAATAATCATAGTTTTTATAATAATTTAGCAAATAAGACAAGATTGTAAAATTTAAGGAATTAGATTAAGGGAAAGGAAATTATTGGCAATCCTTATTTTATACAAGATATCATGAAGATCCAGTGTTTCAAACATAAAAATAATAAAAAATGAATCTGTAGGGTATGTAATAAGAGGGATAAATATACAATTAATATAAGAATTTCATTTTAAATAAAGAATAATTAAAGAATAATTTATATCCAATAGATGAAAAAATATATCATGATTATTTGAAATTAGATGGAGAAGGATAGATGAATAGAGTGAATATTTTTGCAATGGATTGTGAAATGGTTTAGACAGAAAATAAATTAGAATTAGCAAGAGTTTCAATAGTGGATTATAATTATTAAGTTGTACTTGATATATTAGTAAAACCATAAAATAAAATTTTAGATTATAATACAAGGTAATTTAATAAAATAATTAATATAATAGATATAGTGGTATAACTGAAGATATGTTGAGTAATGTAACAGTGACATTGGCAGAGGCATAAAAAATGGTGAAATCAATATTAGATTAAGATTCTATTTTGATAGGTCATTCTTTAGAAAATGATTTGAATGCATTGTAAATTATGCATCATAAATGTGTGGATACAAGTGTTCTTTATATAACAGAAAGCAGCAGAAAATTATCATTAAAAAACTTAGCCTATAAATATTTAAATTTAACTATTTAAAAAGTAAAGAGTTTAATTTTTTAAATTAGGATACACATGATTCGAATGAAGATGCTAAAATTGCATTGTCTCTTGCAAAACTTAGGATAGAAATATTAGACAATTTTTCAAGTTCTTTATTTACATAATAATGTGTTGCGGTTCCAGATGTTCTGATTTAACTCAAAAAATTAGGAGGTATACATTTGGTGGAATCAAAATAAGAGGTAGAATTTCTATTAAAATATGATGTTGGTTTTGAGGATGTAGAACATATAAATGATGAGAAAAGTATTTTAACTATTAAATAACTTAGAAATGTAAAGAATGGCTGAATTACTTAGATAAAGAAATGCTAATGCAGTCAATCCTAAATTGATATTTGCATAAATATAGACTAATTTCGAAGAGTTCGATTCTTCTTTTTAGAACATGTATAATTAGGCACCTTCATAAACAAGTAATTTATTACATTAATTTTTAAGTATTTATACTGTCTATTGGAGGGGAATAACAATAGTTTTTGTTAATAACAAAATGATAATTTCTATTTTTCATCTGCATTTATTCTATTTTTATTTTTATACAAGATCTCTATTTTATAATATTTATGTTCAATTATCTTCTCTAAATTTAAAATAGTTGCTTTAATTTATAATTTGCTTTCATAAATTCTTATAAAATTCACGTTGAAGATTTTAAATTGAATATTTATAAAAGATTGAATGATTAACAATATAATTTTGAGTTTTAAACTCATGTCCAGTAATTAGAAATTATTAAAAAATAAAATAATATAAGGTTAGATGGAACAAAGAAAACTCAGCTAATAATCAATAATCTCAAGCATTTAGCAAATTGATACTAATATTTCAAACAAAAAAGAAGATTAAATAAAAAAAGGTTCAATTACACCATTCAATTTCAAATGTAAGTATTGAATAATATATATAGGTTAATAAGATCAATATAATGTAAAATTATGTGGTATTGTATTTGATGCCATAGGAGCCCCAGATTTTTTTTAGTTTAATAATGTGTAAAATAACCTAATCGACATCTCGGAATGATTAGGGAATTTCTATAGATGTCAGTAATTACATCTTTTCAAAAGTTTGATTTGTTTGGATAGAATGCGTTTGCCTTTAAGAATCTGCAAGAAGGATAGAGGAAAGATGATTGCAAAATGTTCCTCTTTTAAATTGATGATTCTGATTAAGAATAATGTGATTTTTTAATTCATACAAATACAAATATTTTTAAATTTCTGTATAACATATGAGAATAATTATTAACAATAAAACTAACTTAAAATTAATGTTACATAGAATGAAAAAAAAAAAGAATTTGATATTGATATATATTTCATATGTGTAATTATTCTAATTTCAATTGCTTAATTTGAAAAGACTGTTATAATTTTTTCATATTTTAAGATTAAATAGTTAGATATTAAATAAATTTTCTAACTTAAAAATAAGTTGTTAATTGAAAAAATTCAGATTTTAAATGGTTTGATGTTTTATGATATTGATTATATATATAGGAGAGTAGAGAGAGATAAAATAATTGAAAGAGATATTGAATATTTATAATAATATTAATAAATAATAATAATAATAATATTTAAAATGGCTGAGACAAAAGAGGAAGTTAAAGCATAACCAAAAGTATATGCTTATGCAGATTTAATTGAATTTGAAAATAAGCAAGCTTTTAGTTCAATAGGAAAGATGCCACTATCAACTAAATAGACATTGCCTAGTTATAGTTTTGGTTCAGCTGAACGTGCAAATTAGGCAAAATTATATCATAATAAGGAACTTGCTCGTATAGATTTTGCAGGTAAGAGAATAATGTAGATAATTATAAAGGTAAGGTGAGTCCAGGTCCTGTATACAATGTAAGAGGAGGAGATCAATTTTATTATACATAAGATGCAAATACAAAATTTGGTACTGATGCTAGAAACACTTTGAATACAGGAGCTAAGTTTGATTATTATTAGAGAAAGGATGTCGATGTAAAAAAGTATAATAATTGGATAGTTTGAACCATAAGAGGCAGATTTGATTAGGAAACCGAAATATCCAAACGTTAAGATTGGATTGGAATCAAGAGTATGAAATGATATAAATGTAGTTTCCTCCTGAAAAAAGATTAAAGGGAACACCAGGTCCTTAATATGATCCAGCTATAAAACCAGAAGTACCAACACCTGCATAATATTCATTTGGATATAGAAGAGATATTCCAGGAGCATCAGCATTAGCTCCAACATGTTCTACTCCAGTTATAGTAGGACCAGGTGCATATTTATAAAAACCACCTGCAAATACTAGTAATTTAGAAGATGCTCCACATTGGACATTACCAAAAGGACCTAAAATAGGAAAGATTTTTGAGGGATGGGATAAAAATTAAACATATGATACAAAATAGTAATTTATATTAGATAACAAGGGTTTCTGTTGGAGTATAAGTAAATTCAAAAAAGAAATCTTATCCAGCATTTAGTGTTGGAAAATCAACAAGAGAAGCTAAAGTTGGACATTTTAAATAATTAATGGTAAAGGTTCCATCAAAAGTACATATTGCTCATCCAAAAATATGATATTAAAAAAAAGAATATTAATAAAGGAATATATATAGAGATATATTAAATATATATATATATTAATTAATAAAAATAATGCAGAAATATTTAGGTGCCATTTACTACCAATTTAGATATTTGATGGGCCGTGCTTTTAAAGAGACTGGGTTGTGTAAGTGAGCATATGTGTAAACTTTTTAGATTTTGATTAATATGGGTCTCGTTTATCTAATGATATTGCATGGTTAGAACCCTTATCAAGACATAGAAAGATTATGCCATTATTTGGATTCTTTAAACCTACAATAAGTGAATCAGCCATTATTCAAGATAATGCAAGTTTAATTGGTTAAGTTAACCTTGGTGATAATGTAGAGATTGGATATGGAGCAATACTTAGAGCAGATGATCAAGCTATAAGAATAGGTTCAAATACTATAATAGGAGATAATACAGCTATTTAATGTTCTAGAACTAGATTACCTACTAATGTATTAGCAAGTGTTACTATTGGTATATCTATATCTTTCTAATCCTTAGGTTAAAATGTTACCATAGGAGACAGTTGTATTATAAATAATTCAATTATTGATGATAATGTTACTATTGGATCTAGAACACTTATACTTGATGGTGTTTAAATTGAAAGAGGCTCTTAAATTGCTGAAGATAGTGTTGTACCACCAGGTAGATTGATTCCTTCAGGATAATTATGGGCAGGAAATCCAGTCGAATTTGTTAGAAATTTGAATGAAAAGTAGATCAATTGAAATCATAATATAATAAATATAATATCAGTTAAAATCTTATATTGTCTTCATATAAAAGTCAACATGCTTTTTATAAGTTTGTATGTTATCAAAATGACATAATAAATCTAACAATTAAGATGGCTTACTCTTTCTTATCTTATTTGCCATTCTTGAAATTAATTATCTCTCAATCTTATGTTTCTACTTTGCAGCATATATCAATTCTCCTACATTAAATTATATTATGCTTGTTTCATAACCTTAAAAATTAAATCCATAATCTTCCTCTTTAAACTATTCTAATTATTTATATGTCACATCTATAAATCCTAATATTAATTCAGGAATCCCACGAATCATTCCCCTTACCATTAGATAATCCCAACAACGAATGCAATCATCTAACTTAAATACATATATAAATAGTGATAAAATCATCTTGCTTATCCAAAGTGAATCATTCACCTTTCTTATATTTAATTTTGGAAACTTCTTACCAATCTAATAATGTATCAATTTTATAAAGAAATAATGTAAAGGCATTTCATTACAAAAATTAAAACATAACAAGTGTTTCTCATTTGTTAACATTTACATAAAACATTAAAATGTCTTATGTTCATCACAACCAGATACAATCAATGTTAAAGCACATACAAAATTCATTCCTTAACAATAACCCACTCCAGGTAATGCATTAGATATTGCACATAAAATTCTCTTAAGCTATTCTTAACCACAATTCTCATGTTTAAATAGAGCATGATTGATCAATGTTCTATCAATATCTTTAAGAATGATTCTGATATCATTAGGCATATATTCCAAATATTTTTCATATGATAATTAAACCTACCCATTAGTTAGAAGAACCTCCCAAGTTGCCCATCTATACTATTTAGGAGGTCCCAGAAGCACTAGTTCTTCAAATTCAGGTTTTCTATATAACAGATTGATAGTTGTCTCAACATCATCTCTCTAATTTAATGTTGCAATAGCTTAACCCCATCTTTAGGCTGAATGTTCATTTCGATAATAAGGTATTGCTGGTCCACATTAAACCATCTTAAAAAAATTATTATTTTCTTTATCAATTAGACTTTAAACACAAGAACCTGATTTTAAATCTTCTCTTTTCCATCTTGTGTTTGGAGATCCAGAATTAATTGTGTTTTTTTGTATTTCTCCTAAGCAGACATTATTATTTCCCATTTACTAGATAAATAAAATTAATGATAAAAATTAAAAAGCATTAATTAAAAAATGATAAAGAATTCTCATTGAGTAATAATTCAAATATATATGAATATTTGAGAAAATTTAATAAATTTATATCATTTAATCATTTTTGCATCATAACCAGTGTTAGGAGCCAAAATCTTGATTCTTGGTATGCGAGGGAATGAATATAAATAATTTTTCCAATCCTACCTATAATTATGGGTTTATTTAAAGGGAGTAATAGGTTTCTAATAGAAATTAGATTAAATTTTTCCACCCATGAATCCTGCAGAATTGACTCTTTATAGAGGTGCTTATTTAATTGTGGCTATGGATTTGAATGGCTATTTTGTAATTCCAGAAGGAGCCCGTACAACAGCAATGGTTTACTATTTTTGCATAAATTATTTATTAAATACAAAAAAAGTATACTTGACACTTATTATAATTTATAATGATTTCTTATAAACTATTTTAAAAGTATATAATTAAATTTAGGATTGTTTTGTTAAAGGAATGATGGTTATAAACATGTTAAATAATTTGATATTTAATTATGATTATAATTAGAGCCTTTAGAAATATATTTGGCAGAGCCACATTTTCGACTTCTACGACATCTACGAATACCTCATTCCCTCAGGTTTATAGATAAAAATCACAACTCTTAGAAGTAGCAGAATCTTGTAAGATTATCAATGAATTGCCACATGAACTCATAGAACAAAGTTGTAATATTCTAACCAATAATTTCTTTCCTCTGCATGAAAATTACAAGAGAATTATTCCAAAAATAGAGGAAGTGCTCAAAAACTAATAATTGACTAAAGGCACTATATTTTAGGATCAGGATGCATCATCAATAGCAGAACAGATTTACGAAATGATGATTTTGATTGTTGATTTTGCAGACAAATTAAACATTGGTTTTTTGACAGGAGACATTCACCCACTTTCTTTTAATATAATTTAAAGAGAAATTGAAATTACTTAAGATTTTGATCAATTGATTGAGAATCTCAAAAAGTCTTTATTCAACATAGGAAAACAGTATAAATTGCCTTTGAATGGTATAAAATACCCAGAAAATGAGAATCCTCGAAATTTATTTGAAAGATAGTTGGTAATTGAATAGGTGTCAAATGAATTGGCATTGGACAAATTCTAATAGGTTTTTGATGATTTACAGAGAATGTCAAAGGCATAGCATTTATTTGCAGCATAGAAATATATAGTTGAATGGTTTCCTAAGTTATGTGCTATGGTATAATAGGAGTAAATTTAATGTTTAAGTGATCCAAATAGAGAGCAATAAGGATATTATTAATATATAACAGCAATTTAGAGTGAGAGATTAGCAATAATAGCTTTATCAGAGTTAATGAAGGAGTTTATAGAAGCAGCGGTGTTATTTCATGATGAGAAGACAACATTGAATTGTTATTAGATAAGAGTGACTCGTTTGGCAAATAGGATAGGAGAGTAGATTATGAAGTAGCATTTATATGAGGAGGAATAGAAGAATTTGAGAAGGAAGAGTAAGGAAGATATATAGAAAATGATAGAGGAAGGGATTGTAGGAGAAGATTAATCAGAATAGGAAATAGAGAATTAGAAGGAAGTGTTTTATAAGTAGGCAGTAGTGAAGGCAGGTAAATTATTAAAGACTTAAGAGGAGAGATTGAAGGAGAGGATTAAAAATAATAGAATATATTTGTCAAAGTATGGTTAAGTAATGCCAAAAGATATAGCATCTTAAATAGGTATGGTATTAGTTCATTTTTTGGTTGATTCGATAAAGTTTAGAAATGAGAATAATTTTTGGGTACCAGTGTTAGTATAAGGATATAAGATGGTGAAATAAGATATTGAAGTAGCTATATTTAATGTAAATCAATTATTTTTACATCATTTATCAGCAGGTATGCATAAGGATAATTCATATTTTATGCATTTGGATAGAGCATTACCAATGATATATCCTCCTGCAAAATGGATGGATACTTAGATAGGTGGTTATTATTTGAAGCCAACAAATTTAATAAGAATATAGGATTAAACATTATAGGAAGATGCAGCAAAGAGAACTAATCTTCAAAATCTTTATGATATTTTAGATAATATTAGTAAGGTAGCTTGGAGAGTAAATAATAAAGTTTTAAATATATTAATTAAAGTATGGGAAGAGGGAGGAGGAATAGCAGAGGTTCCAAAAAGATAACATGATAAAACATATATTTTTGAACATTAAATAAAAGAATGTAAGAATTATGAAGAGAAATATTAATTATTAAAAAGGATATAAGCTTAAAGAGATCTGTATTCATTATAATGTGATTTTACATTGAAATTAGGTGTGGCATTAGCATTTAATGGATGTTAGAAGATATATTTTCCACATAATATGGATTTCAGAGGTAGATTATATCCAATACCTCCACATTTAAATCATATGGGTCCAGATATAGCAAGAGGATTATTAGAATTTTCTGAAGGTAAGAAATTAGGTAAGAGTGGTTTAAGATGGTTAAAAATACATTTAGCAAATAAAATGGGTAAAGATAAATTATCAATGTCTGATAGAGAAGCTTACGTAGATTAGAATATAGATTCAATAATTAAATGTGCAGAAGATCCTATGAAATATTAAGATTGGGCTTAATTAGAAGATGCTTGGTAGAGTTTAGCAGCAATGTTTGATTATGTAGCAGCAATAAAGTCTAATAATCCAGAAGAATATGTATCTCATTTACATGTCCATTAAGATGGATCATGTAATGGTTTATAACATTATGCAGCATTAGGAAGAGATGTTGAAGGTGCTACTTAAGTTAATCTAGCAAATACATCTAAACCTGGAGATGTATATACACATGTAGCTGGAATGGTTGAACGGAGAGTAGAAAATGATGCTAAAGATACTTTAAGTTAAGATCATATTATTGCTCTTAAATTACAAAACTAAATCAAAAGAAAAATTGTTAAATAGACTGTTATGACATCTGTTTATGGTGTTACTTTTATTGGAGCAAGAGAGTAAATACATAGGTAATTAAAAGATAAAGGTATTATTGGAGATGATGATCATTTATAATATAAAGCATCTATTTATCTAGCTAGAATTACATTAGATGCTATTAAAGATCTTTTTGAAGGTGCACATAAAATTAAATAATGGCTTATCAAATGTGCTACCATTATATCTAATGAAAATTAACCTGTTAGTTGGATCACTCCACTTGGTCTACCTGTTATTCAACCATATCGTACACTTAACAAATATGATGAAGTCAAAACTTTAATTAATAATGTTTCTATCGAACCTGATTCTGCTTATGTAAATCATTATTATACTTTTATAGTTACCTATCAATAAAGTTAAATAGAGATCGGCATTCCCCCCTAATTTTATTCATTCTTTAGATTCAACACATCTTATGTACTCTTCTATTGAATGTCTTAAATAGTATTACATATTTTATAATATTTATAGAGGTATAACATTTGCAGCTGTACATGATAGTTATTGGACACATGCATGTCATGTAGATAAATTAAATGAATTACTCAGAGAATAATTTGTTAAATTACATTCTTAACCACTCTTAGAGGATCTACGTGATTCCTTCCAAAGAAGATTTCCTCATTTAAACTTCCCTCCTATTCCCGAAAGAGGATAATTTGATTTAGAAAAAGTTAAATAAAGTGTCTACTTTTTCGCTTGATATTTTATTTATAATTATGTGTTGCATTATCTTAAGCCGTCCAAAATTGTGTTACAAATTAAATAAAGACATTTATTATTATATTAATAAAATTATGATTGACAGACGAAATGAGAAAAAAAAGAGTGATAGCAGTAATACGTTAAGAATAAAAAAGAGAGAAAGTGAGGAAATAGAAGCTCACAACCAGTTTTAGAATTCTGATCGGTTTAATTCTAATCATTCATAATTCAAGCACTCACTTAATATATCTGATAAAAGCAGTTTTCTCGGTCTCTAGAATCCTTTATTATCATAGGATAGCATTTCAGACCGAGCAAATCGCAGTAAACTATATTCTTAAGATGAATATCAAATGTAAATAGAACACGAATAACCCATTCCATTAATAAATTAAATTGAAAATGAAATCAGGATACGTTGTAGACCGGATCTAATCAAATAAACTAAATGTTATGGGGATTTGAGTGAACAGATACTCCTCAATTTAAAAACTACAATTGATATTGATGTTGATCGAGATATTTTACGAAAATATAATAAACATTTCATTCGAGATTATAAAACAGATCCTTACTATATTAAATTAGTTGAACTGCATGGACACCAAAGAATTAAACATGAACTGCAAGTAGTCTTTTTATTTTACCTATATTTAGAATTATAACGATCCATATATTTTGCTGAACTTACGGAAGATCATAGTTTACATTTCATTTGTAATTCCTATAATAGCAAAAAGTATAGTTAATTCTACTGCTTTTTAATTATTAATGACAGTATTGATTCTATTTAATATTACACTTTATACTATAGTGAAAACAGAACATAGAAATGACACAGATGAAATCGAATAAATAATTACAATTCTATTTTTTACTGAAATAGGATTTCGTATAATTTCATAAGGACTTTTCTTTTCGAAACATGCATATTTTGTTAATTTTTCAAATATTTTTGATTTTTCAATAGTATTATTGACAGCCATTAATTTATATAGACCAGATATTGTAATAATAGATTTGTCGCCTCTTCGTATAATTACTTTATTATAATATTTGGGTGATATTTTTGATGGTTTGAGAGTAATGTTGACAGCGTTAAGATAATCAATACGATATATATTGGAAGCTTTGGCAATTGTAGGATTATTTTCATTATTCTTTGCTTTATCAGGATTGTTCTTATTTCATGGATTATTTAATTATAGATGTGTTCCGATTGATTAGGAAATAGGAGATGATTGGATTTAATGTAATGTAGATCAATGTCCTGATGGAATGGAATGTAAATATGTTGATTAGACTATAAAATTACCAACATCTTTCAATAATATAATTTATTCATATGGATAGATTTTGAGAACTATAACTATGGATGATTGGAGTTGGGTCATGTTTTTTACTATAAGAATATTCAATCCTTGGGTTTGGATATATTATTTATTGATCATTTTTGTTTGTGGATTTTTTAGTTTTAATTTGGTTATAGCTGTATTAAAAACTCATTATGCAGAAGCAGCTGAACAATTCTTTCATTAATAGGAATAATAAGAAATTAATAAGTAATTATTAGAATAAAAATCAAATCAAGATAGAGATGTTAAAGATGTTTTTGATGTTGCTATGCTTCGTTAAATTGGATTTTATAAGACTTTTACTAAATATTATAAATTACTCAACCAATCCAAAAATGTAATTTAATTTAAATTAGAAGACTTTTAATCTAAAAATTCTACTTAACCTAGATTGCTATCAGCTAAATAGAGACTAAATGATAATACATCTGTAAAATATTATGATTGATTTCATAGAATAATTGTGTTGATAAATTATTTGAATACTTAAGAGATTTGACATTCAAAAATATTTTGTTAACCAAATTCAAATGCCTTAGTAAACAACAAAAATAAATTAATCTCAAGAATTATACTGATGATGAAGATTACCTTAAAATTCTGGAAGATCTAAACAAATTTGAATTTGCCTAATTATCAAAATAGGTCAATTCAAAAAATTATCAAAAATATACAAGTTTAGAAGATGTTTTACCATCCTTTGCGTATTAATATACTTTCTATATCACAATAGAAACATTTAAAATTCCAAGTAAGATATTGATGAGAAGGTTATCGATTATGCCAGATATTAATGTTCCTAAGAATACTTGGTTCCACAATACAATTAATATGATAAATAAATATTTAGATAGAATAATGCTACATACAGTTTCAGATGTCCGATTAAGAAAAGTTATAGAGCAAAAAAGAAATAAATATTTAAAGATGTAGAATCTTAACGTTCCAATATTTAACGTACAACATGTATTAGAAATGAAAAAAAGAGTTATAAGGGATTCAGTAAGCAAATGATAAAATCAAAGCATAAACCTCCATTTACTATAAGAAAGGGAAATGTTTTATATTTATTTATTTAAGGATGTTATTGGAGGTAGGATTAAATTGCATTAAAAATAAAGCAAAAGATTGAAAAAGAGAAGATTAAATAAATACCTTATGATGTTGAATATAAAAATATAAGACTGAAGGAAATTAAAAAAAAAAGAATTGTTGATTAAAATTGGTCTGGAAATGATGTAATTGAAACTCATTATTCAACTTTAAATTTTAAAAATATTCTTATAACATTAAATAAAATAGATTACATAGTTTGGATAAAAGGTTTATCAGGTATATTACAAATTCTTAGGAAATATATAAATAGAATAGTGTCTAGTAAATTCACTGAAATTGCATTAGATTTGATAATATTTATCAACTTTACTTTTTTATCATTATATGGAATAGCTGATGCTAAAATTATATCTTAAGTAGAAGACATAACTACAATTCTTCTTTCAATAGAAACATTCTTTAGATATTGTAGTATTTCATATAAAGAATTATTAAACAATGATGAGAGTATTCTTTAAACATTGATAGTAATGTTAAACTTTATTGAATTTACAATGAGTGATTATATGACAATAACTGAATAAAATTTAAGATTGATAAGAGGAACAAAATGTTTATTATTTTATAGATGTTTAAAATATAATAGTATGGCTGTAACAATTGGTCATATAGCATCTAAAACATTTAAATCTTATATTTATCTTACATTTTTAATGTTTGTTGTTATATTTATATATGCTTTAGTTGGAATGGAAGTATATGCTGGAGAATTTGATTAAAATGATGTATTGGGATAATTGCATTCATATGACAATGTTTTAAAATCTTTTATGACTGTTTTTAATATTATGACTAATGATGATTGGTACGGTGTTTTTGTATTAGGAACTGGAATAAATGAAACTTTTGGAATAGTCTATTCTTATTCTATGGTTATAGTGTTAAATTATTTAACTTATGGATTAGTACTAGCTATATTATTAGATGGGTTTAGCAAATATTTAGATAGATAGATTTTCTCTGAAATAGAAGATACAGATTAATCTAGAATGGGATCTTTAGATAATGAACTATTATAAGGTACTCAAATAACCCAATAATTAGTGGATGTCAATCTTATTAGTTAGAATTAATCACAAGATTAAATTAAGAATCGGAAAAATAAATAAAAGACTGCTTTAATTTAACATTTAATTAATTCAATTAGATAAATAAATTAAAAAATATTAGATGAATATCCTGAATTATATGATGGTATCTAATGTGAATAATCTTTATTTTTTTTTAATAAAAACAATAATCTTCGAAAGATATGTATGATGATAGCTAGATCAAGATTTTATATATTTATAAATGATGCTTCATTATCAGCATCAATTGTAATTTTCATTATTTAAACATATAATGATTATGAAGAAAATAAAGAAACTTATCATCAAGAAATATAATTCTATATTAACATTATTTTGGCAGTTGAGTATATCATAAATGTGATAGGTAAGGGATTATTTATTGATATTGGTTCACATTTTAATTCTATTTGGCAAATTGTAGATGTTTTTTACATTATAACATTCTTTTTTTAATATGAAAAAGAGTATTATGTAAAACCTATATTTTAGATTCTTCTTTATTTTGGCTATTTCAGACCATTTAATCTATTGAATAGAATAAAATTTTTGAATGTTTTAAATTCAGCACTTTATTAATCTTTAGTAGATATATTGAATGTATTATTAACATTATTTTCTGTCTGGATAATTTTTGGAGTTTATGGAATAATATTGTATGAAGGTTAATTTGGTTTTTGCGAAGATAAAATGTAATTTAAAGTAACATATTAAGATTGTATTAATCAAAATAGAACATGGGTTAATTTTAAACATAATTTTGATAATATAACAATGGCTATTCCAACATTATTTACAGTATCAACATTTGATGGTTGGGGTGAAATGCTTTAAATTGCATAAAATAGTCATAATAAAAATGTAGGACCTGTTCCATTTAATAGCTATATTCATACATATGTATTTTTCATAACATTTTGTTTTATTGGATCTATGTTTTTTTTAAGTTTATTTACAGGAGTATTGTTTTCTAATTTAAAAGCTAATTAAAGTAAAATAGAGTAAGGTGAATTTAATTAGAATTAAAAAGAATTTATTGAAATATCAGAAATAATTACAAAAGATATTCCAATATTTTCTACACCTCCAGATAATGTAATTAGAAGATTTGCATCAATAATAATGAATAATTCTATAATGCAATCTTTTTTTTTCCTTATTCTTTTATTAGATGTTGTAAATAATGTTATTTTCCATTCTGGAATGAATCTGCAATATTTGGATATCATTAATTATATTCATCATATTTTTTCAATCCTTATTATAATTTGGGGAATGCTATAATACTTGGCTTTGGGATTGTTTAGATTTTTTGATAATTATTGGAGATAATTCCTATTTGTTTTAAATTTATTTGCTGTTATTGATTTAGCAATGGATTTAAAATACAATTGGGTTGAAATCTATTATTATTCAAATCCTTTGACACAATATTACAGATTTTATAGATTATGTTTTGCTTTAAGGAGTTTAAAATTGATACTGATATTTTAAGGTTTAATTAATATACAAAGATTAATGAGAGTTATGGTTTATGCACTTCCATTTTTAGGTAAAATATTTTTTATTTTGATTGATACTATGGTAGTATTTGCTTTATTTGGATGTTAATTATATGGGAAAATAGATTCAGGATAAGTTATGGATGAGTAAATAAATTTTCATAACATTGCATAAGCTATGCTTACATTATTTAAATGTGCATCGGGAGATGATTGGAGAACTATTATGACAGATACTATGCATCATAATCCTAATTGTTCTTAAGATTCATCATATTGTGGTTCTACTTATAGCTAGATTTACTTTTTTTTATTTATGTTATTATCTAATTATGTGTTTTTAAATTTATTTGTTTTAGGATTGATTGAATAATTTGAATCTTTTTTTTAGGTTCAAAATTCAATTATTTAAACTTATGTAGAAAATGAGGATAGAATTAAAACTATATGGTGCAAGTATATAACTAATATATAAATAATAGATACTCTCCTGAAACTTAAGGTAAAGCTATGCATTATAAATTTCTTTGCAGATTTTTATTAGATCTTGGAGCACCATTAGGGAGAGGTAAAGAAGAAAATTTATGGGATGCTGCTAAATAAGCTTCTGCATTCAAATTAAAATGGTAATTAACAATTGATATCTATTATTTAATAGTGATCATCATGGTTATATTCAATATAATCAATTGATTTATGAATTGTTTAGAACATGTTTTTAGGATGATGTTTTTAAGACTGGAAGTAAAAAGGCTATAAAATAGATTAAATAATACAATAAGGAAATGCAAATGAAATTAATGAATTATAGGAGAAATCTATTTATAAAACGAGCCAATATCTGTCTAGTTGATCTTAGAACTAATTTCAATATTTTACATGATTATTTAAACGTTTTAATTGCTTTTAAAGCATGGGAATCTCACTCTAATAGTTTGATTGAAAAAGTTAATAAAAGAAGTTTAGAATATACTGAAAATACTGAATCAGATGAATAACATCCAGAAGAGTATATTTATTATATTGATTTTATGAAAGACTTGAATAGAGTGGTCGTTCTTATATAAATGAATAGAGTATTTTCAGAGGATCAGTGTAAATAAGTGATACTGATAGAATCCAACCAGTAGTTACAGATGAAAACTAATCTCAACATCTCCTAACTTTTTAAAGTCAAGAAATAATATAAATGCCATAACTACCACATTATAATAATTAAGAGTAGATCTATCACCCATAAAAATGAAATAAGCTTGATAAATATTTATTTTTTTTGTAATTAGTTATAATATTATCATTACTCAACTTAATAGCTTTGTTAGTTGCAATATTAACTCTAGTATTATTTTAATAATTCCATCTTTGCAATGAATGATATTAAATTAGATAATCAAAATGATTAGTTTGCTAGATTAATCCATATACCTTGAACAATATCATTCAAATCATAAACTCAAATCTAAAAATTACTTTCATAAACAATCTAAATTTCCTGACATAGACAATGCTAACAAGTTTAATCTATCAAGAGGTTTTTTAAATTCCAGCATTAAATACAATACTATATAAGAAAGAAAGTAGTCTCTTGATTGTAACTCTACATTTCAAGGATTTAAAATTAGAGTCCTTAAACCATAGGACAGGTTTGATACTCAAAAAGAAGAAAAATAAATAACAATCACTAAAAGTGTATAACTTAAAAGAAGAAATTAAAAAAAAGAAGAAAATTCTGATTACAATCAAGATGATTTACTATTACCAAGAATTTATTCACCTATTGCTACTCCAAGAATGAAGGAATCAATTTACAAGCCTTTTTTGAGTAAACCAGATATTATTGATCATCATATTATTACAATAAAGTCATAATACTAAATTTATGATTAATTAACAAAAGGTGTTGCTTTAAAATGTTTACATTTATCTTAAAGATAAGAAACAAATGATAAAATACTTTTAATCAACTTTGATAGTATTATATGATATTAATTTACAGATTTAATTTTGGGAAAAAGGAAGTCCTTTTGGGAATAATCAAATGAAATCAAATTATGTTCTAAGCTATTTGGTTAATAATGTGATAGTTCATTTTGTTCCTGTGCCTTACAAAAAGATTTAAAACCAACACTACAATAGTAAATATTATATTTATAAAAAATAGATTATCAAAGTAATTTTATATCATCTTTATTTTTGAATGTGCAACAAGAGGTTCTACATGGTAATAATATTTAAATGATTGTGGTTATGCTATTGATGCAATCTATTATATTCCTAACTCAAAATTAACAGGAGCAGGTGGTATTAAAATAAAATCAATTATTTCTAATTTTGGAAAAGCTCAAATTAAATAACTTATTTATTTTGGATCCATTGATGCAGATCTAAATTCAGATAATTTACCAATTGAACAATTTTTCTATTAAATTCCTATCGTTTATTAATAAGTCTCTGTTCAAATTTATTTTATGCATTTATAAAGATCAAAATTTATTGATTCTAAATTACTCTATGAAATTTGTATGCTTCATTTCTATTAGAAGGATTCATTCAATTATAAGAAATAATTAAATGTTATTAAATTAGAATTATAGCCAATAATTTCTAAAATGATTAAAATTGAAGAAGAGGATGAAATTACTAATTCTATATTTAAAAATCTGTAAATTTATTTTTATTTATTCATAGTAATTTATATCACTCATCAAAAAACATTTTAGAAGAAGAAGAAGATAAAAATAGTTTATTATTGTGGTTGTATCAAACAAAGAAATTACTTATAGATTATTTTAAAAGTATTAATAGTGAAGAATAAAATTAAAATCCAATTACTTTAATTGGAGACTTTTTAAGAAGAAACACTTCAATTGAGATGAATTTCCTTACAAAAGATTATCTAAAATAAGCTTAACGATTCAATATGTATAATGAATTAAAAGCTTCAACTACTGCATAAGCTACTTTTCGAAAATAGTGTATAATGGAATGCTTTATTATTTAAGATTGATTTATTTTTATATTCACTCTTATTTATTAGATCTAAACATTATTACATAAATGACTTATATATCCTTAATATAGAATAATTGAATAAGGTAATAGAATAAAAATGATCAAAATTATTTCTAAGAATTTTTAATAGCAGAACGAAGTTCTTATTTTTATTAATTCTACTAATTTTGTTTAGCTAGTTGCTTCAACATTTATTATATCATTAATCCTTTCATATTTTTAGATATTGATTCTTATTTTTCACTATGAAGTCTTCTTATATGTTAAGTTTGAGGTGAATTATGATTATTGTTATTACTATGAAAATTTAGAGATGGAGATTCTTTTTCATATCTCTCTGTAAAGCATCCGAGATCTGCTATAGATAATTTATTATATAATGCTCTTCCATCTGATTTATTTTTTTTATGTTATTTTTTATCATTAATTTCATTAAATTATTGTTGAGAATTACAATTAATTTTCAGTTTATCGAATTAATTAAGTATTTTATCTTGATGAGAACTTTATTTTATATGATTACTAGGTTTTGATTTTTTTTAATTCAATACTTTTTTGAATAAATTTTTGGCAATTTATCCAAATTATGAAGATTATTAAATAGAATTCGTTTATTTACCTTATTATTTTTGTAAATTAATATCAGGTTTAGAATTATGATGATTGGATTTTTTATAATTAATAGAAGGACTATTTCTATTAGAATATGAAGTAAATAATGTATTTGTTGTTGATAAAGGTCTATGAGTAATGGCTCCATATTTTAGTTTATTTTATTAGTGATCATGATAAGTATCTTCAATCAATAATTTAGCTAATGAATTCAATTTTATATTATTATTATTCTATTGAATATGTTATGGCTATTAAGTTTTAAGATGAGTAGAACTAATAGAAACTTTATGTAATGAAGGAGTAGGTGTATTATTTTAATTTACATCACGTATGATTTTATTGATTTTAATTTAATTCTTCATCACAGTTGTTTTAGATTTATTTTTAATTATATCCTAAGGTTTATTATCTAATTTAGTTAGACTTTCAATAATATCAGTTGAAGCTTAACGATTAGATTTCTTTGAATTATTATTAAATTAATCTTTAGAAAAGGTAACCTTTTTTTCTAGAGAACCTATACTATATTTGACTTAATTCTTTTTATGTAAACTATAACTAGGTTATCCCTTTTATTATGTTTTAGCTTTCTATTTTAATATTAATTCTTAAATCTTTTACTCCTATGATAATTTAGGAGCAGGAGATGTCATTTATTTTTTATTATTTTTACTACCTATATAAAGTAAGAAATTATCTAAAGTAATCTTATCTTTTTTATGATTGGTAGCAATAGAGAAAGAAGATAGATCATCAAAATGTTCGAGATGCTTAAATAGTTCATTAATAGTATTATGTGATACATCTTTACGAAATAGTTTTTCATTCTAATTAGTTTATATTATTACTTTTAACCAACTTAATTCTTTCAAAACTTAGGTGTGTAAAACTTAGTTTTCTCCTTCCTCTTATTCAGGAGGTAGAGATTCTTAAGAATTAACAGGAGATGGACGATCACCTACTATACCTTTAGGAGGTTTTTAAGGATTTAACTTATTTTCTTCTTCAATTATTTTAGCTATTCGAAAATAGTCGTACTTTCGTTTCTTATCATAATATTTATTTAAAACTGTGCATACCGGCTCTTAAAATATTCTAGCAATATCTGCATGAAACTATTTCAATCAAATACCATACTTTGTAATACTCGGTAAGTAATGCAATTTTTTATGAATATTCATCTATTTTATAAAATCGTTTAAGATATTCATCCTATTGTTATTTATTTAATAAAGTACTTCCTCATCTATTGTCAACCAATCTTTAAAATTGATAACATATTTTGTTTATGCCTCACTTAATATTTCATTTATTTCTCTTATGTAATAATAATTTTAAGAATGCTGGTATTTCTTATACAAGTTATAATTCATAACACCAATAGGCTTTCNAATTTACATCACGTATGATTTTATTGATTTTAATTTAATTCTTCATCACAGTTGTTTTAGATTTATTTTTAATTATATCCTAAGGTTTATTATCTAATTTAGTTAGACTTTCAATAATATCAGTTGAAGCTTAACGATTAGATTTCTTTGAATTATTATTAAATTAATCTTTAGAAAAGGTAACCTTTTTTTCTAGAGAACCTATACTATATTTGACTTAATTCTTTTTATGTAAACTATAACTAGGTTATCCCTTTTATTATGTTTTAGCTTTCTATTTTAATATTAATTCTTAAATCTTTTACTCCTATGATAATTTAGGAGCAGGAGATGTCATTTATTTTTTATTATTTTTACTACCTATATAAAGTAAGAAATTATCTAAAGTAATCTTATCTTTTTTATGATTGGTAGCAATAGAGAAAGAAGATAGATCATCAAAATGTTCGAGATGCTTAAATAGTTCATTAATAGTATTATGTGATACATCTTTACGAAATAGTTTTTCATTCTAATTAGTTTATATTATTACTTTTAACCAACTTAATTCTTTCAAAACTTAGGTGTGTAAAACTTAGTTTTCTCCTTCCTCTTATTCAGGAGGTAGAGATTCTTAAGAATTAACAGGAGATGGACGATCACCTACTATACCTTTAGGAGGTTTTTAAGGATTTAACTTATTTTCTTCTTCAATTATTTTAGCTATTCGAAAATAGTCGTACTTTCGTTTCTTATCATAATATTTATTTAAAACTGTGCATACCGGCTCTTAAAATATTCTAGCAATATCTGCATGAAACTATTTCAATCAAATACCATACTTTGTAATACTCGGTAAGTAATGCAATTTTTTATGAATATTCATCTATTTTATAAAATCGTTTAAGATATTCATCCTATTGTTATTTATTTAATAAAGTACTTCCTCATCTATTGTCAACCAATCTTTAAAATTGATAACATATTTTGTTTATGCCTCACTTAATATTTCATTTATTTCTCTTATGTAATAATAATTTTAAGAATGCTGGTATTTCTTATACAAGTTATAATTCATAACACCAATAGGCTTTCTAACTATCAATGGTAAATTTTGGCATTCATCAATCAGTTTAAATTTCTAACTCATATTGTTAATTAATTTTAATTATATAAATTCTATACACTAATGTAAATACAAATATTTATCAATGCAGCACCAAATCCACAGAAAAATATAAATTCTTTCTCTTTTAACAAAGCTTTGAACTTATGTCATCAGTTATTAATTTAAATTAATCAATTACATTACAAGGTTACAAAAAGTATAATAACAATCTTTTTAATAATTTTATGTTTCTCTTGTGATCTTTTTCTTTAAATAAATTTTTATAATTATTTTTTGGAAAGTAATTCTTAAAATTTATTGCTATTTCAAATTAGAGACTATCAAAAAAATAATCAATATTTTTTAATTGCAACAATTATTAAATTAAATCTAATTCTTTTTTAAAAATATTACTCTTTAAATCTTCCAATACTCTCAATCTCAAACCTAATGTATTTTATAAAAGCTACTTACTCTTCCTTGAATTGTGCTAATTAAATTAAATGTATTGTTAATATTCATTATTAATTGAAATAATTTTGTGAACTGCCTTTTTGAATTTATTGACTTTTTAAATTTACGGCTTCTCTGAAATCGCCAAATCTTATTCATTAGAGCCATGAGAACTTTATTCCAATATTTATAAATCATTTAAAGATTATTATTTTATTTCATCAAATTCAGATATCATATATTCTGTAGAATATAGTTTTATTATTTCAGGATTATCTTTCAATAACTATTAAGAAGCATTTTTTAATCCCTCTATAACTTATTCTCTATTAAAAAAATTCAATATTCTTATTCTACGATTAAATTTAACTCTGCTTTGATTTCTTGGATAAGTAAAAGATTTTAGGATTTTTTCTTTATCTGCTACATAGTGTATTAAAGGACAATTAATCATAGAATGAAATTTCTTACTACATGAAAAACATGTTTATGGCAATAAATTATGATTTTCATCAGAAAATAGTAAAGAATCTTTAATCTAACAATATTTTTCATAATCATCAGGATATTCTTACAATAATTTTAAGAAAAACTTTTATTCTAAACAAATCAATTTAGAAAAGCTTACACTTCGATATTTTTCAGGTTTTTATGTAGAAGTAATAAAACTTTTTAATCCAATTTATTATCCTGCTATAAGAGTTCCTAAATTTAATCCATTTTAATGCAAAATTTACATTTCTCCAGATATGATATAATATAAGTTGTTTTAAGATTATTCATCTGAATTTAATTCTTATTCAGGTTATAATGCTATCTCCTTAGCATATTTAACTAAAGTTGATTTAAATTCTTAAGAAAATCCTATATTGAACAATGAACATTTCTTTAATATTTATTAATATGATTCTGTTACTAAAGAATCTTTTAAATTAGTAGAGAGTTATGCAATTAACTATTCTACTTCTTCATTTTTATTTCCTTATTGATTTTCCCATCTGAATGTTAAATATTCTCTAATTTAAATCTATAAATCCTACGATATCTTTTATTGATTTAAATAAGAATTAATTATTCTCAATTTTCTTTTCTTTTCTACTGTGTAAACTGATATTTATTAAATGATTGTTCCTAAAGTGTTAACACTATATGGTAATTAAATACTGGCTGCTATTATATAAGTAACGGCCAATACTTTCTCAGCTGAAGATTATGGTGTAACATCACCATATCCAATTGTAAACATTGTCACAGCTGAATAGTAAAATGATTACAAATATTGAATTTACCATTCTGCATCTTCCACTGCACTCTATAATACCCAACTTTTATTATATGTTGTAATACTATAACTTCCAACTAACATCCAAATGCAAGAAAAAAAATGAATTGAATAAAAAAGAACAAATAATAATTTTACTAAATCCAAGATTGATTAGATTTATTTGTTGAAATTTAAGTTTTCTTCATAGTAATTAACTATTGTTATGATAGGTTTGAAATGCACTAAAAATAATATCAGTATCAAAAAACTAAATGTAGATTTTGTTCCATAAAGTGCTTCCTCTGATATTGAAATAAAGAAAAAAACTATCAGGAGAAAAACTGTAAACCATTATAATCCATATGAATTAAAAAGACTATGTCTTATTATCCTCATTCTATTGGTTACTAATTACCCATCCTTATAATAAGCTGTATTAAGGCTTAAAATCAAATCAAATATAATAAAGAGAAGAGAAATAACAGATACTGCTTTAAAATCATAAAAAATAAAGGATTTTTATTGCCATCCTAAATCCAAAGGTATTACAAATGTGAAGTAGAGTCGAGTAAATACTGAAATGGTATCCCATAATATTTTGAATTTTGCAGAAGGGTACAAGATTGGAACTCTATCCAAATTTTTATTAAATGAATTTTTAAGATTCTACAAAAATAATTATTGTCTTCCATTTATTTTTGGTAATGTTGATTTTTTTTAGATTATAGTCTTCTGTGAACTGGCCTTATCATTAATCATTTGTAATTATAACTTATTTAATTATTTGATCCTCTAATTTCCAGATTGTACATTCTTCATAAACTTTTGTACATAAATATCCCTTTTTTGACTATTGAATTTTTTTTTTTGATTTCCTTATAGAGCCAGTGATTATAAAATATTAGTTTTATAGCCTCTGCTTGTTGTCTTCATCTAATTCATAGGCTAATTCTCTTTAAATTAATTGTCATCAAAATACTTTGACTCTAAATTATCATTTCTTGTTGAATTCATAGAAAAATTAATTATCTTCTTCTAACTTTAATATCAAATTCAAATAAAGTTCACCTACATACAATCATGAACAATCAAAAAGTTACAAAATACTAATAAAAAGAATCATAACATAAATGGATGTTTATTTTTAATAATCCAAAAATAAAAAGTTCGTATTCTTTCTATTTTGAATCCCAATATTTGTAAGTACTATCGTAAATTTGAATAATTTCATTTTAAATCAATTCTAATTTACAAAACAACTTCACAAGACATTAATCAATGAAATTAAAATATTATTAACAAAGATTGTTTTTTGAATTAATAAATAAATATATTTATAAATCGTAAAAATAGAATATATAAAAGTCTCATTCATTTTGTAAAATCACTTTTTATTTGATTGATTAGAATATTAAATTATTCATCAATTTCTGTTTTCTTTTTTTTTTCCAATTTTTAGTAGAGTGGTAGTAAAGATTTCTAAACTGATTGTAATTATAAAACTATAATTGAAAGTTCCTTAGGTAATTTTTTAGAAGATGAATTGAATTATGATTTTTTACTGCTCGATGTACCATTATTTGATAATTTTAAGTTTTCCTTAGCTACTTTTTTTGTTCCTGAAAATGCATCACTTTCTAATTTAAATTTAATAAACTTTTTACTTGATAGAGCTCCAATATACAAAGAACTTGTCTTTTTATGATTAGAGTGTTATTAATGAGTTGAAGGTAACTTTGATGTTGATTAATTCATTTCAAACAATTATCTAGGTCTTATTTCTATCTCTTCTGGTTTTAATGGACTTACTTCTCGAGTTTCTGGTATTTCCTCTAAGATTTGGTAAAATGAATATACCAATTATAAAACTTTCATTTTTCTATGTAGTAGAATGATAATGAAAAGATTATGATACATTTGTTGGAGTGCATTAAGTAATTGATTTATGTCTTTGCCAAAGATCTATAAGTTGCTCAACATTCTAATTTGCTTACTTAAGTTTGGCTATAAACTATTTTTTATAAACCATGTACCTCTATCAACAGAGAGTGCCTTAGAACTTTATCTGGTTTGATTTAAATTTAGAACTAAAGGTTGAGGATTTGCCTTATAATCTGTTCTTAAATAATGGGTATTGAATATTTAAGGACTTTGAACTTATTGATTGTTCATAACAGCTACAAAATTAAAATTAATTATATCAACTTAATTATCATCCTAAGGTTCATTTATCGAACATCATTGGCAATTCACTATGAATCTCCTAAGGTTTTATATTTGCTAAATCGAAGAGAAAAATTGTTATATCTATGTAAGGGAAAAATAATAACTATAAATTGAAAGGTTGATTACTTAAACAAAATTTAAATTATATTTTTGAATATGAATTAGATATTAGAAAAAAATAAATAAAATCTTATTCATCTAAATATATAAATATAAGTTAAAGTTCATTATTATTTCTTTTTATAATTTGGAGTTCCTTAGTGTGATTTTATTAATTAGTTTGGAGTTTTATGATGAACATTTAAGCTTTTCATCGAACTTTTTATTTCTTCCATATTTTTTAGATTAAATTACAAGGTAGTTCTGCCTTTAACAAAAAAATTATTGGTTTATTAAGGATTTTATTTCTTTTTGTTTAGAATATTATTATTTAAAGAAATTTTGGTTGAAAAAACTTTTTTTGCTAATTCTAATAATAATTCATTTTATTAAGGATTATTTCTAGCAGTGGTTTAACAGGATTTGGTTAAATCAATGTTGCCTAATGATGCTTATCTTGATTTTAATTAAGGAGGTCTTTTTGTTGTTTATACTTCAATTTTAATTTTTGAATGAGATGATTATCTAGACAATTGAGGTGATTTTAAATTACGTTCTGTTAATGGAGGTGATTTAATGATTTTAGCTTTATTTTCTTTAGGTTTTGTTATATTACTATCAATTTTTTTATATAAAAGTTTTTAAGCTTCAATGACAGGATTGATTTATTTTTGTATGAGTTTGTTATGATTGAATATTTAGAAAGGTTATGGTTTTTATGCATTATTTCCAATCATCTTAACAAGATCTTTAAGAATGGTGGAATTACTAGAAATATCTGTTTATGTTGATTCTATTTTCAAATCTTTTAATAGGTTTTTCATTTAACCTACTGATTAATCTTCAGAGGTATCTTTAACTTTGCGTGGAGAATCTAATTTAAATTTTTTAAGATTTTCACATAGACCTAATTCTTGCTTGATTTTATAATACTAAAGTTCTCTATTTTATTCCATTCTTTTATTAATAGTTTTAGAACTAAAGTTTCTTGGAATGTTGATGTGAAATTTATAATATTCGAGTAGGGCTGGAAGTCTATCATCACTTTCGAAAAAACGATAAAATCTAGATCAGTTGGTTGAGGGTACCTCCGCATATACTCATTTTGATCATTGAGGTGCAAATGATCTTTATAATGAATGGTGCATTTGACAGATCGATCTTCAATAATGTCATTAATGTCTTTTTCATAAAAGAAGTTTTATGACTAAGAGTATTTAGAATACAAGGCTCTCTTGAGTATTAAATGAAAAGATCCATCATTTCGTAACTTTTCACAAAACATGCATTTGTTTTAATTAACTAACATTTTATTAATTATAATGAGGGAAGAAACAGAAAAAAAAGAGATGCATAATTAAATATCTTGAATATATAATTATATTTAATGCAGCCAAATTCAATTAGTTCTCCTAAATTCAAAGTAAGTCGTTTTAATCCTCACAGAGAACATTTGAAAACACAAATTACACACACTTCTTTACTTACTTTAAAACCTAGGGCTTCATTGCCTAAAATCCAAAAAAATAGTTCTCAAATTTCATAGAGAAGTGAAATCCCTCTCTTTAAAATGTAATCAATGGGTTCGCCTATAAGTCAGAGTTATCTTTTAGAAATGGAGAAAGTGTATTGTGTATGGCATAGTGAAACTGGTATAGTTGGGGGAGAATAAAAAGTATTTAATCCTTTGCATGTTAGAAACATAATTAAGATGCAATTATAGTATAAAACACGAACAATTATTAATTGTTTATGGTATGTGATGGTCATGGGTCTTCTGGACATCTAGTATCAAATTATGTGTTGAGCTCATTGATTTAGTAGATTGAATAAGGAATGTAAAGAAATTAATATATGTTACAATACAATACTTAACTGCATAAGACAGTAATTAAAGGGGCTTTTGCAAAAACAACAAGTTTGTTGGAATAGAGTTCTTTACCAATAAGTCGAAGTGGATGTACTTGCAACATGGTGATGTTGTTGTAACAAAATATAGTGCCAGCAGACCTTGGCGATTTTCAATAAGAGTTTTAGAAAGAATCAGTAGTATACTGTGCAAATGTGGGTGATAGTAGAGCTATGATGGTAAGTAAAGGTGTGAGAGGAGGGTTGATAACAAATTAATTGAGTATGGATCATAGATTAGATGTTGTTGAAGAGAGGAATAGAATAAAGTAGAAGGGAGGTACTATAGCATAGTTACAACATAATGGACAATCTGTAGGTCCATATAGAGTTTGGTTAGATGAGATGTAAGGATCAGGTTTAGCTATGTCAAGAAGTTTTGGAGATACTTAAATGTAATCAGTAGGCGTGACATCAGAACCAACAATTTATGAATCAAAGGTAAGATAATAGGATTTGTTTATGGTAATTGCATCTGATGGAGTTTGGGAATATATGACAAATCAATAAGTAGCGAAATTTGTTTATGAGAAATATGAACAGTAAGATCAAGCAGCATAATATTTGGTATAATAGGCTTAATAATAATGGAAGGAAAATGATGTTGTAGTAGATGATATTAGTTGCATTGTTGTGTTTTTTAATTAATCATTATGATAATAATAAAAATTAAATTACACTCTCATTATTCATAATAATTTTATTGCGGATTCATGTAAAAGTCCAATAACATATTTCTTTACAGTTCACTATTTCCATTGGCTTAATTCTTTTAATTTAGAAACTCTTTAAATAAGTCTTAGTCTATTTTATCATATTCATCTTCATTCAAATCTAATATACATATAAATTAAATCTTTTACAGCAACTCTCTATTATTTCTTATCTTCTTTATTTGTAATTCACTAAAGCCTATTCTTTTCCTACTTCCACTAATTCTATTAACAATTACTTCATCAATAATCTTTTTTTATTAACAAGTGTTCTTGGAAAGAGTTTTAATTTATAAATGCCTTCTGGTGATTCAAAATCTGATAATAGATAATTTGGATTTGACAAAAAGGATTCTGCATATTCTAAAAGAAATGCTCCACAATCAACATAATTAACCTGACGAGGTACCAATAATTGATAAGCAGGAATTTATTTTATTGGTGAATCATTATAATTAATATCTGATTAAATTTTATCACATTACATTTTATGCAAATACCTATATAATTAAGTTTTTAATACATCTTAATTATTGTAACTAATTTTTAATCTATTATTCCAAAACTATCTAAATATATTATTATAGAATCTGAAAATGATTTGCTTTATTTATGAGCTATTAATAGGGACCAATGTTCTGGTAAATTTACAGGAAATAATAAATAATCTTTTTCAGTTAAATCTTCTTTAACCCATCTTTTTACATGTTCATAAGATTGTTTAAAAATCTCATTTATTCTATGATTATCATTCTATTAGATTGTTTGTAATTTATCAAAAGGACATAGTTTCTCTACAAAATAAGTATTAAAAATATAAGTTCTTGATCTCAAAGATTCATCAAGTAATTCAAACTCGATAAATTTTAAATAAAAGTTAATTATTCCATCATTCAAATAATTGGGTGGATTTAATTTTAAAACATCGTGATATTTGATTTAAATTGTTTTTTTTTAAGTCCCATTTGAAAATTAGAAATTATATTCATAATCTTCTTTCAGTTAAGAGTCTAAATCAAGTATTCTTTCTAAAATTGCTTCATCTTAAAACTTAGCAAATCTCTCTTTCTATTATTATTTTATTTAATCCCACATTTATTGATGTTTCAACTAAGTCTATCTCTTCGTCCTATCATTTGACTCGAAATTTAAACTAATTATTGATAATTGTACTATTTTGGATCACTATATAATGGTGTTACTAATTATAATTAACAAATTAATTTATCAAAATTCTCAAGCGCTCTTTTTGTATCTGCTTGTGAAATGAATTTAGGTTCTATCGGTTATTTTTAATCTTCAATCTAATGATTGAATTAAAGACAATACCTATTTTGGAATTTTCTACTTAACTTCTTCTTCTGGTATTTCAAAATCAACTTCTTCTAATATTTTGAATGCATTCTAATAGCTTTATTTGTATTATTAGAGGTAATTGATAATATTTGATTGCTTTTATTCAGACATTTTAATTCAATAATAAATAATTTGTTTTTAATATATATTTATCATTAACTTCTCCTTCTTTATTATTATTAAAGCGCCATTAAAAATTAATCAATTCTTGGATATTCTAATCTCTTCTACTCTAATTACTCTAACTTTCTAGGATCTCTTGAGGTTAAAAATTCTCTTAGAATAGCTTTCTCCTATTCATTCATCATTGCAATCAATTCAGCTAATTCATTTGGTTATTATTATTATAATGGTTGTTGTTGTTATTATTATTATTATTATTATTATTATATAGGAGGCTATTAAATAGTATGTTATGGGTGTACATGCATCATTGGTTATTATTAAAGAATTGATTGTTATTGAGGAATTTAAGTAGGTTATGTTTGTTACATATTGGGAATCATTTAATTGGGCTATTGATTACCAATTTAATTAGGTATTTAAGACTATAAGATATAAAATATTTGAATACCATAAATACTGATATTTAAGGAATTTGATAAGATTAATGTATAGGTTAGTGTTGCATAGCTTATTATTATTACAATTATTATTATTGTTACTATTAAATTCCAGGCTATTATTGAATAGGTTGTATAGAATGAATATTATAATCTTATCTTCTTGAAAGTCTTGGATCTTCTAATTGATGGAATGTGACAGGAGGAGCAATTGAATCCAACTAATTAGTATTAATTTATATTTTACTAAATTATAATTGCTATTTGCATTTTAAGGTCTAATAGGAATAACTGGAGTACTATTTATTGGATTTTAATGAGGTTGTACATTTTGTTATTGTAATGGAAACATCATTTCTGGTTTATAAAGTGGAGGAGGAACATCTACTGTATTTGTTCTCATAGGAATTGGCAGAGGTGGTCTTATAGGTTCTAAAGAAGGTTAAACTGTTGATATCTTAGCAAAACCTACTCTGTCTTTTTAAATTATTGGTTATCTGATGTATAATGACATTATATCATTTATAATTGTCTTAGGATATGATGGTATTTCTAATGGAACCAATTTAAATATTTTATCTCGGTACAGTATTTCTGGAAATATAAATGTATTTTATTATGTTGGTTATTCTTTTTTTAATTCCTTAAATGCCAACTTCCAAGGAGTTACTTCACTTACTGTTAGAGATTGATATTTCAATGATTTATCACCTTCTAATACTGTCTATTTGAAAAACGAACTCAAGATTTACTATTATTTTACTTTGGATTATTATTATTATATCTTTTCTTGTATTAATTAAAAAACAACATAATGTGAACGAGGTTCACTAGGTAATGTTACATTTTAATCCTTTATTTCCTTATTATTTGATTCAATTTATTTTAATAAAAACTAAAGTAATTTTGCATGCTTATTAAAATAAGGGAAATTACTTAACTAATTCGATAAATTAGTAACAAAATCTATTATGTTTTCTTGTTTATTAAACATTAGAGTTTAAATTGCTCTTTTTCTCACATCTCCAGGGTGAATCATATTATTAGGTATTGATACAAATAATCTGAATAGTAAACTTAGGAACTATTCAATTATTTATGTGTACACTGTTTGAAAGGGCAAATTATTGTAATTCAGAAGAGAATATTGAACTAAATCAACAATACTATATAATTAGAATATTGGTTTAGCTTTGTATGGAGTTTAAGTATAATCGGAATATAGAAGAATGTTTTGACCAACAATATTCTTTGAAGTGCATTCTAAAATCTCAAGTATTAATTTTGTTGATATTAAATTCAAATGATAATGCTCCTTAGAATCTTCTTAATATTCTATATACTTAACTAAATTCTTAGCTAGACTCTTCAGTAAATCTTATAAATAAGTGATATGAGGAATATCTTCAATTAAATACTGATAAGATTAAGATTCCGATTATAAAAATTGACTAACTCCACATTCATGATCTACTGCTTTTTTAAAGATCTGTAGAATTTGATTACGTAATGTTGCAATAAGTAATTTGTATGATTTTTCTGTTGGTTAAGAATCAGAGTAATCATTTTCTGCATCTATCAATTTATATATTTTGATCATATCTTCATTCAAATGTTCATAATTAAAGATGTACATAAATCCACAATTGCATAGACAAATATCAATAGCTTGAGTTAAGAATAATCCCAATAGAACCCAATCTTATCTATATTTTAAGTAAAGTTATTGATCTTCTTTGTTAGCCAAAGCCTTAATTTTATTTGAATAATTTTTGAGTTAATCTTCAATAATTTTGAAAAGATGTTATGAGATATTGTGATCATACAATTCTAACAGATTTTTTAAGACTTTGAACATTTCATTCTGTAAAGTTTAATCGAATGTTCTTAGAGAGGATTACATTAAATTTTATAAACATTTCTAATCACCCATGGTATCAATGAGAAATCCAAGATCTCCATTTTTGGTATAATTTTCAAATTCATCATCATTTTTACGCATAGGCTTAAATAAAACATTAAATAGATTCTGATTAAATTATGGTTTGTTTTAATTATCTTTAATTAAGAATTACATAAGATTTAGAATATACTTTTATTCTTCTTGATTTCTGAAGGCTGATAAATACAAAGATTAAAATAGAGTTTAGATTTCTTGATTACCTTGTTGAGCATGTACTTTTAATTATTCATTATCATCATCTTAGAAGGAATTCAGTGTAATAACATAATTAAAGCAATTTCTGAGGATATTCAATAAATTTTAAACTTTTTATCTACATCCTCTTAATCCATTAGGTTAAACTTTCGAAAGAGATACCCATAAATCAATGAGAATTTTACATAAATCATTTGAATGAAAAGAACTTTCACAACCTAATTAAACTCTAAATTTTAATCTTTCTTAGATTAATTCAATAGTATTATAAGTAAGATCAAAATAATGTCTTAATATCTATTATTAATTTGGTAATTTAATTAACATATATTCAGTTTATATATTTTTAGTAGTCATAGCTGAAAATAAATTAATTAATTTGCCAGCAAAACATTCAACTCCTGCAATAACTTCATGTTCAAAGAATGGAATGAAATAAAATTTATTACAATCACATAACCATTTAAATATTTTAATAGCTCCATCTAAAAATTATAAACTCTAATAAGGTTAATCAAAGGTTCCTAATAATCTAAATTCTTATTTCAATTCTTCATGAATTCCTTTTTTATGTTCACCCACTCCAAAATATTCTTTTAATTTATTTTTATCAGGATCTTAATTGATCGCTACAAATTTCAATTTAGTATGAAAAGATTCCCTAATAGCTTTAGTTGTATCTTTCGCTAAAAATAATTCATAAGGTTCTAAAACACCTGCTAAAAGAATTTAAGATAACCGAAAATCAGAATTAAATGTATTCTTTTCTACATTAGCATATTTGATAAAACGAGCATTTGGAGCAATAAGTCGATCTGCTAAAAATAATCCTTTATGTGTATCATTATATCTCAGAACTATGATTATTGAGTATAATTACTATTAATAAAGATATGAGACATAATTGTAATTTCTACTTCATGTTCAATAATATCATCTAATTTAGTTACTGACATTATATATAATAAAGCTTCACTAAAAAAGTCATTATTCATTAGATGTGTTACTGCTGCACAATTCTATGTCATTTCATCCTATTCTTCAGTATATTATTACAATTAACCTAACAATGATATCAATTCATAATCATAATCAGAACCTAATAGTTTAATGTAAATTTAATCCATTAAATTTATTAAAACTAATGATGATTTTATTAAATTTAATAATTATATATCATTGTTTTTGGTTAATACTCTTATTATCAACTTTAGGGCTGTAGTCTCTTGACATATAACTACTATACCACCCTTTATTTATAATATACGATAAATCAATTAACAACATTGACTATAATTCTAATTAAGTACCATCATAGCAGCTATGTATTTCATAAATTACATTTATTTAAACCACATCGCATTTGCATATGTTATACATTAATCTTTCATTTATAATATCTCCTTCACTAATTTATAATTTGCTGTCTTTGTTTTCTCTGCATCGAATAAACAATACATCAATTCTCTCTATTTATCACAATAGAAATCCTTCTGAACTGCAAATAAAAATAAATCCAATCCAACTAGATTCTCAAATTCCCATTAATAAGGTAAATTATTTAATAAAAATTCCATTGTCCCATCTTCACTAAAATCTAATTTCCCCTAATAAACCAAATCCATCATATTCTTTAACTTTCTGAATCTCACATATAATTGTAATCTATTTAATGACACATGACATGCTTAAACTATTTTCTCGTCTTCACTTTTTGATGCAGTATATGCCAATAATTAAAATCCATTAAAATTATTCACTTATTCTGTTGTAAATTATTATTATTATTCTTATGTAATTGACTTACTCTTACTCCTACTTCTACTTCTACTTTTCTTTTTATTCTTCTTCTTCTTTCCTTCTTTATTCTCTTTCTTCTTCTTCTCTTTATCCTTCTTTACCTTCTTTTTCTTCTTTGGAGATTTTTCATTATCTTGCATCTTTATTTCTACATTTCTTGTTATCAATTCATTGCAAAATTCTACATGATTCATGCAATTATATAAAGTTTCTATCACCTTTAATTTAAAATAACTAGGAGATTATTGTTTCTCTATCAAAAATTCTAGTAATTTACTTAAACCTCCCTTATCTAAAAATAACAAAGCATGATATTTTGAACTCAATAATTGTATTATTATTGGAAATGCTCTTATTGCTGAAGAATATGATGCATTTATTGCAAAAATTACAGAATCTACAAGAGTAGTTGGTAATAATTTGTAAATACGATCAACATCATTAAAATGAGCAGCTGAATGTATATCTGCTTTTGAATGTTTTAAATGTTTTGTTAAAACTCTATGCAATTATTCCAATTTTTCATGATATAGTGATACTAATTATTTATCAACAAAATCATAGTCTTAATCAATGGATTTTAGTTCTTTAGCAAGTATTTCAATTTATTTTTGTGATTCTTATTAATTGAATTATTTATCTTCAAGTAATAATTAAGGTTATATATTATCAACACATAAATGATAATTTTCTTGATTGTAAATATGATCTAAGACTTAATTTCTTGACTTAATGATTTGTTAATAAATTTAGTTATCGGAAGGTTAAGTAATTGCGCGGACTCTTTAAATTCTAGCATCAATTACATCATTTAATTCCTGTAATCCAATATTTTTACCATAAGAAGGATTATAAGTTTGAATGGAATGTCCTGACATAATTTCACCATACATACAAATTGTAAGTCGTTTATATTATCCTCTGAATACTAGAAAATCAGTGATATACTATATAAATAAATATAATAATACTGGTTATTCAAGTGTAATAAGTATATCACAATTGTTAGATGAGATTTCAGGACTTCCAAATAAAAGGGAATATCTGGATGAAGGTTTGTTAATCTAATATGATTTAGCAAAAACTTCTAAATTTCGAATAGGCTCTTCACTTTGAGTAATAGTAATTAATTTTTTTAGATTCTAATGAACATTATAACCAGGTTTAACAATTCTGATTAATTAGACTTTGACAAGTGATTGGAAAATGATTTCATCACAAACTTTTGCTTCTTTAACTTTAGATCTTGTGGGATTAGACCCACTTTCTAAATGTTCTAAGTTATCAAAGTATAACAATTATACAAAGGGATCCATGGGATAATTCATTATTAAAAGATTTTTAAATAAAAATAAAAAATGTCTTCATTTAATTAGAAGTAACAAAAGAAACTCAACGAACATAAAGAATTAGCTTAAAAGTAGAAAGATGCAAATGAACGTTTCTAAGAAGGGAAGAAAATAATGATGAAAGAGAATAAGACAGCAAATGATTTTGATAGAGCAATTCAATTATTTTCTGAGGCAATTACATTGTTATAAGTAAAAAGAATATCATAAGTAATTTAAAGAATTCAAATTAAACAGAGCCATAATATGCAAAATTTTATGCAGCAAGAGGGAATGCTTATATGTAAACAGGGTAGTATTAGAGAGCTCTTTTTGATTTTTCAACAGCTGTAAGATTTGAAGAGAATAATGCAGAACATTATGGTGCAAGAGGAAATTGTTTTTTATAATTAGGAGAAGTGAATGATGCTTTGAAAGAATATGATAAAGCAATATAAATAAAATCTACAGATGGTTTTTTATTTTTAAATAGAGCACTTGTTTATGCTAGATTAGATAATTATAAAAAGGCAATAGAGGATTATTAATAGGCATTAAAGTATTTGAAAGATTCGAATGCATAATTTAAAGCACATTTTCATATGGGAAATTGTTATAGATAAATTAAATGCTATGATTAATCAATAGAACATTTATAAAAAGCATGTGATATAAAAAAGGATGAAGCACCAGCACATAATAATTTAGGGTTATCTTATTTTGAGAATTAATAATATGAATTAGCATTAGAGAGATTTACAAGGGCAATAGAATAAGATGAATCAAAAGCAACATATTATAATAATAAGGCACTTGCATTATATCATTTAGGAGATTTAAAAGGGAGTTTGATAGAATTTAATAAAGCACTTGGAATAGATGATTAAGATGCTAGAGCGTTATATAATAGAGGAAATACTCATTTAGCCTTGGGAAAGAGAACAGAAGCTCATGCTGATTATGATAAGGCTATTAAATTGATGCCAAAGAATTCAAAATTTTATCATTCTAAAGGATTAGCTTATTAAGATTCTGAAGAATATGAAATGGCTATAAAAATGTTTGAAGAAGCATTGAATATCACACCAAATCATATGCCATCTATATTTCATTTAGGTTTAATGTAACATAAAAATGATAATTTAAAAGAAGCTTTGTCATTATTTACTTAAGTATTGAATGCTGAAGGTAAAGATCGTCTAGTCTATTCTTCAAGAGGTTTAGTTTATATGGATATGAAGAATTATGAATTAGCAATTCAAGATTTTAATGCTGCTATTGAAATGGAACCTACATATTCAGAAACTTATTATAATAGAGGATTAGCAAGAATCGAAATGCATGAACTAAATGATGCTATTAAAGATTTTGAATAAGCACTTGAACTTAATTCAAATAATCCTGGCATTTACTCCGGTCTTGGATAAGCTTATAGATTAAAGAAAAACTATGAAAAAGCTCTTTTCTATTTAGATAAAGCCTTAAAAGACTCTCCTAATAATTAAGAATTTCTAGTTTAAAGAAGCAATATATTTATTGATAAAAAAGAATATCCAAAAGCTATCATTGATTTAACTAGTGCTTTGGATAGAAAACCTAATGATGCATAAATACATTATAGAAGAGGATTAGCATATTATAAAAATTAAGAATTTAAAAAAAGCATTGCTGATCTATACAAAGCTTTTGAAAATAAACCATTCTAAAGTTATGTACCAGATATTCATTATCATCTTGGAATCTCATTTGCAAATCTTGAAATGTTTGACAAAGCTATTGAACCACTTACTAATGCTATTGATTTATAAAAATATGAACCTGCTTATATTCATGAAAGAGCTAAATGTTATTTACTTGTAGGTGAAAATTAATTAGCTTTAGAAGATTTTGATAAAGTTATTGAAATGCAAGTATGATTTAACTTTATATTATATTCTAGCCACATAATTCACATGCATATTTTGGAAGAGCCTTTGCTCATAAAGCATTACAATAATATGGAAAAGCAGCTGAAGATTTTGGAAGAGCTAAAGATCTAGATCCTATGAATCCAAAATTAATTGTTAACTTTAAACAGATTTATTATGTTAAATATATCAAATTATGCAATCCAGGAGAAGAATAAAGATGAGAATTATATCCAACTTATAATTCAATATCTGAAATTTTGTTATCGAATTATTTATTAATTAAATTCATATGTTTATTTTACTCTCTCTATCAGTAGTATTAGGATGTGTAGTGAAAAATACAGAATTAACATATTTATATCCTACTGAAAATGAAGTGTATAAATTATACATGAATGAAATATTTGATGGCGAAGATTTATTTTATTTATGCTTTATGCAAAATTAAGATGATGGATTTGAATTTAAAGATTAAAATCTTAAAAGATGTAATTTCAATGATGATGGACTTGAGGTAGAAAATGTACTTACAGAAATATAATCAAAAACAACAATTGATGAATTTAAATTACATTTGCAAAGTATTTCTGCTTATCAAAATTATTTTTCTCTCATTTAAACTCAATCTTCTACAAATAAAACTCCTAATTACTTGGTTGCCTATTAAGTAGATTATACTTAAAAAACCCTTAAATAATTAATGAACTTATCAATAGAAATTTATAATGATACTTGTCTAAGCTATAGTTCAGTATATGTAGATTAGGATTCCATTATCATAGATTGTTATCAAAACAATGAATTTTATTTCCTTTTAATTGAAAATAATTCAACAATTAACATTTATCAATAAAGAACTACTGTCTAAAATATATAAAATTCAAAACTGATTTACAGAAATAATTATATTATATATGCAGTATTTTTTTAGAATAATAGCTCAGTTTTAAGTAATTACTATTATAATTAAACAACTAAAAATGCAAGTTGGTTAAGCGAATTTACAAACTCCTCAATATTTACAGATATTTCATTAATGGCTAATGAAAATGATAATGAAATTGCTATTTTAAATCTTACAAATTGCCTTTTTATTTCCTCTATTATGAATTTAAATGAGCTTAAACAAATAAACTTCCCTGTTAAAGATAATTAAAATTATAACAACTATTATTTAGCTCTAAAACCATTCCCTTCATATAAATATGGTTAATTATTAACTTCTTTTTATGTTGTTAATAATAATTTCTATGAAAATATTTATGAACTCTAATTTAATGGAACTAATCTTACATATATTCATATTTTTGACTCACCTAATTAATATGAACTTAATTTTAATCTACCAATTACTATCTGTTTTAGTTCAAATTTCTTAGTAGTCTATCAAAACTATTTCTAAACATTTTTTTATATTGGAAAATATTCTAATAATCATGAATACTAATCAATAAGTCAAATTTATTCAAATAAAATCTATGATGACTCCTTATAATTATTATTAAATTATGAATAGAACATATTAATTGAATTTTCTTATAGACTGAAATGGTATCTGTTAAAAGAGCCAAAATTAAAGATAGATATCACTAATTAGAATAAAATTGGATAAATTAAAATTTTAGCTTATTAGAATCCAGAAGTTCATGAATATTTCGAATTAGTACATTGTAATCACACTCTCTATTATGAATAGATAAGTTAATACAATTATAGTATTTTAAATTCAACCAATTAAACAAAATTGAAGGCAGTTTAAAATTTTAAATAAGTTTATCGATTAAATAATCATTACACAGGACCTTTAATGCAATTATCTTTCGAGTAAAATTCCACCAATTCGTCTATATCCATTTCAAATCCTTAAAACGAAGTTTTTTAATATATAAAAAATAATCTTCCAAGTCTTTAAGTTAATTAATCCTAACTATATTTTATTTAAGATTTTGAATTACTATTTTATGCTTGGACTTCTACTAAATTTGAAAATTATGTTTTTTACACAATTTGTTCATTTTTCACATTAGAAGTAAAATGTTTGAATGAAATGAATATATCTTGTGATAGTAATTTATTAACAAACATATAATTGAGTCAGCTGAATTAAACAGAAATTTTATTAGTATTTGATTAGGGAAATTAAAATATTTAGGTATATTCAATTCAATTTGAATTCTAAAAATTAGACTAAGGAAATATTCTTATCAATCTCAATTAATCCGTATCTAATTATAATTTTACTACAAGTAACTCATTAATAAACATAACTCAATTTTTAATTCTTTATAACAAATTAATAGTACTTAATAATCAAAATGAGATAATAGTTTAATTGCTTAGTTCCAATACTACTTAATATGCTTCATATGTAATCAATTAATCTACAATAGATTAATGTATCAGTAATTATTCTGGTATCTAATTTACACCTATTTAGATTGCTATTAATTAGTTATCATTTCAATCAAATTTGTTAATAAATAATAATGATAGTATTATTATCTTAGGATTGTTCACTTAATCTTATTTAAATCAAAATTTCACCGTATTATCTTACAAATAAGTAGGGTATAAAATTTATTAAATCTTTGCTCTACAAATGTACATAATTATAACGAATATAACAAATATAACAAATAATATGATAAACTTTATAGTTTATGAGATATCTGATATTTCAAATCCTACCTTTTACAAACCCTTACCAAATTGTACAATTTATCCAGGCTGGTAAATTATTTCAGACAACTATTTTTTTTATGTAAAATAAATAAATTCTAATATCTTGGTTTACGATTTAGGTTTACCTTTTCATAGTGCATTATACTATAATTTATCATTAAATGAATAATATAACATTAGTTGTACTAGTACAAATGAATTTTCAATCTTATCTTTTAAAAATAACTTATATGCTTCCTTTTAAAATAATCCTTATAGTTTTAATATCTTTTAAAAAGATTAATAGTAAGGAATGTGGAATTATACTCTCCTTTAGATAAATATTTATAATTATTTGAATAATAATTTAAATCAATTAAATCAAAATTTTCAATTAATAGTTATTAATATATATTTATAAATTTCAATGAACTAAACATAATTTAATAAAATAAATGGATTAGCTCTTACACTCTACAGTAATGATTTGATATTTATACCTTTAAATATGACCGATGTAACTATGGGTTAAGTTGTAAATTATAGCATTCTTGCTGTTTCTAATACAAATAATTAAACCTACATAACAAATTAATTTCAAAATAAATCGTAATATTTCAATAATTAGATTGTAAATGCTACACAAATAGCTAGCTTTTGTGATTCATTATTATATTAAAATATTTCTGGACTCTTTTAAAGTAGTTATGTAATATTTGATGGATTATTATTAAATAATTATTCCAATTTGACATTCACCGAATGCCAATCTTTAAGTGTAAGTGTTAATGGTTTTGGAGTAAATATAAATTCTATTTGTAAATTAAATAATATTTATACTGTAATTTCATATTTTCCTGCAACTAATGATTTAATAAATAAAACTTCTTAAATATGCAACAATTCATAACCTTTAAACTTTTCAAATAATATATATCAAATAGAAAATGCAAATTTTAGTTCAATAATTAAGAGTTCACAATTAAGTCATTACTTATTTATCTTAGGTTAACTTGGATTAAATGAGAAAACAAGATCATTATACATTTACTCTCTAAATTATTTAAATTAGAACTAAACTATAAATAAGCCAACACATAAAATAAAATGTAGAGGAGGAATTTCTGATTATAATTATACTATTTTGTAGAATAAGAGTCTAATAAATTCAACTTATAGTGGAAGAGGTGTTATCTTTTATTTATGTTAATACCCCAGTTAATTAAAATATGTAAATTTTAATATCACTAATACAACAAATCTTACTTTTGCTAGAAGTTCAAATCGTATATCAGATCTAGTAACATCATATGTATAGGAATCTAATTCTAATTTTTTGTAAATTTTTATATATCTTGTAAAATTTGATTAGATTATATTAGTTTTAACATCTGAAGACACTTATAATTTAGTTATTATTCTAAGTTATAGTCCTTTAAGTTATTCGGAAAATTCCCTTTAATTTGAAGATGTCATCGCTTATATTCCTCCTTATGGCGCTTATAACTAAATTCCAATTGGAGTCCTTCAAAATTCGTATTTAGCTTTACTATTTCAATTAATTACTTAGGAAGGATTTTAAAATCTTATTGCTATTTATAATATTTCTAAAATTAGATAAACTTATAATCTATCCAATTATTTAAGTTATAACAGTACTATTTAAATGGAAGCAGGTTATATCTTTAATAATGAAGATAACTATATTCAATAAATTGCATTAATTAATTAATCTGACAATAATAATTTTAATGACAATTTTAATAAAGGATAATTTGTGATGATTTTATCAAGTAGAACCAAATTACTTATTAATACTACATTAACAACCTTAGTTTTTGATGAAAATATTTATTTTAATTGCACAAATTTAAATTAATGCAATGAAAATAAGTATTATTATTTAGTAGCTTCAAATTCATTTTATAATTACACAATTCCAATAACAATTACATTTAAACCATTAAGTAACCTTTTTGTGGCAGGAGCCTTCTTGATTTTAACAATTATCATTTGTGTAAGTTTAGTTACTTGGTTTTGGAAGAAAATTAAAGTACCTAATCTGGAAGAGAAAAAAGAATAAGAAGATTATTTAGAAATAGAAATGTGATTGTTAAAATAAAATAAATTTATATTATTTATCATTCAAATATAATTTTATAAATCTCACATTCAATAACGTTTGGTTCAAGAGCTCCAAATAAATGTGTTGAATATTTTGAAGTATCAACTCCAACTGGGGCTTAATACCCAATCCCTAATCTTGAATAACCAGATTTAAAATCAGTGTTTATTCGTAAATCTTAATCATAATTTGCTGTACCTCCAAATATGATATATTATTTTTCAAACCATTAAGTCCAATTACCTTTACTTTATATTATTGGATAAATTTCTTTTAAGGTTTCTGAAAATAAAAAAGATGGATTTTCTATTTCATTTCCTGAATAACAAGCTATTTGCCATTGATATGGAGTAAATCCACCAAACACAGTACCATTATTATTGGATGACTTAAAAAACCATAATAAATTTTCTTATCCAATAATCACATTCTAAATTGCTTAAAATGTTAAGCCATCATCTAAACTTCTATATATTTTTTCCTTTTATTTAACTTTCTTTTTTGAGTTATTTTAAATTGTATTTATTATAACTTATTAAAAGGAATTCTCGGCTTTTTTATTTATAAATAGCAAAAATATAAGTAGAATAAAATACAATAACTTTATTAATAATAGTATATGTAATTGGGGGATGATAATAAAATTTAAATGAACTATTTATTCTGGGTATTTTTAAGGGTGGAGTTAAAGGTAATGTAAACCAAAATTCTTCATTTTTATCTTATTAAAAATTAACAGTTCATTATTATTAATTTTTTCCTATGACTTAATTTAATGTCTTTGACTTTTTTGAGTATTTCTTTCATCGACTAAACTACTTTTATTAATTCTTCAAATTTTTTTTATTTAGTAGCTTATTAAATCTACAAATGAAGAAATTCAGTTTATTTTTAATTTATAATAAAGGAATAAAGTTTGAATTTCTAAGTTTGTTCAAATATATTGAAGCAATTTTATAAATGAATTTATTTTGTTATAATTTTATCATAAAATGAATAAAATAAAAGATTTAAAGAGTGTTATTAAAAATGAATGTATATAGTAAAATAATTGATAAATATGATCATACAAATAATCTCATAGGCTAATTTTATTGTAGTATAGAAATATTTTTATCATAATCTTGTGGAGAATAATTTTAATAATTTTATCTAAATTGAAATTTGTTAGAGATTGGATTGATAACAGGTGTATTTCTATCAAGAATAGGTGGAAGTTTTAAAGGTTTATTCATATATTCATATTTAGGTTAAGGTATTTCATTGCTTTAATTTTAATAAATTGAATATTGTGGAGTAGGTGAAATTGAATATGATTAATTTTGATTTGGTTGTTTTTCAATTTATGATTGATTATCAATTTTAGATTCTAATTAAGATAGATAAAGTGCTTTATTATTTTAAGCTCTTAAGTAATCTCTTTCTTATCTTAATTTTTGAGCTTTTTCTTGATTTCTAATAACTTTACTAGTATAAGTTCCAGGTATAGCACCTTCTATATCTTTAGTAGCAAGTAATCTATCTTCCTAGAGATTTCCTAATATTAAATGATAATACTTTGGTTAATCATAATAATTTTCTAAGGCTTTATATTATTTGATTTCTCCTTCATGTAAGTTATAATGTTTTTTATGTGATCCATCAAAATAGTTCTCTCCTTATGGAACACAACTATTGTAAAAATGATGAAAATCATGTTAATATCTTCTACGTCCATATTAAGGATCTTATTTAGTCATTGGATATCTAAAATAATATAGAAAGATAATTTTTAACTATATTTTAGTATGATTATTTTAACGAATATCCTATGCAATGATTTTATCTAAATAAGAACCCTTTTAATTTGGTTAAGCACCTACAATGTCAACTGTTAACAATGATCTATCAAATTATTGAACATTATTCATATTTATTAATTTTATTGATATATTATTATTCATTTAAAGAATTTATTAAAATAAACTTAATGAATATACATATTCAATCATCAAATTTCTAATTCTCTAGTGTTTAAGAAATCTTTGATAAATTGTTTAATTGATCTAATTTTTTAGATTACTTTTAAAGGTATCATCATTATCATTGATCTTGTTCTCCAAACATCTCTAGTCATTTTCAAAACGAGAGGTAACCACAACATAAAATAAATTATAAATAAAAGCACTTCAAATACTATAAACAATGCCAATCTCTATGTTTTAATATCCTCAATGTCTTAATTAATTGAAGTTTTCAATTATTTTATTAAATATCTAAATGTGCCTAAATTTATTATATCTTTTTTATACCTCTATTATATATTTCTTAAATTGTTCGTGCTTCTTTAGATTAATTAAAATTATTTAAATTAAGAATATAATTACTAATATTGTCTTAATTTTTTGTTATATTTTTAAATGTTGTAAATCCTCTGGCTATTGCTGTAAAATTAGCTTTTGAATTATTCCAAAATTAATCATAAATTGTCATCATATATCTTAAATTCTCAAAATATCTTGCTATTCCAACAGCCATACCTTAATATATTGCTCCATCAGCAAAGGCTTAACAATCAGCTTCAGATAAATTTTACAAATAAGATGAAAGGATTGTACAAGGTTACAACATAAATATTTCTTTAAATGCATTTGCATATATAGAATTTGTAATTTCAACATTCAAAGAGTGTTCTTAATGTATTGAAGAATCAAGAGCATAAAGTTTATCTACATTCTATTTAACAATTGTGTATGCATCCTAATTCTCTATTGTTATATTTCGATTTATATATAATGATCTTTAAGCATTATCACAAAATCTATAAAAACCTTCAGCTCTACATGTAGCATTTATTTCTGGTACTAATTATTCTAAATTGCTTAATAAAGTATCACTAATAAAGTAATTGAAAATAAAGTAAGCTTATAGAAGAAGAATTACAAAAAAAAATGCAAAAATATAATTTCTCTAATCTTTATTTGTATTTTTAAATTTTTTCTTCTTTCTCTTACTCTTTAATGTTCTGTTTAATTCTTCTAATTCTTCCTTTTCTAATTCATCTAATTCTGATAATATATCATCATCTTCACCTATCTAAAGATTTGATATAAAATTTTCACTTTTATTATATAAGTATTTGACTGTTTTGTCTGGAATATCTAAGAACATTGATAGAATCTCCTCTTGAATTTTATTTACTGATAGTGTAATTATTATTAATACTAATAATCCAAAACCTAAAGCTCCTGCTGATATTCCTAAAATTATTTCGAGGCTCTATTTATTCTTAGTTTTTTGAGTCAAACCTTTTGCATATAAATTACTTGAATTTCTCAATTAAAATACTAAATCATTTAAAAGATTATAAAGTATAAATTCAACATCATCATCTTCATATACTATTTTAGATAATTATTTCTCTCTTATATTTAATGCCTTACTTACTATTTATTCTGTAGCTTCCATAATATCATAAGTTTCATATTAATCTGCAAATTTGATCCTCACTACATCCTATTTTTGTAATTCATTTAATTCATCACTAATAAATATATCTGAAAGCATTAAGTTTTTGTTTAATTAAGAAACTAATTGTATTGAATTATTGAGTAGTGTTTTTTAAGTTTTTTCAAATGCATTAATAGCTTCTGTCGTATTCATTTACCAAATATTTAAATTTAACATTTAAAGGTTCTGAACTGAAGATAATATAGAATGTAATTCAGCTGTTCTTTAATTAGTCTATTCAACAAGTTCTACAGTCTAATAAATTTCATTATATAAAGCTTAACTAACAAAGAATTCTGAAAAACTCAATGCTACTAAAGAAAGTATAATGAAATTAGTAGTCCAATTTAATTTTTTAAGTTCTTAAGGAGTAATTTAATTATTTACTATTGAAGATAGATTTTTTCTTGACTTAAAAATATTATTAAAATCTTATATTTATCCATCTAAATCATTATCTACATCCTACTATCTTTAAAATACACTCCTTCCTTATTGATCATCATCTTCAGAAATCATATCTTCTCTATCATCAATTTCTTAAACTCTGTTTTCAAATAGTCTTACTAATTTAATTCCTTCAGCATAATTAATTTTAGTTTAAGTTAGAATATTCACTTCATCTGATTTTTCTGATTTTATTTAAGATTTTATCAAATCACCTCCTTATTAAAGTGATGAAATCATTGATGACTAATCATTTTGATCCCAAAGAATAGTTTAATCCACTCGTTGAGAATTAGTTTCACATACAAATTCTCCTTAATATAAGCATCTCTATGGGTTGAATTTAAATTGCATACTATTTATTATTGCTTTTTAATAAGGTTGATTGATTTCTAAATTCATACTCATATCTTAAATTTGTTATTCTAATTTTACTATATATCCTACAACTTGGTCTTTTAACTCATTAAATACTTCATTTGTAAAACATTAAAATTATATACATTCATTCTTTTTTTCACCTTCATCGAATTCTTAAGAAGCCAGTTAACTATTACTTATAACAGAGGAAGAAGCTAAATTGAATAATATTGGTCCTCCTGTTTTAGATAGAAACAACTCCTTTTGTTGAATATAATTTGGAAAGATTTCTGTAATTGAAGTTTTTTTATGAGAGATTTATTTAGAGTCGAGATTTAATAAAGGAATACAAGATGATGAAAGAGAATCGATTATTTCTTCATTATCTAAAATTAAATAGCAGGATGGTTTAAAGCTTTTAAGCACTCTAAATTAAGCAGCTAATTATACATTTTCATCTAATGATTAAATTATTTTCAAATAAATATAACATGGCATGATGTAATTAGACTTCATTTTAATATAAATTAATCTATCCTTATTAATATTTTTATTATCATTAGATTAAAGGAAATTTTCAACATAAGCATCATGGAATTTAGAATATAAATTAGGCATAAAAATATTGATTTTTCTATTTATCATTTCAGATTTATTGTATCCAAATAAATTACAAGCAGCCAAATTTAAATTTGTTATTTATGCAAACTTTTCTTATGAAGCTGAGACCAATAAGATAGGTTAAGATTCATATCCAATTTCATCACTACTAATTAATTAAATAATTTATTTATTTTTCATCTTATTATTTTATTGTTATAATTTTTTTGATTTTTCTAATAATTCTTCTCCAAAATCTTTATCTTAAAGTACTTCAATAATAAATTTAGCATATAATCTCATAGCTTTAGGTAGATTTTAAGTTAATTTTTACATTTTATTCCATAAATCTTCAACTTAAAGAATAGCTAAATTAATTTTGTATCCGATTTCATTCATTTTACCTAAATCAGGAGAATCTTCTTATAATTATGACCAAAAGTCCATATGCATTAATGTTGCTCTTTCTATTTTATTTTAAAATTATCTCATATTATTTTAAAATGCTAATTCACTTGCGATATCAAGATTGCCAAATGATTCATTTTAAGCTGCATTAATTTCTTCTTCTATAATTCTTTTGTATCTAAAGATTATGAAATCATTATCAAGAGTAGGATTGAGGGATTCAGCTTAGATGAGTTCATTAATAGCCTGTTACCTTTATTTCATATTATCTAATAAGAAAAAGGCATAACGAATTCTTAGATTGATTTCATTAGGGAACTTTTTGATCTGGTTAAAATAAATTTATGCCATAATCATAAGAAGATCTACATCTCTTTCAGAAATAGTGCCTTCTTTAAAGAGTGGTTTTTATTATCTTTAATTGATTATTTTTTTTTATTTAAGATAACAATCTTCTCTAGTACATGTAGCTTTATGAATTTCTAAGAAACCATCAATAAGGAGTGAGGAATGAGAATTGAGTGGACTTTTATAAAGAAGTTTGAGTAAATGATTAGTTAATGAAACAATTTGATCAGGATCTTAAACTTTATTAAGATTTAATAAGAGTAAATCATAATGTAATTTATCGCTTTTAATAATAGCAGCAATCATAAGAGGTACACCAGCAATCCAAGCATAAATAGTACCTTGAAATAATATTCCTTCAAGAAATTTAGCAAAACAAATAAGAATAACTCCCCATAAATTTAATGCAACAAGCATAGACCAAGCTTTTTGAATATAAAAATTATTAAAAGGTTATTCAATATGTATTTTCCAAAAGATAATAAAACTCCCAATTAACATGATAAGAATCATTAAATAATCATAACTTTTACCATTCATGAAAGTATAAGAAATGACCATAATAAATTAGTAAATAAGGAAAATAGCATTAGCCCTTCCACTTTATTTAGAAGTAGCTTCATGTGGTTTATATCTAGGTTCAAAATATAATAAAGTGAAAAGTAAACAAAGTATAAAGTAAAAAATAACACCAAAAATAGCAACTACAGAATGGACAATATGAATATTTACCCAACATTCAATATCAAAAAGTTAATGTATAATTTTACCATTTTAATCGTCAACACATGATAACATTGAGAAAAGCATATCAATTATTGGCATGTATAGTACTTGTAAAAATAAAGTCATTAAAAATCTTAACAACATGATTGGCCATGTAAATGAAGATTTTGATTTACTGATACTATAACTAAGTAAAAATACAAGCATTAAAGCAAATAAGAGTAATCCTAAACTTACATAGATCATAGCTACAAATCCTCCAAAACTAGTCATTTCAAAATAAGGTGTTAAAAGGACATACCTATTAAATAAATTATTCATCAATACCCGAAGATTTTGTTCAATTGTTTTGTTAAGATTTCATTTTACCATACCTTCCAAATCTTACGATTAAAGATTATATATGTAATTTATGTGTATTGTATCAATATTCCTATACATGTTAAAACTATAGATTGCTCTTCATCTTTTAACATCAATGAAATGACACGGAAAAATACTCCTTTCATTTCCATCTATAGTTTCTCAAAAACAGATCGATCTGAATCTAAAGAACCTTAAGAAGTACCAAAATTTGACTTAAGTTCCATTTATTATTATTAATTATTATATCTCACTTATCTTAACTATGGACTAAAAAGCTAATGAATTCTTTTATGGTTTTAATCTTTTAAATCACTCTCAATGGTATCATCAATATCAATCCTTTTGTTCTTTAAATGTCTCTTGTCATTTTTATTTCTCCAGGTAACCACACTATGAAATATACAAAAAATATCAGCACTTCAAATACTATGAATACTGCCAATAATTATGTCTGAGTCATTTCTATGTCTGATTTCAAAGTTTTCACAAATTCATCCAATAAATATCTAAAAGCAGCTAAATTTAATTTATTAAATTAATTACCTTTTATAAATACATTCTACATTACCCTAGATTCTTTTGTCTATTTAAAATTATTCAAATTATATATATAATTAGTTACATTATCACTATTTTAAGTTATATTTCGAAATCTTCCCCAACCCCTTGCTGCTACACTAAAATTTACCTCTGGATGTCCATAAAACATATCATATATTGTCATTATGTACCTAACATTCTCAAAAAATCTTGCTATTGCTACTGCCATTCCTTATTAAATTGATCCATTTGCAAATGTTTCACAATATTCAACAGTTGTGAATCCTTATTCAAAAAATTTTTCACAAGGATTTAACATAAAAATTTACTAAAATGTATTATAATAATCTGAGTTCATTATCTCAGAATTCTTTGCATGCTCCTAATGCAAATCTGAATCAACATCATAATTCAATTGTATATTATTCATTACCACTGAATATGCATCTCCTAGAAGAATTGGTTCCTCTCTATTCAGAAATAATTATCTCTCCCCATTATCTACCAATCTATAATAAGATCCACATCTTGCTGTTACATTCAATTCAGGTATCTATTACTTTATGTTATTATAAGTAACTTGGTTTAGAAAATAATTTAATAAGAAATATCCTTAAAATGCGAAAAGTATAAATGTAATAACTAGAATTTGAGTTCTGTGAGATTAATTAGTGTTCTTAAAGATTTTTTTCTTTCTTTTAGATTTAAGAGTTCTGCTAAGTTCTTTTATTTCATCTTATTCCTCTTCACTGAAATCAGAAGATACTTCCTCTTCTTCTCCTACTTATAAATTCGAAATAAAATTTTCACTTTTGTTATACAAGTATTTAACAGTCTTTTCAGGAATATCCATAAATAATTGTAGTATTTGTTCCTATATCTAATTAATCTAAATAATAAGGATAATAAGGATTAATAATAATATGAAGAAGGAGCTTGCAGCTACAATCATAAAAATAAAAAATATATTGATATTATTCTCTGAAATATCTTAAATTCCTAATGAATATTAGGATGTCTCATTACGATATTAAAATATTACTCCATTATGTAAATTATAAGTAATAAATGTAGCATCTTCATCATCTAATGTTAAGTTATTTAAAGGTTTATCTTTAACTATAAGAGCTTTACTAATGATTTATTAAGTGGCTTCGATTAAATCATAATAAGCAAAATTATTTTAGGAAATCCTTACATTGATAACACTTTTTGAATGCAATTCTTCTATTTGCTCATTAATATAAAGATCATTTAACATAATTTTTTTATTCGCATCTTTTAATTCAAAAATTGAATTATTCAATTCCATTCTTTATTCTTCTTCATACTGAAGAGCTTCAGATTCTGTCAAATTCCATATTCCAATTCTCAACATTTCTAGATTCTGAATATTCATTACTATTTGAGTACATTCTTGATTTCTTTAACTGGCATATTTAATAAGATTTAATGAATTTTGAACATTCTCAAATAATTAGAGTCCTAAAAAATAGGATGTAAAAGATAATGTTAAAACAGTTAACATTAATATATTGATGGTCCAGCTTAAATAAACTATTACTTTTGGCCTTTATTAATCATTTATTGTGGAATTTAAAGTTTTTCTATTTCTAAATACATTATTCGTCCTCCCTTACTCAAAATCATCTTGATTATCTTAATTTTTTTAAAAAACACTTGAATGTTAGACTTCATCTGATTCTGTAAAACTCATTCGAATGTCTTCAATGTCTTAAATTCTATTATCAAATAATTTTAAAGTTCTAATTCCTTCTGCATAATTTATTTTTTCAACTTTTACCTCTTCAACTTTTTCCTTCTTCTCAGCTTATGTTTCTTCACTTAATCTAGATGATTATTCCCAAATGACTGTTTAATCAACTCTAGCTGAATTACCTTCATCTTAATTCTCTCCAAGATATAAACCTTTTGCAGGAAAATACTTGAATTAAAAATTACTCAAGCTTGAATTAGGTATCACCAATTATTATTATACATCAGGACTTAAAATTTAACTATATTCATTAGCCACTTTCTCTAATTTTATAACATATCCCATTACTTAATCTAAATGCTCATTTTAAATTTCTGTTATTTAAATTTAAAATAAAATCTAAGTTTGATCTTCTAAATCACTAATATAATATTAAAGATAATTTGAATTTTAAACTATATTTGATAGCAAGTTTAAACTAATTACACAACCTGATTTATTTAAATATTCATTTCTATTGTAATTTGGAAAAAGTTCATGAAAATAGATTTTACGATGACTTATCATTTTTTAATCTATAAACAAGTTACATATACATGAAGAAGAAATACATTCAATTGCTTCATCACTATCAAGAATTAAGTAACATCCTGTTTTGAAAGTACGTAAAGTTCTAAATTATGCAGCAATTAAAATATTTTCATCATATGATTATAATGCTTTCATATATAAATAACAAGGCATAATGTATCCTGACTTTAATTTTACATAAATTAATCTCTCCTTTGAAATCTTTTATTAATCATTACTCTGTAAGAACATCTCTAAATAGTTATCATGAAACTTAGCATATATTTGAGGAATTAATAGATTTATTTTTCTATTTAATAGTTCTGTCTTTTAATATCCTAACAAATTACATAAACTTAAATTTAAATTACAAATTTGAGCAAATTTATCTGATGATGTTTATACTAATAATGTTGGCAATGGTTCAAAATTAATATCATCACTACTAAAAATTTATATTGTTTATTTATTTTTCATTTTATTGTTTTGATTTTATAGCATTTTTGATTTTTCTAATAATTCTTCTCCAAAATCTTTATCTTGAAGTACTTCAATAATAAATTTAGCATATAATCTCATAGCTTTAGGTAGATTTTAAGTTAATTTTTACATTTTATTCCATAAATCTTCAACTTAAAGAATAGCTAAATTAATTTTGTATCCGATTTCATTCATTTTACCTAAATCAGGAGAATCTTCTTATAATTATGACCAAAAGTCCATATGCATTAATGTTGCTCTTTCTATTTTATTTTAAAATTATCTCATATTATTTTAAAATGCTAATTCACTTGCGATATCTTAATTACCATTGATAGATTCATTTTACATAATATTCATTTCTTCTTCAATAATTTTTTTGTATCTAAAAATAATAAATTCATTATCTAAACTTGGTGATAGAAATTCAATTTAATTAAATTCATTTAATGATTATTATTTTTATTTTAAAAAATCAAGTAGATAAAAGGCATAATTAATTCTTAATTTTACATTATTTTGATGTCTTCTTATAAATCCTTGATATATTTCTCCAAGTAATTATTAAATTTAGTAATCTCTTTAAGAGATATTTTCATCCTTTAATTTTTTCATTCTTTAATTTAATTGTTTTTTAATTCTAAAAACACAATCTTCTTTTTAGCAAGTATTTTTATGTACTTCAATGAGTGCATCTAACATAATCTGAAAATGTTAATTAGTTTGATATCTTGAGAGTAATTTTTATATATAATTAGTAAGAAGAACGATTTGATTAGGATCTTCAGCTTTATTGATATTCATTAATAATAAATCATATTGATATTTTTCTTTTTTATACACAGCAAAGGTAATAAGAGGAATTCCTACAAACCAAGCATAAATAGTACCATGAAAGATAGTATCTTCTAAATAATAAGAAAAACACATTAATAAGGCACTCCATAACATAAGTGCTGCATAGATAGATGACATTTTTTATATAATGATATGATTAAATGGTTATTATATGTGTAATTTATAGAAGGTTATATATGCTCCAATTAGAATGATATAGATGGCAATGTAATCAAATTATTCGAAATCAATTAATGTAAAGGATATTTCTAAAATAAGGAAATAGAAAAATTTAAAAGCTTTTGCCCTACCAGAAGTTTTAGATAATTGATCTTTATAATTATATTTTGGTTCAAAGTAAAGTAAATTAAAAATCATTGTGATTACTATAAAAAGAGTGATTCCAATTATAGCAACAATAGCATGTATAATATATGATCCTTACCAACATATGGAATTAAATATTACATTGATGAGTTAATTTTTATCATCATAATGACAATTAAGCATAGAGAAAAAAAGATCAATAATTGGTAAGTAGAGAATAGTTGTAAATAGGATAAAAATCAATTTAAGGAAATAAATTGGCCATGTATATGTAGAATTGATTTTGGTTATGTTTGTATATCCAATTAATAAGAGTATCATAATTGATATCAATATGATGCCTACTAATGCATACATCATTGAAGCAAAGCTAGAAAAATTAAGCTATTCAAAATGTGGAGTAATCATGAAATATCCAAAGAATTTATATAATTGATAAGACACTTTCTAGTTCTTCCAAACTGTATATAGTTGACGATGAAAAATGAATGTGAGATATTAAAAAAAAGAGATGACTTACAGAAAGATTTAAATTGCTATTGATTATTCTTCATCTTTTAAAATGAGGAAGAAAACTCTGAAAATTATCAGTTTAAGTTCTGTCTGTATACGTGCTAAGATATTATCATTCTCTATTGAGTTTTTAGTGGATCCATAATTGGATTTTACCTCCATTTAATTTAATTAATTGATTATTATTGATATACATAAGAAATCAAACATCAACATCATTTATCTAAATATTCATTTTAATATATGTCTTTATAGATTTTATACTTTAAATTATACCAAGTGGAATCATTAATATCATTTATCTCGTTCTCCATAAATCCTTTGTAAATTTAGCAACCAAAGGTAACCACATTAAAAAATAAACCATAAAAATCAATCCCTCAAAAACTATAAATAATCCTAATATTTAAGTTTTATGATTCTCCATATCTAATCTAATTCCTTCAATCATTTATTAAACTAAAAATCGAAATGTTCCTCTATTATAACTATCTTACATTTCACGAGCTTCTTTTGTTTAATTAAAGTTATTTAAATTTAAAATGTTATTTCTTATTATATCATTATCTTTTGTTATATTTTTAAACTTTCCAAATCCTCTTGCTAAAAGACTAAAATTTACATTTGGATTCCCCCAAAATTAATCATAAATTGTCATTATATATCTTAGATTCTCAAAATATCTGGCAATCCCAACTGCCATTCCTTAATAAATTGCTCCATCAGCAAATACTTAACATTCTTATTCTGTTATTTCATTCATAAAATTTGATATTATTGTACATGGTTAATCCATGAAAATCTATTTGAATGAATCTTAATAAATTTAACTGGTTATTTCCACATTTAATGCATGTTCTTAATGAATAGAAGAATCTAAAGTATATAATCCATTAAGATTACTCTTAACAATCTCATATGGATCTTTATTCATTATAGTTAGATTTCGATTCAAAAATAAGGATCTTTCACTTATATCTACAAATCTATAAAAACTTTCAGCTCTAGCAGTTGCATTAATTTCAGGAATCATTTAATTTAAATCTGTCAAAAATGTTTTACTAAATAAATAATTTAATGTAAAATATCCTTAAGCAAATAGAACAATTATTAAAATTCCAAGAATAAAATTACGTTATTCTTTATTTGAATTTTTATATTTCTTTCTTTTTCTTTTAGTTTTGAGAGACTTATTCAATTCATTTATATTATCTTTTTCATTTTCTTCAATATCTGAGATAAAGTCTTCTTCTTCTCCCATTTGTAAATTAGAAATAAAATTTTCTGCTCTATTAAATAAATATTTAATAGTTTTATCAGGAAGATCTATAAAAATAGCTAACATTTCTTCTTATGTTTTATAAACAGAAATAATAGCCATAATCATAATAATTAATCCAATACCTAAAGCAGCTGCTGATATACCTAAAATCAGTAAGAAAGTATCTCTATTATTTTCTGATTTGATTCTCAATTCATTTGCATACAAAGTTGAAAATGCTCTTAATTAAAATACTATACTATTTAAAGAATTAAATAAAACAAAATCTACATCAATATCATCTAAACTAATTTTAGAAATATGTTTATCTCTAATAATTAAAGATTTACTCAATAATTATTGAATAGCTTCAGATATATCAAACATTTATGAAGTACCATCACTAGTCTTCATACTAATTACATCATTATTCATCATATCAATTATCGCATCACTTAAATCAACATCTGTTAACATTAATTATTTATTTAATGTATCTATATTATTAATCGATTAATTTAGTTTTTTCTTCCATAATTCTTCATATGTTTTTTATTCTTATTCAGTTGTTAATTCCCAAACATTCATATTTAACATCAATAAATTTTAAATACTTGTTGTAAGAGTTTAAAGTTCTGCATTTCTTTAATTTTAATTTTTAACCAATAATATTGTTTTATATATTTCCTAATATTATTCATAGATAATAAAAAAATCAGTAAATGATAAAACAACCAAAATAATAGTAAGGATATTGGCAGTCCAATTTACTTTTCTTATCACCATTGGAGTTTAATAATTATTAACTATTTAAGATAATTATTTTCTTGATCTAAATATATTATTATTATCATTTCCATCTTAATTTCCTTAAATACTAGAATCTTTAATTTCATATCTTTCAAATACACTATTCTTTTCTTCATTCTCTTCATCTGATATAATATCTACATCATTAATATCTTAAATTCTATTTTCAAAAAGTCTAACTGTTACAATTCCTTCTCCATAATTTATTTACTCTTTCTATTGATCAGTATTTTCACTTTACATTAAATGTTTTTATATTCCTGTATTCTATATTTCTTGTTGATTAGATGAAATCATTGATGAAAGATCACCCTAATCCCAAATTATAGTTTAATCAACTCTTTAAGAATTCATTTCAGCAACAAATTCACCATAATAGTTAGATAATCTAGGATTGAATTTAAATTATAGACTTAATCTATTTTAATGATTATGATGTACATTTAATTCTTAAGTTGTACATTTTTCATTCCAAATTAATTCTAATCTTATTATGTATCCTACTATTTCTCCATTTACATCATTTAAGATTTCTGTCATATAACATGTAAATTATATATCACTTTCATCTCTTTCATCCTTTATAATATTAGTACTATATTCTTCTTAATGTTTATATTATAATAATCCACCATTTTTAGTTAAGTATTATGATTTTTATTGACTAAAATTTGGAAATAGATTTTCAAGCATTATTTTTCTCTAAGATACTGTTTTATAGTCAATATTTAATAAAGGAATACATGATGCAGATATAGAATCAATTACTTCATTTTAATCTACTAATAAATAACAATTAGGTTTAAATAACTTCAAAGGTCTTAATTAAGCAGCCATTTATAAATTATCATCAAATGATTAAATAATCTTTAGAGTTAAAAAACATGGAGCAATATAATTTGATTTCTATTTTATATATACTAATCTTTCTTTATTAATATTTTTATTATCATTTGTCTCCATAAATCTATCAAAATAAACATCATGAAATCTTGCATATAAATTCGGCATAAATATATTTATTTTGCGATTTATCATTTCAGTTTTCATAAATCCAAATAGATTGCAACATGATTAATTTAAATTTACAATTTAAGCAAATTTCTCTGGAGCTGTAGATACTACTGCTATAGGATTTGATTCAAAACATAAATCATCACTATTCAAAAGTGAAATTAATTATTAATTCTTTATTTTTTAATTTTATTATTATAGCATTTTTGATTTTTCTAATAATTCTTCTCCAAAATCTTTATCTTGAAGTACTTCAATAATAAATTTAGCATATAATCTCATAGCTTTAGGTAGATTTTAAGTTAATTTTTACATTTTATTCCATAAATCTTCAACTTAAAGAATAGCTAAATTAATTTTGGATCCAATTTCATTCATTTTACCTAAATCAGGAGAATCTTCTTATAATTATGACCAAAAGTCCATATGCATTAATGTTGCTCTTTCTATTTTATTTTAAAATTATCTCATATTATTTTAAAATGCTAATTCACTTGCGATATCAAGATTACCATTTGAATTTTCATTTTAAGCTAAATTCATTTCAAATTCAATAATTTATTTATATCTATAAATAATGAATTCATAATCAAAACTTGGACTTTGTTATTCTGCTTAAATTAATTCATTTAAGGCTTATTATTTTTATTTCATTAAATCAAAGAGAAACAAAGTATATCTTATTCTTAATGAAATTTCATTAGGAAACCTTTTAATTTAATTAAAATAAATTTATCCTAAAACCATTAAAATATCAACATCTCTTTCTGATAAATTTTAATCTTTAAAGAATGTTTTTTAAATTCTTTAATTTTGACATCTTTTTTATTTAAGATAGCAATCTTCTTTAGCACATGTAGCTCTATGAATTTCAAGAAATCCATCAATCATTAATAAAGAATCTGAATCTTAAGCTTTATACAATTTGATTAAATAATCAGTCAAATTTAAAACTTCTAAAGGATCACTCACTTTATTTAAATTAGTTAATAGTAATTCATAATTTAATTTATTTGCCTTAAATACTGCTGCTATCATAAATGGTAATCCAAACAACCATGCATATATAGTTCCAAAAAATAATTAACCTTCTAAGAATTTAGCAAAACATAATAGTATAACACCCCACATATTAACTGCTGCTAAAATAGACCATGCTTTAGCTACATATTTATTATTATGAGGATTCTCAACATGCATTTTCCAAAAAACTAAAAAACTACCAATTACTATTATCAAAATAAAAATATAATCATACTATTTTCCAACCATAAATGTATAACATATTATCATAATGAGTTCATAAGTAAGAAATAGTGCTAGTTGTCTTCCATTCTTTTTTGATTATGGATTTATTGCTATATATCGTGGTTCATAATATATAAGTGAAAATGTAATGCAAAAAAAGTAAAAACATATTATTCCAAATATTGAAACAATACCATGAATTATATGTGTTCCTTACCAACAATTTATCTCATTAAATAATTAATGAACTGAATTTCCTCTCTCATCTTTTACACATGCTAATATACTAAAAAATAAATCCATTATAGGCATGTATAAAATTGATAAAAAAAGCTTTATTAAAGTCCTCAACATTTGTACTAAAAAAGAATAGCTTGTTTACAATCTATAATTAAGCAATATTATTAGTATGAATCCTAATAACACTAAACCTAAGCATGTATACATCATTGAAATTAATCCAATAAAGGAAACCATTTCAAAATATGGAACTAACATTGAATATCTTCTTTACATCATAGTAATACCCAAAAATTTTATTTAGCTATTCTGATACTTCAAAAGTCATCCAAACTGACCATATTTGACGATTAAATAGTATGTATGTTACCTAAAAAAATTACACTATTATGGCTAAAATGCTTAACATTAATGATGGTTCTTCATTCTTTAATAATAACTGTGTGACTTTGAAATAAGTTAATTTAATCTCATTTAACAGTTTCTCTGGTGTTGATTGATGTAAATCTAGAGATGATTTACCACCCAAATTAGATTTTATTTCCATTTTATTTAATAGGTTTGAAAATAATCAAGCACAATTTAATTATTTAATCATAAGACAAATTTTACACTGATAACTCAATCTTATTTTATTGCTTATGACAATCTAATCTAACATTAATTCAAAATTTTCTAATCTAAATAAATTTCAAAAAATGCTTTATTGCATTGTTTTATAAAAAGCAACCTAGTTTTTGCTTAATTTTTTTTACTGTAAATGGTTAAATTTTTATTTATCTTAATTGTAGATCTAATATAAATATTATATTTTATAGTAATTAGTGAAAGATGCATATTTTACGTTTCAAATACTTTGTAATTAAATAAATGAGATTGAATTATATAATTTAATTATTAAATTACAACATTAAATAAAAATCACAATTAGAAATAGCATGCTATATAATAATAAAAATAAACAATTTAATTCAGAATTAAAGAAATATAATTAAGTCATATATTTAATTACATAAATTATTTTTTTGAAATAGTTTTTTAGGTATAAGTTATTTATCTAAATAAATTTGATGATTTTATGAAATATATCAATTTAATGTTAAAATAAATCCAATTGCTTAATATAATAATGGCATTAATGTTGGATGAGGAACTTATAGTTGCAAATTGATTGCAGTTGGTGTATGAATAACATTTACCAATAATGGCATTCCATTAACTAATGTAGCAGCATAAGATAATAATTCAACACCTCTTTCATCCTTTCTTACTCCAATTAAGAAAAAGTAATTGCGTTCCAACTTTTCTTTCATCTAAAATTAAGATTTGAATATAATACTTTTAATGGATCAATTTAAATTTAAAGAACTTCTTATTTTCTGGCCATATTTTATGCTTAGCTAAGTTCAATAAATTTTTATTAAGTAATACTTGCAGTGTTACTCTAAAAGTATAAATCATTAGAATACAAATAAAACGCTTAAGGACATTGGGATAAAAATATAGAAAACATCCAAATTGGTTTTTAAGGCAACTTAAATTTTATATGGCATTTATGGTGGTTCTTCTAATGCTGGACCATTTGTATTTATTGATGATTAAGCAATTTATGTTGAGCCTGGAAATACTGGTTGACATTAAATTTCAATAGCATCTGGTTATAATTTGAATGGATTTTTATTAAATTTTATTCCAAAAGCTGAAAATGTTTTATCTTAAGTTTTATTTGTAAATTTTAAATCAAGAACAATTTTATCTCCATATTTTTAAAAAGCAGCTTCAATTTATAATCCTTAAATTTATGCTTAGGATCCAGGAGTATTTGAATTTAAGACTTCAGCAAAAGGTATTTTAATATTTTAAAATTAATTAGGTTATTAAATTTATTATGTTGGTAATTATTGTTATTATTATTATTATTATGATTATTATTATTAAGGTTAATTTTCATCTAAATCTAATAAATCAATTTTTTAAGTGACTTATTATACTTAAGATTATTAAATTTATGATTAGATTTATGATGAAGTTTCATAATTATTTTCATTAATATTAGATGATCCTCCTTATTAGTCACTATAATCTTCTGGTCTTCCTTCCATTAATTAATCTTAATCATAAACATCATCAATTTTATCAGCAATTTTAGAATTTAAGACATCTCTTAATTTTTTAACAAAGCTTTCAGGTTTTTTAGTATAGACAGAACTTAAATTACCAATGTTTTCAATTAACTTATCTAGTAATTCATTTTCAATTGTATAACTAGAATCAGAAATGGTAGGTCTTTCTGTAAAAACAATTTTTTTAGCTAATTCTGGATCAGTAGATAACATTCTCCAATAGATATATGCTCTATCTCTAAGATCTGGATTTTCACATTCAATAGTAGCAGTTTTAAGTAAGTTATGAATTAATTCTTTTCCATCATTAGGTCTTTATAAAAACAATTTCATAACAGCTACTAAAATTTAATGTTAAACATTTGCAGGTTCATCTTTAAAACTATAAATATATAATAAAAATACTTTTCACTAAAATTACCTAAAAGAGAATCAGCATTTTCAATAGTATCTACATATTCTCCAATAATCCAAATCATAGAAGCTTTTGCTTCTGGATCTTCAATAGATTTTAGATTCTCACAAAGATCTTTAAGAATCATTTCATATTTTCTTGGATATTTTCTAAATATGTCTCTAATAACAATAATGCTTTCCATAACAACATAATTAACTTTAGTTTTTAAACATTCCCATAAAGCTGTAACACACTTTTCTGCTGCTTTTTCTAATTTGATTGCACATCTCCCTATAGTTCTAACTGATTTTCTAACAAATTCTACATCTACTTCTTGAGTATATTCTTTTAATTCATGTAAAATCTATTAAATATTATCATTATTAGCTAATTTAGATAATACTTCTAATTTTTATAATTTGATATAGATTGGATCATTAAAATTACAAAAGAATACTTTAATATCTTTTTCTATAATGATTGGTCTTTTTTAAATGATTAAATTAATATTTTTTAATGCGACATATTATATTTCTGGTTCTTTACCTAAACTTAATAATGAAATAAGTGGTGCAGTCATTTTAAGAGCATTTTATCGAATAGTTTCTGGATTTTATAGATAATCTAAAAATTTCATCATAATTTTGCATGCTGATAATACAACACCAGGATTATTGTGATTTAATCTAGGACTAACTCTTTCTAGAATACTAAAAAAAGATAAGAAATAATATATACGCTTCAGCTTCTTTTCCATCTTCTGGTATATACATTGCTAATGCATCTAAACAATATATAACACCCCATTCATTGCATTCATTCATAGCAGTTAATATTTTTTAAATTGTATAAGGATTTAATTAAAGCATAGTTGTACCTTTAGATTCTTATACAATTAATAATGCACAAACTGCATTTGCAACAACCATTGCATTACCATCATTTAATAAATTCTCTAATAACTTTAATAAACCCTATTCTTCTATAAGTTCAGGTGATACATCATATAATTTAGAAATACAAATTGCTGCTGTCTTTCTAACGTATGAATCTTCATCCTTATTTTTAATTTACATTTATTACTTTTATTGATTCCTTTAATGGATCCAACAAATATTCTGTAATTAATTTTACTCTTATACATCCCATTGTTCTGATAGCTAAAGCTCTCAAAAAAGGATTTGTCTTATCTCTTGCATCCTTTCTAAAACTATTAACAGCCATAACAGCAAGATCAGGCATGATTTTGGCATAATTGATGATGTACAAGTATACTAGTTTTTTTAATTCTAAATTTGATGTTTCCATATTCTTTGCAACATCTGGAAATAACATACTAACATCTTTTCCTCTTGTCATTGCATCAATAATCTATCTATTATAATTCAAAGTACTTTTCTTATAGCATCTCTTTTAGACTCTATTTTGTTCTAATTTAAGGCATCTTATAATTCTTTCACCTCTTTTCCATATCTAGATCTTGAACTTCTACTACTACTTGAAGTTGAAGCTGAAGGACGGCTCATGCAATTTTAATTTTAATTTAAAAAATATCTTTATAATTTTCTTCATCTTATCAAATAAACCTGTCTTTCTACCTTTTTTTATGGTCTTAATCATTTTATAATTTAAAATACTTAAGATAATTTCATACTTATCATATTATTTAGATTTCATAATTTTTAATACTTATTTATTACCACTTCAAATACGTATACTAGCATTTCTTCTTTTTCTCTAAAAGATTTCACTCTTTCATTCCTTATTGTCAATAATTTGAATTTTTATTTTAATATATTTACTTATTGAATATAATTCTCTTATCAAATATCAAATTTCTCATACTCTTTTCATTTTTCAGTAAATGTATGATATTTTAATTTCTTAATTTTCTATTTATTTTTTATTTATTTCTTTTTCTTCTAAACTAAAGATTGAATTTTAACTCTATTATTTTTATTAATCTTAAAAACTATTAGATTTATTTGTTAGTCTTCTATCAAAAATACCAAATATTAATTTTTAATTTTCATTAGACTATCCTAATAACTTTCGGTACTTTGATATTTTGTAATTTTGAGTACATTAAATATATTATTATATTTATATTAAAAGTTAGAAAGAAATAAATCAATAATATGTATTAGCTCTTTTATTTCTGTTCATTTTTTTTTTAAAAGCAAACAAAATTAATCTTGTAAATGAAGTTAATAATTAAAATACGTTTTATGAAATTGAATTATTTACTGCTAGGCATCTTAATATCCTTTATTGAATCATCTATAATTTAAAGTATTTATATTCATTAATGTTAGAGATATGAGCAATCATAATAAATAAATCTTATTATAGGAGACTAACAAATCACATTAAGTTAAGAATATTAAAAAAATTATAGATGACTAAGAACGTTGGTTTGAAGGTAATTATGTTTTTAATTTCTAGAAATTATTGAATATTATGAGGAAGTTGTCTATGAATATGATGAATAAGATCCTGATGAACTAAGCCTTGGATCATAAATGGATTTAGAACAATTAATAGAGAACTATGATATACCTGAAGATTGTTATGAAGAAAATGTGAGTCTTTATGAATATTATGATGCTTTGAGTGAAGAAACTTAAAAAAATGAGAACATTAAAAAATCTAATTAAAAAACAGAAAATGAAAATAATTTTTAAGTGTATAATTTAGGAGAAGAGGAATTTATTACTTTAATTGATGATCAAAATGAAATAATAGATGAAGATATATTAACATTAAAAAAACCTATAGATCAAAATTATCATTCTAAAAGTGATAATTAAATCAAAAATAAAACAAAAAACAAAACAAAAATGAAAAATAAAAGTAAAAAGAAGAAAAACAAAAAATAAAAAAAGAAGCAGAAATGACTTATTATTTTCATATAGATAATAAACTAATTGATTAACAAATCATATCAATTTTACCAATTGGAACATATTCTTTTAAAGCAGACAATTTCAAAAATAATAATTGAGTGAATTATTTCAAATTTTCATCTATTGGAGTTGTTCTTAGAATTCTATATATTATATATAATATATTATAAATACTAGTTTAATTATGGTAATATCTCTAATATAGTTTCTAATGTATCACTTGATTCAACAATCTAACAGATTACCAATAGGTATCCATATAATGGTATCTATTATTCATATATAAATTTCTTTAATATCATCAATTATCTATTTCCTTCATAAGATTACAATTCTAGAAGAAGAAACAAAAACAAATTCTCATGATTGAATGAAATTAGCAATATTTTACATACAAACTACAATTAAAATATAGATTACTTCATCTAACTTATAGTTATAAGCCATTTTTATAATTTATCTCAAAGAATAGGGAATTACATTATTAACTTCCATCTTAGTATTTTATTCTATTAGATAAAATAGCAATTCAAAAAGATGTTTAATATTTATTAATTCTAATTTAAATTCTGATTCAGGTGATATCTATTCTAAAATTTCAGAAACAATAATAAATAAAGACTTATTATTTTCAACTTTCCATTAATATTTATATTGATTATTTCCTAAAACTGTATCTTTTATGAATTATATTGTGCATGTGTCCATTTAAACTGAAATCATAAAAAATGTATGAAGTTTAACTAATTATTTTGCCAAAGATGAAGGTTAAAATGTACACATATTATATGATTACTTGCATAGATCAATTGAGAGACTCTTTTTTTAAGCTATATACTGATAAAGTTATTAATATAATTGATCAACATTTTCAGGATCATTTTATTTAATGCATTTCTCAATAAAATTCAATAAGAAATAATACATGTGTTAATCTAAGGAAGGTTGATATTCTACAAAAAAGTTTATTACAGTCTAATAATAATATATTTATTAATTTCTTATACAAGATTCTAAAATTGCATAAAACAGACATGAATTTGAATCTATTAATTAATATGATTCTTCGAGAAGTGATTTTAATTATTTACATAGATTCAATCTATTTTCTTATTTATTATTACTAAGGAATTCTTTTAAAAATAACAAAGTTCCAGTAATAATCCCTGACTTATAATTTTTTAATAAATTTTAAAATAATATTGTTTAAGTTTATGGTAATATACCAAATTCTAAATTTAAGAACATAGCTAAATGTTACAAAATTTAAGTTTCTTTAATTTTAAGATTCGATAATAAAGTGATTAATGATCCAAATTATTTAGTTAACCTCGTATCATTAGCAAAATGAGGAATTATTAATAGTATCATTTAAAAAAAATCATCTAAACAAACTTCTTAGTATTTTGCAATGTGTTATACAATAGTAAATATCAATTAACATAGATCTATGACATTTTCTATAAGATGAATATTCAAAATTTCAATTTGATCCTTATAGAAATTATTTATATTCAATAATTAAGGAAAGTCTAGAAGCATCTAACTAATATCTTTAATTATTTTCATTATATTTTATTAATTAGAAGCTCTAAGGATTAAATTATATTTGAATTGAAACCATTAATAAATGAGTAAGAAATTGATTGTATATTAAGAAATATTTTGACTCAATTCTTTAAGCAGAATCAAAATATCAGTAACAGAATGCATTAAATTGTTATCTAGAAATTATTAAAACATTTTATTAACTTAATTTTTGACTTTTTCAAAATCAATTTCTGTAGAGAGTTCTTTAAATTTAACAATCAATACAAGTAATTAGATTTCAAGTGGAGTAGTTTTTTATAAATCATATTGTTTACTATATTGAATGAAATCATTAATTTTATTTAATTTATAGTATGATAATAAGATACACTAATTACATTGATTTAGGTAATTATGATCTGATTTTTTGAGTTCTTCTTTTATATTAAGACATATATAAATAACAGTTTCAAGATTTTAGTTTTCTTGAACTAATTAACAACATTATTATAAGATTAGATAATAGGAATATAAAATTAAGTTAGCTTATGAATCAACTAATTTATGTTTTTTTTAGTCAAATTTAATGATGTATTAATAAAATTGATCTATTTTTTCACTTGAATTGAATTAATTAATTTAGTAAAGCAACATACTAATTTATGAGATTTTGTTACAATCTATGGACTATTAAAATTTATTGCATTATTCTAAAGCAGTTAATGTGAGTTCATTTGGTGAATAGATCTTAAGGTATAATATTTTTTTTTATAAAACCTCAAAGAGATAAAAATATTCTTAAAGTAAATTTTAGTTTGAAATGCAAATAAAAGAATTGATTAACATTACTTAAACTTAAATAATAGGAGTAATGTAAGTATCATTTTCATCTTATTTAATTGATAAATGATCTTCAATTTAATTAAACCAATTGATTAACAATCTAATAGGTAGTAGTGATAATTTAATACATTGGATCTTATACTATCTTTCTTTAATCTTATTGTAACACATTGTTCATGTCGAAATCTAAAAATTGTTATATTTCTGAAACTAGACCATCGTAAGGTTATTGTAATTACAGTACTTCAATAAAACACTCAATTGAATTAAGCATAATATTTAATTTAAATAATGGGTAATTTAATCTGTATATATTTAGCTCATCTTAAATCAATGAAATATGAAACCATTTTCATTTCCTCTAAGGGCATGCTAAATTTTTGGTTACACACAAGCTTCAACGCAAGTCACTAAATCTCTATAAGGATACATCTATTTCACAATTATTAATCAATCATGTACGCAATTCTTTTCAGGATCTGCATTTTTTAATGATAAAAATGCTTTAACACATCTGTCATATTTGTCATCATACCATTTACATTATGGTCTGCAATATTAAATTAATAAATCCTTAGGATCTTTACCCTATTCTAACATTGTCTTTATAGCTGAAGGATAATTCTCATTTATCTTCCCTTCTCCAAAATTCACTTAATTAGACATCTCTCTTTATATAAATTTATTAAAATTAATATCTTTATATTTCTTATAGTATTAATTAAACTTATGTCTAGTATCATACTCTCATCATGTTAATCTTCTATTCTCTTATTCAATATATTTAATATTTCCAAAATTATTTTAACCTAAATTTCATTTTTTTTAGTGAAACTTGACATATAATTCTAATATTTTATTTTTTAAATCATAATTATCAAGGTAAATTTGCTTGAAATCCATTCTCATCAAATTTATTGCTTTTCACTATACTACTCTCCTTTTGCTGAATATAATCATATCAATCATTTCTGTCCCCCTCTTTTTTTTGAAATTGTATTTTATTTAATATTCAAACTTTTATTATATAGTTGAGATTTATAGGAATAATTTCTTTCATTTATTTGTCCAACTAAAATTTATGATAGTTTTTCTAAAAACTCTATTAATTTTCATTTTTATTGAATATTAAAGAAATTTCAAACCAGCTATGTATATTAAATAATTGAGATAATATCCAAAATTAATTCTTAAATTCTTATTAATAATTTAATTCTAATAAGTAAATATCTATAGTTTAATAAGCTCCTTATAAGAAAAATATAATATATTCTAATGTTTATTCTACCTTTAATTTCTCAATTTTAATATATATTAAAAAATCATCATTAATATTCCCTTAATCTTAATAAAATATAGATTCAAAGGATTTTTATCTACAATTGTATACCAAAGTTATTATTTTAACTTATATTTATAATTTAATGAATAATAAAATTTATATTATCAAATATAATCATAAAACATTAATCTAATGAATTCTTTAAAAAATTCTGGTAATTCTTTATTATATAACTTACAAAACATTTCAAAATTGATAACATTCCCTTAGAATTATTTAATTTTATATTTATTTCTTGGAGAATTTTTCATCATAGTAATAAGCATAGGTCTAGGTTTCTCTTTAAATTCGCATAAATATATTTTTTTAAGTTTTTTTTCTCGATGATTTTCAATTGGTAAATTTTTATAAATGAAGTCCACATCTTTTTAAATTGCTCCATTTGATGTAAACATTTTAAATAAATCTGAAGATGAAATAAATCCTTTACAATCAAGATCGAATGTTTAAAATACACATGATTGAATCTCTATATTACATTATTTATACCAATTTATTGCATTTCTTAGATATTATAAAATAATTATTTAAAAGAAGAGATAGTAATTTTGGAAGGAAAATTTAATAATGTTAATAATTTATTAACATAATCCAATTATCCAATATATTAGGTTAAATATAACGTCAACTATTATAAATAATAAATAATATTTTACTTAGAATTTAGTAAATTCACCATTTAATTAAGTTAGTAACTTTTTATAAATTATTGATATTTGTTGAGTATTAATATCAAGTAATAGGAAACCCTTTTTTTAATTCTTATTTGCCTTAGTAGAAAATGATCTAAATCTATCATATCTCTTATTTGTTGGACAATCATATTCGTTAATGTTTGAATTATCAAAGAAATTCCTATGATAAGCATCTAATTGTATAAGAGGTAATTAGATATCATTTATTGATTTCTATCGAATTTTAGTTGGAGAATATTCAAGTTCTGTTTCTAAATGGATATCACATGATGGATGAGACTTTTTAGACATATAATTAGAGTTATGTCTTTATGGAAGGTCAATCATTTGAGAACCTGAAGTGAGCAAGTTCTTTTATGCTTTTGGTTTAACCTTTACAACATTCAAGATATTTTCTTAAAAACACTTTGTAAGAGCATAATTAAGTAATTCATTCATTATTTTTATTATTTTAATTATTTAGTATTTATGCAAAATATTTATTTCTTTCCCTATATACGACTCAAAATCTGGTCTTATTGTCTTTTTAATCTTTTAATTTCTTTAATAACTTAAGATTTATCATAGTATTCATATCCATATTTATTTTTTAATGCTCTTCCTATTTTCAATGAGAAATTACGATTGTCACTGAAAACATGTGATCCAAAAGTTTCTTCTATTATTTAAATCTCTTAATTTGATATAAATTAACCTAAAATTCTAAATCTATTTTTTGCTGCATTAAGTTTCTTAGTATATACCTTGATCTTAATTCTTTTCTTTGCACGCTTTAATCTAAATATTTCTGATTTCTTTTTTCTACTTATATCTTGGGTTTAAATATGGAAATTAATATCAAAACCTCTTCTTTTTTGTTTACTTTCTAATAGTAATTCAAATTATTTTATCACTTCCATTTCAGACTATGTAAAATTATTAGCCTCTTTAAAATATAGGATTTACTCTTGTAACTATCTAATCATATCCTTCTTGCTTGTTATAGATTCATTACCAATCATAAATTATTCTGATTCAAATTGTGGATCAGCAAGAGTTTTTATAAAAGAAGTTAGAGGAGGACGAAAGAAATTCATTTTTAATAATTTATGTAAAAAAAAGTTATTAAAAAGTCTTCTACAGTTAAATAATTTGATGCAGCATCTCCTGCTACTAAATTATTAGAAAAAAGAAGAAAGATGTATGAGATACATGAAGCTTATGAACATTAATAAGATGAATATAAGAAGTATATAAATTTAATAAGATTTTTATAAGACAAGAAGAGGAATTTAAGAAATAAGAGGAGTAAATAAGAGAAAAAGATAAATAAATTTAAGAGGAACTAATTAAATTTTGTAATTTCCTTTAAGAGAATGAGGCTAAGAAAAAAAGAGCATTGGTTCGTTTTTAAGAGGAAAAATCATATAAAGAATAGAAGGAAAAAGAAATATAAGATTTAACAGCATAATGGACTGATTTATAAAGACATCAATAACGATTAGAAAAGAAAGGTAAGAAATAAAATTACTTATGTTTTAAGTTACATCTTTAAAGAAGTATGAAGATTATTTGGATAGTATAATAAAGTAATATCCAGAGTAATATCATGATTTGTAATCAATTTTAGATAGATATGCAACATTAACAAATTCTAATTCAAAATTAGTAGAAGAACATTAGAATATGGAAAAAGAGTTTGAAAAACTAAAATATGAATCAACTTAATATGAGAAAGAGAAGAATCATGAAATTCTTTAATTAAATAATGATATTAAAGACTTATAAAAGAAATTAGAGGAAAAAGCAGCAGAGAGAAATTAAATTTAAAGTGTTTATGAAGCAACAACTAATGATGCCTCATCAAAAAACTTAAGTTTAGGTAGAATTCTTATGGCTGTTGATAATCTCTTTACACGTTGTTAAGAAGGAACATAGCGAATGAAGTAAGATTTCGAAGAGTACAAATAGGATAAATAAAATAAAGAGAAAGTCAAAGATAAAATAACAAATAATAAAATTTAAAATTAAGATTTATAATTTAATGATGAAGATAATTATGAATTGAAAAGTTTATTTAAATTATTATTTTAGGTTAATAAGCAGCATGGAAGCTGAAATAAATAGTTCAATTTATGTCAGATTTCAAAAAAATTATAGATAATTGTAAAGGAGAATTAGGAAAATGGAAGGAGTAAAAAATAAAATGATATTATATATATATATATTATTAATGAATAAATAGGAGAAACGAAAATTACCTAATCATTTATAATATGACACAGTAAGTCCTGCAACAAAATTATTAGAGAAGAGAAGAAAGATGTATGAAGTGCATGAAGCATTTGAAGCATAAAGAGAGGAATTCAAAAAGTAAATAATTTATAAGATAATTAAATTTTAGACAAGAAGATAAATTTAAGTAGGAGGAGGAAAAGATTCGTTAAAAGGATATGGAAATACAAGAGTCATTAATTAAGTTTTGCAAATTTTTATAAGATAATGAAGCAAAAAAGAAAAGAGCTGAAGGTAGATTAGAGGAGGAAAGAAAATAAAAAATATAAAAAGAAAAAGAAATTTAAGATTTAAATGGATAATTATAGGAATTAGAAAAAAAATAATAAAAATTAGAGAAAAAGGGTATGTTTAGGTTATTATCAAAACAGTTACTTCAATGAAAAAATATGAAGAATATTTAGATAGTGTTGCAAAATAATATCCAGAATAATATCATGATATGGCATCAATATTAGAGAGACATAGTACACTATCAAGTTAGAATTCTAAATTGGTAGAAGAACATTAAGCTATGGAAAAAGAATATGAAAAATTGAAATATGAATCAACTCAATATGAAAAGGACAAAAATCATGAAATTCTTTAATTAAATAATGATATTAAAGAATTATAAAAAAAATTAGAAGAAAAGATTGCAGAGAGAAATTAATTATAATAATTGGTTGAAGCATCAGCAAATGAAGCTTCATCAAAAAATTTGAGTTTGGGAAGAATTTTAATGGCTATAGATAATTTATTTAATCGATGTTAAGAAGGAACATAAAAGATTAAACATGAATTAGAAGAAACAAAATAAGAAAATAATAAAAAAGATGATAAGAAGGCAAAGAAAGAGGAAAATAAGAAGTAGTAAAATAAAGATGAAAATTAAGAAGAAGAAGAAGATAATTATGAAGTGAAAAGTTAATAGGCTATGTCGAAATTAAAAATAATATCTCTATATTTAAATGACTTTAAGAAAATTATTTAAGGATGTAAAGAAGATTATAAAAAAGCATAAAATAAATGATTTTAATTATATATATATATAAATAAACTAGATCATTCCAATTTTTTGGTTACAGCAGCCAAGAAATATTTTTTTTATGTTTATGACATTGGAAATCTTCTTGAAGAACGTGCTGTTTCAACTAGATTAATCATTTTATTTGGAGACATAGCTTATTTTTAAGGTGTTTCATAATCACAACAATCATCTAATTAAACATTTTTAGATGTCATTAATTCATTAAATTCTTTTAGTAATATTTACATAACACTTCTCATTTTTGCTAAATATTTTTATTTTTTTTATTTAATCTTTTATTTTTCTTCTTAGATTTATTCTGCTGCTTTAGAATAGTGTTTATGTATTTTAGGTGCTTCTTGATAAAATTTAACTAAAGAATTTAGTTCAGTTTAATTTAGATTATGTAAATCGCATTTAATAGTTGATTTGAATGGTTCTAATTCATTATTCATATTTAATTGATATTAAGAGCAATTATCTGATATTTTCATCATATCACAATCAATTTATCCTTTAAGATCTCCTTTAATTGTATTGAATTTTTATTTAATACATTCAATGCAATTGTCTAATTCTGTATCAATTTATTTCTCCAAGTCTTTTTAAGGTGAATTAGTTGTTTATTGAAATTCAACTGAATTGATTTGCTTAATAGATTCATTTACAAAATCTTTAAATTGATTAGTTGTTTTTCTATTATGAGTGATATGATCATCAAGAAAACAATCAGCACAACCTATATTTTAATGTAATTTATACCTATTTTCTTTGGAATAGAACATTAAGAATCAACACAAACATATTTAATACGTTAAGAATCATGGTTTGGATGTTAGCAATTAGTGTTATCCATAAATTTAATATATTATTCAGCCGCCAATATATTCCCGGTTATTAAATTCAAATTAAGTTGAATTCATCTAAATAAAAAAAGAACAAGTATTTTTATGTAATTCTCGTAGTTAATTCAATTTAATTATCAATAAAAGCATACACAAATCAATAGAGTTTTCAAAATGTTAGAGGATTATTTTATTCTAAAGGTTTTTCATCAAATATATAAATGTAAATTATAATATATATTTATATTTGTTTAAGTTAATTAAATCAAAATCATCAATAACAAAATAGATAATAAATCATTATTAAACATATTAAAATGTACTTTATACTCTATTGTGATCTGATCGATTTTTTTTATTATTATTTTGGTTTTCAAATTCATCTTCAGATTCACTACTTAAAGGATCATTTAATTATTAACTTGATCTTCTAATATTGATAACCTAAGTATATAATTTTAAATATAAAATATACATTTGGATTTTTAGTTGGAATACCCATAATAGGATCTTATTTATTAGGAACCTTTATAGATTTTTTAAAGTTAAATTAATTTAATACTTTTAATTTAGTAACAAATGCAAAGAATTCTTAAAGAAGAGTATTATTAATTTAACATTATGGTGGAGGTTTAGTCATAGTTGATGTGTATTAGTGAAATGATATGAGATATTCATAATGTTTTATACTTTCAGAATAGATCTCATAAAGACTAAGAGTATCACTATTTGGTAGAGTAGCATATTGATCAATTATTTTTTCAATTTCAGTACAAATAAACTTTTGAAATCTCCATACATCAGCATAGAGCGCTACTTAAATTTCTATTAAATTTGGATTGAATTGAATAAGAATCAACCCTGAATTTATTAGATTTTGTATCTTATAATGCCATAAGAACATAAGTTTTGCTTCTATATTTTCTTTATCTGATACATAAGGATAATTAAACTTAAGAATAGCTCTATAAAGATCAACATTAGCTGCTAATTTTTATAAATAAACATAACACAATTAAGCATATATCCTAGCTGGTTATGATTTATCTTCAAATTCAGTCAAAATCTTTTATGTTTATTAATTCTTTTATTAGTCTGGTTCTGTTTAAGTAGAATACCATTCTTATTTATCTAATTGAATCCAAGGCATTTTGGTTTCTCTTAATTTGATTGCTACATCTTATATTAATTCATTATATTAAAATTGTTAATGTAGTGCAGCCAATAAATGTACTATTTAAATACCTTAAAGATCTTTAGACTTAGATTCAAGAAACTAAAAAAGAAACTCAATATGTTCTAAAACTTAATATAATATAATATACCATCCCTATCTAATAAATATTATGCTAAGACTTATCCCTTTTATTTGAGATCTAATTTACTATTCTATGCAATAATTTATGCTAACTTTTCTTATAATTATTGATTGATTGGAGTACTTGATGCTTAAGTTGTTTGGTTAGATCCAAAAATGGATGTAAATCTAGAAAATAAAGACATTTATATAATAATTAATAAAGAACATATGATCTGATGAAATATGTTAATGTTATATAAATATATGTATATAAATAATGAGTGAATAAACATAAAACATTTTTATATGTATTTAATGTAATTTTGTATTGTATCAATAGACATTTCCTTCAAAGGTTTATTTAAACCATTCAACTGCTTCTTTTTTAGTTACTCTTTATTAAGTGCCTAATCTAGAGTTTCTTGATTTTCTTTAAGCAACTCTAAGTCCTGGTCTAGATAAGACTACATAGAAATCCATTCCAAAAATACCTAAAATAATAATAAGAAAATAACTGATACCTGTATATGGATCATATTTTAATCCCAAATCAATATGTTCTTAAATACCAAATCCAAAGTTTCCTGAATCAGAGAAATTTCTCTTTTTTAATTCCATTTCTTTAACTCTTAATCCTCTCACAAGAATATCTCTTGCTTAATCACCTCTAATGGTGCAAAATACAGAAATCTTTTCATTTCTTCTAATACCAAATGATCTGACTGTATATCTTGCTTTACCAAATACAGGCTTTTATCCTGTAAGATCTTCTAAAACTTTAGCAGCTTTAGTTAATTTATCACCTGATTCACCAGCACAAATATGAACCATCAATTTTTCTATTCTAATTTTTCTCATCACATTTTCTTTAGTTTCTTATGGTTTAGCTACTTTAGCTTATGTTGCAGATTATTATTTTGCATCACCTTTAGGTTATTATGCTTTTCCACCCTTTGAAGCTTATTAAGACATCTTATTTCCTCAAATTAAAATAAAAAAAATCTTTATATTTGAAATATAATCTGTTTAGAAGATATTAAATATAATAAATAATTTATTAATATTATATATGTACTATTCTTTATACTGTAATAATATATCATTATGATTCTTGTTATACTTATTCTTATTATTCTTTATCAACTTATCCTTATTTAATAAGATTAAGAGCAGTTTAATCTTCAGCTTAACCTTTTCTTCTAACTTAAGCTGTCTTTGATCTTTATGAATCATCATAAAATTCCCTTAATTTTTAGGCTAATTTATATTAATAAATAATGAATACCATCAACTTTAGGTCTCTTGACTAACTTGACTTTTCTCAAAGTAATATTTTATAATGGGAATATAGCTTTAGTAGCTTTTCCAATTTCTTTAGCAAGACTTTCCTAATTAAAGAAGTTAAGTAATTAGGTAATTGTTTTTTTTGATACTTCTTTAAGAACGATTTCGACAATCTTTTTTCTAATATCTTTAATTTAACTTCTTTAAGCATAAGTTGTCTTTCTTTATTAATTTTTAATTGATTTAGTGAATGCAATAACAAAGATTCTAAGAATATATCCATCTTAAGATCTAGCTTCTACTTAAGTCTAAAATAAAATATAATAAATATAAAGTACTTCAATTAAAGTTTATCGCTTTTTAATCATTCCAAAGATCTTATCTTTAGTTGAATCAAGACCATAGAATGATGTTCTACATCTTGTACCTTCAACATCATCTATGATTAATTTAACTTTTCTCCATGCCATTTAATCTGATTATCCTTAAAGATCAGCTAAAGATGCTTCTACCACTCTTCCTTTTATAGCTTCTGTTGCAACAACTATTATTATTTATTTATAATAATATACCTGTTCCTGCAGATTTATTTATACATGTATAACCAAATCCACCAGCACTAAATGGTACAGGTGCTGTTAATTCAAACCATTCCTTTCTAGCTAATGGGTCTATTGTTTTCTTTTATCCCTTCTTCTTTCCTAATTTCTTATTCTTTCCTTAAGTCATACAAAAAGATTTTGATTTTTTTTAATTTTTTCAAAAAATTTATTATCTCTCTCATCCAATTCCTCAAATAAATATATATTATATTATATGAAATCAGATAGTCCTCGTTTCAGAGCTGCCTTATTACATTCTATTGAATAAGAAAGAACCAAAAAATTAATTGACTTTAATGAACTTCTTAAAGATAATGAACTTACCTATCTCAAATTTGCATTCAAAACCGAAGAAAGATAAGAAAATATTTATATCAAACAATTTTAAAAAGCCACTAATTTCCAGAGAACAGGTTTCATATTTTTTATATTTAACCTCAAGGAACTATGAATATTTGTGATCTCTGGTCAAATGCTTAAATCAATAGGTATTTAGATATTTCTAGATTTACCAAAGATAAATTCTTGTTACAAAAACTAGCTAAATAAAATAATAAATTCACATACATTCGAAAACCCACTCATTATCTCTCCTAAACTCCTAGACCAGAACCTGTACAAAAAAAAGATCTCAAATCTATCATTTCAGAATTAAATCTATTGCATGAATAAAATAAAAAACTTAGATCTCAAATTAATCGCAAAATTTATTGTAAAACAGTCTAATGCTGAAAAATCTATATACATTTACAAATATTTCATAAATTAATACATCTAATTCTTATTCAACAGATTATTACTTTTATGACTCACAAAAATAATTCTTCTGCTGTGTAGCTTTGAAAATTTAATTGTCCTCTTTTTTTTTTTGGATAATACTGTATTCTAAAACAGTGCATTCAGATATAGTTTCAAGAAATTAATAATCATCAAAATATTCATTACATTTTACATCTATTTATTCTTATTTATTATCTATATATACAGTCTTTTATATCTTAGAATAACATGAGAATAGCAATACCCTCTTGAAATTAAACTTTTTATTCTTAGCAAATAAAATTTCACTCTAATAACTCTTGTATCAAGTATAAATGAAGATAGAAGATGAAAATGTTTATTTTAAAAAAATCTCTTTATTATTTTATGGAATAATGAACAATTAATAACAGAATATAATCTACAATTCAGGAAATTATAATCTTATTAGATATTAAAATAATTATTGCATATTTAATTTATTATATAATTTAATGAAAGAAGTTACAGAGAAGTTGTGTAAAAAGAGGAATTCATCGATCATTTTTTGATATAATCATTTTAAGCCAGAAAAATAAGCCCTTACTTTAAAAATTCAAAATTTTCAAGATTTTAAGAAGTTTTTTAGATAGGAAATGCTTAATATCTAATGAAATAAGAATTAAATTCCCTGTAAATATTTAAATTATAAATAGAGACATAGATTCTTAGAATGGAAATTTACCCATTTTAATAAGATTTATAGAAAATAATTTGTTCATGCTTATAAGATCTGTAAAGTTTGAATTTGCCAAAATTCGATTACATAAAAAAACAGAAAAAATATATAAGAGAGAAATTAGAATTGATTTGTTGGCGATCACTTTTTAAATTTAGATTAAAATGGATAGTGTAATATGATTGACATGAAAATAATTTAACTTAATTTTACAATACATAAATAAAGGATATGTATTTTTGAAAAGAGAGAGAATAGTCAATAAAGTATTAATTTAAGTATCTATATATGAAAATTAAGTTAATAGTTGAGCTTATAGTATAATTTGCAGAAAATTTATGATATTTGGTAAATAGCTGAATATCTAATTGGTCCCATATAATAACAAATTGTTTAATGACAATATATTAAAAATAATGTATATTTTTAATTAATAATGATGAATATTTAAAATGCATGAACCATGATTGCAAAATATTACAATGATAGGCCTGATATTATGCTATTGTCTTTTTATTGATATTTTTTTAAAAATGAAAGTAATATAAATTGCAATTTTATTGTTCTTTGCAACAACAATTATATTGAGTAAAAGAATTCATCTGAATGAACAGACATAACAATGTATTAGAGAGAAATGCCCAGATTAATTGAAATAATGTTATGATGATATGGCATGTTAATTATAATTAAGTAAATGCAGACAAAAAGTTAATAAGCCTCCAAAATAAGGTAGTAAAAGTAAACCATATTCAAATGTGCTATGTAAATTAAATTCTTATAGATATTATAGCCTGTTTGAAAAAGAATGAGAATTCATATAATTTGATTGATTGTGCATATTCAAATTGTGAAAATAGTCCTAAATCACAAGTATATGAGTATTTATTGGGTAATTATTGATGACAAGCTAATTATATAAGATGATAGATAATATTCATAACATATAAATAACTTAAAGATAAGAAAATAAAAATATGATAGCATATAAAATAAAGAAACATATCTATAATTATTACAATTCTTCTTAGCTATCTTTACTTTTACAGAATATATCACATTATCAATTGTTTTCATACTTTATCAATTCAAAGATAGTGATTATATTTATTATATATAAATTGAATTTAAAGAATTCTTTGATTAGAATAAATAGAAATACTAGTAACTATTTTAAGATAGTTAATTTTGAGAATGCAAAATAAATATACAGTAACAAGTATATCTACCATTATTCTAAACAAAACAACTGCCTGAAAAGTATTATCATATATATTTGAGTAATTTCACCATTCTACCGCCTGTGAATATTGGATTAATAATTCATGCAATATTAGAATAATGTGATAGATACTGTTGCTTCAGTATTTTTGTTTGTAACACATATAGTGGCCAGTTTATTATTGTTGATTATATAGGTTTTATAATTAAATATTTAGTGAGTTAGTTATTTATAACATATAATGAATTCTAAATATTTTTCACCAAAGGCAAACTAACAATTTTTTGAAAGCCTTCTCAAATCACCAAGAGAAGTTAAACTTTATAGAATTAGATTTGATACTATTTTTAACGAATATGTACATCGAAAAGTTGAACATTTACAATTAGAACCAATTTTATAAACGAGTATAACAGAACCATTAAAAGAAAAGGTTGAAAAGAGAAAACGAATCTATTAAAAGAGGCATACTTCAACTTAATTAAGTCCACTTTCAAACTTTCATATTCAACCAAGTCCATAAGTTAAAAATATGTAAAGATATATTTCCAGAGGCAGACGTACCAGGTTTGATGTATCATTAAATTAATCAAATATTTGAATTATTTTTAATCAAATTAATTAACTTTATGATTATAAAAGAAAAGAATTCCAAGTAAGAAAGCAAAAAGAATAAAAATAAAAAAAAGGAAGCAAAAGGAATTACACACAAAATAGAATTAGAAGGAATTTGATTTAGACAATGATTTTTTAGTAGAATAAATATAATAAAATTAAGAAGTTTAGCAAGTGTAATAAATTCAATAATAATAACAAAAACTTAGAGGATCACAAAGAATATTTGTGTCAGATTAGAGAAACTAGAGGGTGTATTGATAAATATTTTTTAAAGACAAATTCAAGATTTATTGATAATTTTGGGATTAGAAAATTAGGAAATTGGAGAGAGAAGAAGTGGAAGCAAACTTAACCACCTAAAGTTTCAATTTACAAATAGTTTCATAATGGTATGATTACAAAATATTGAGAATATTTGAGTGAGAAATCATTGAAACCAAGAAAAAAGTAATAAAATAAGTAATTATAAAATAGATTGATATTTGGGATATTTTGGAAGATATGAGCAATATTTAATGGATGAAGATGAATTAAATGCAAGTATAGCATTTCTTACAGATTGTTCTCTGAATATGTGTGAAGCCCGTTATACACCAAATTATATTATGGATAGAATACAATTTAGGATATATTGGTATTTGTAAAATAGATTTTAGAATATAAGTTCTGGATGGATATAGATTGTGCTTTAACTGTAGCATTTAATCCTATTTATGATAATTTATTTTAAGTAACAGAAAAGGAAATCAGAAACTGATAGGAGATTTTGGAGCAGCTATTTAATAAAATTATGGATAGTGATGAAGTTGAAATAGGTGGAAAAGTTTATAATGAAGGATCATTAAAAAATATAAGTGATCATTTGATATCTAAATTTAATAAAATGATTGAATTTCATATTTAAATAGAATTACGATTAAATAATATAATACTGTTCAAAATATAAATTGAATGATAAGACTTTGATGAAGAATGAGAAATATTAGAAATAGAAACATTTTGATTAAAAGATGTTAACTTCACATGAAATATTTTAATTAAAAACCAAAATTAGTTACACTCTTGTTTGTGATATTTAAAGGATCATATGTATTTTAATATAAAAATACTATATATTTAAATCAAGTTGCAAAAAAGCTCTTTAAAAATACAAAGATTCTTAAATAATTATTTATTTAAATATAATAATATTGATTTAAATTTGAAAATAATTAAATACTTAATCATAAATCTTCTTTCTAAATAAAGCTGCTGTTTTCTTCAATAAATTTGGCTAAGGCTTCAGCTGTTCTAGCAGATTAATATTTTATTTATTCTGGTTTATCTTATCCTTTTTTGAAGAATATCAATGTAGGAAATCCTTTGATTTCAACAGCACTAGTTTTATGAGTTGTCCAATCCATTTCAGCAATAAGTATATTTTGATTATTTGATAAGTTTTTAGCTAAGTCTTTATATGATTCTGCCATAGCTTTACAATGTCCACACCAAGGAGCAAAAAATTTGACTAAAACATCTTATTTGCTATTTATTACAATATTATCAAAGTTCTCACTTGTTAATTCTATTACTGTTCCTTCATTCTTTACTTCACTAAATTAAGGTGTTTATTATTATTAATTTTCAGTTTTTCCTAAATGTCTTTCTAAGAATGCTTTCATTCCTGATAATGATCTATCTCCTTCATATTCTTTTCTTGTTTTATTATGTCCTTCTTATTAAAAGAGATATAACGTAGGATATCCTTCTATTGGAATATCATCAAATTGATTTGCTGTATGATCTACTTCAGCTATAACTAAATCATCTCTTTATAATTCCTGTGCTAATTTCTCAAAAGTAGGTGCTAATGTTTAACAATGACCACACCATGGTGCATAAAATTTAACAAATACATGTCTATGATTTTCAAATACTTATTCATTAAAATTATCTGTAGTCAATTTATGTACTTAACCATCTCCTTTTATTAATCTTGCTAATCTTTCTGCTTCTCTTTTTGGTCTTGTTGCTTCCTCTATTAAAGATTCTACTGCCTTTTTTAATGTTCCAACTTAATCATCACTAAATGTTGTTGTTGTTGTTTTCTTAGTTCTATTTTATAATTATTAATTATACTCATAATCATAGTAATAAATTGTATTCTAAGCTATTGGACTTTATTTTATTAAATATTCAAATCTTCTATTACATAAATCCAAATTTGGGTCTATTATTACAAATCTTGTAGAATTTTAATATTGTTCAGCCACATATTTAAATCTTTTATGTAAAACTCCATTCTTTTAGCCTGCTATTCCTATCAATGGAATCTTATCATTTTCTGATTTCATAAATTCTTCTTCATTTAATGAAAATACTAATGGATATCCTTTTGTTGAAATTAATTCTGATAATCCATTTACATCTCCATTGTAATGTATTGGTTTGTCAATATCCTTATTAATTATTGTATATTTATGAGGATAACCATATCTTAATCCATCATTCTCTATTATACCAAATCTCACTTGTATATGTTCTAAACTCACTCTTGATAAATCTTCTTCATCCTTTACATATTTCAGAACTGCTATGTTTGATCTTTTTAAAAACAAATCAACCTAACCAATCTAACATACTTCAGTACCTCTTCTTAATTATATAATTTTGTAATTGGACCATAAGAATGCTATAATGCAAATTCAAATAGCATTTCTAGAGAATCTGATGAATTTGGAAAATCATATGAATCTCCATTTCTAAATAATTTTAATGTTGGATAAGCTTTAGCATCATGTTTTGCTGCCAAAGCTTTACTTTCTTAAGCATTAACTTCTCCCAAAACAAATCCATACTCTTTTAATCTTTTACCAAGTTCTATGAACACAGGCTTCATTTTTTAACTTAAGTTCTATTCTAAATCAATACCAGTATCCACAAGTATCAATATAAAATTTGACCAATAATCTTGGATGTGTATCCAATGCTTATTAAAAATTTCTTCGGCTCAATTGCAATATTCCATCTACTTCAGGAATTTCTTCTGTTTAAATAATAACAAGTGTTAAAGCAAGTAATAAGAAGAATTTCATGTTCTTTTTTTTTTAATATTTAATTCTCTTGCGTGTATTTTGCTGTTAAATTGAAGAATTTTCTAGATTAATTTATATAAAAACAAAAATTTAACTCTTAATTTTTATATTTATCGAAAAAAATACCTTAATATATTCAAACTTTAAATTAGAGTGAACCTTTATTATTACCAGTTTCAACAATTGATTTTTAATGTATTTCTTCTTAATCTAGTAATAATTTTAAATAGATACTTTTTTTTAATTTTGGTTAGATTTGATACATTTTAATTTAATTACTATGAGGAATATCATCTTCTTCGTTTACATTGTAATCATTTTCTTCTGAAATGCATTCTTATTTTTAAACTTTTAATGATTAACTCTATTATCTTGAATTAGAGGAATGTTATTCCTCTCTTTAAATATCAGCAGTATTAGATTTGCTTCTCATTTATGGTGTTAAACTTATTGGAGTAGAAGTAAGAGATTAATTTAATTCCTATCCCATCAAAGGAGTTTTAGCATACAATTAAGAATTCTTTTTATGTCTTGGATATGTATCAGCCCTATTATTAAGATTAAATAATACAGAAATAATTTATAATCTGGTTACTTTTAAAACCATGGATGTTATAGAGCTAATTCAGAATTGATTCTCATATCTGGATTCTTTTCGAGTAAGGAAGTTAAGAGATGGACAGCTTCTTCACTTAATGGTTAATTTTTAATTAAGTTGAATTCAATCTAACAATGATAATTTTTCATCACAATTTCATCATATGACTTGGCTTTGAATGGAGATTATCCAGTCAACATAATGAACATTAAAACTCCTGCACTAAAAATATCAATTTTATAATCATAGATTTTATCTTGAAGTAATTCTGGTGCTACATAACCAGGAGTTCCACAACGCTTAAACATATAATTACCTTCAACATTATAATAATCAGCTAAACCAAAATCTGCAATTACTACATCAGACATCTCCTTTTTAGATCTAAGAATCAAGTTTTCTGGCTAAATTATAATCATTTTTCTATACTTTTATGTCTCTATGTAGAACCCCTAAGGAATGAATATAATCAATCGATTACAATATTCTATACATTATAATAGCTACTGTTTTCTCATCATATGCTTTCCCTTTCATTTGATTAAACAATTCTCCTCCTTCTAAAAATTCACATACCACGAATATGTAATTATCATTCTCAAATACCTCATATAATTTTATCACACCAAAAAAATCCATTTTTCTCATTATAGATAATTCCTTTATCAAAGCAGGCTATATGATAATATATGTTTAATCTACCTTGTCTACTCTAATATCTTAAAATTTTAATTTATCGAAAGCCTTTACAGCATACACTTATTAGTCACTCTTCTTTTATGCACTATAAACCTTTACTTATTCTAAAATATTATACCTTTGCAAAATTACCCTTACCTATCAACTTGTTTATAGAATATACATTATTGAACCCTTTCTAAATGCAAAACTATTTTAAGTAGTTATACCACATTCCCTAAGCCTATTCATTATGACTAAGCAGCTCAACTGACTTTCGATTCTTAGTCAATTTAAAACCTATATTTTTTATCTTCTCCAGAGTAACATTTTACAAATCAATATATTTCTATGAACAAGCTAGTTTTCCATCCTATAAAAAATAGTTGCTCTCTTTTTTAATTCCTAATTTCGAATTCTTAATCAGTGTTCCACTTATTATAGGATCTGATGCTTAAATTACTTCTTTTATCCATAAATTTTATTTTGGATCATCAAAAAATGAAACTTTGGTTAAATTCATTGGTTCTATTTCTAATATTGTTAAATCAATTTTTCTATAAATAATTGGGTCTAATAATTTTAAAATCTTGTTAAAAACTCATTTCAGTTTCATAAGCTTCTATTTTAACCTACCTCAATAAGCATTTAATTCATTTAGCTATGCTTTTTTGTTAAAAAATCTCAAAAAAAATTTACCCCAAAGTTCAACAAACTTCTTATTAATATATATTCAACCTATTTTGTATTTTTCCATACTCAGTAAAACCCTAAAAAAATTTTCATGAATATTAACAACTTTTATAGCATTCTAATACATTAATCTATTCAAAGTAATCTAAAACTGGTTAAAAATTAGATTTTATTTCAAGAAAATTTTATGTAAAAAAAATTAATTTTAGGTTTCTGGATTCTCCAAAAATATTTTAACAAATTAGAAATTCAAAAATATGAAAATTATCATCTTTACACCACACCTAAAATTTTAATTTAATTTTATTAATTAACCCCAATCATAAAAATGTTGTATTAATTTTTTGATTTTATTTCAAATAATATAAATTATGTCATTTATCTTTAATTATATGGAAAGAAGGAATAGAGTACTTTTAACCACAATTAGAAATTATTCAAGAAAAAATAATGAACTTTATCATTCATTTATTTTAGTAAATTATAATATAATCATTATTCCTCATTCGATTAAAGTTTAAAAGTGCCCAGAATTATTTTGTTTTAGGTAGTAAATATTTTATTTTTGGGTTAATTTTGGGTTGGGGTTAGGATTGGGTTTAGATATACAAATAAATTTTAGAATACATAAGATATTTTTTTTGTGAATTTAGAGAGTATAAAAATTAAAAATAAGAAATGATTGAAAAAGTTATTTATTTTATTATTTTATAGGAGGAGAAATGAATAAAAAATATTGTTTTTTAAAGCAAAAATAAATAGAAATTTGATAATTAGTGAGTTTAAAAAGAAAATATTTTTCAAGTTTAATTTTAATCATAAAAATTGTTATATATTATATCAATTAAATAAAAA